GAATTAATCTTGGAAATACCGTGGAGCCTCTTGCGGGGGAGGTGGCGCTAGGGTACATTATACGGACATATTGTGGACAAGTACATTAGAATTGCAGTCATTGTATGGCATGATCTAGACAGCCACAGCCCCGTACTACTGTGATCCGAGCCCCCCGATCTTCCCGGCTTCACACACCTGGCCCTACCGCCACGCGGGAAGACGCGGGGATATACAATACAGATTCTATCCTTGTCTCTTGAATTTTAGAAGGCTAAATCAGAGAAAGAAAATAGAGAGAGTGGCTTCGGGGGTTTTGTGGATTCGGATACATCGGGACTATTGATGCATATCTAGGCGATGTGCATGACGGGTACATATGTTGTGTCACGTAGCTTGAATATATGTACTTCGCTACTTAGTGTAGACGCCTTCCAAGGTTGCTTTGTCCTATGGTCAGCAGCTTACATCAAGCAACGTTGGGGCCTGCAGTGAGTAGCTTGACCTCGTGCACATCTGCGCCTCCAACATTCATATGTTGATGTTGACGTAGACCTGCAGTAGCTATAAATACAACGTACTATTGCATACGTAGATCATTCTACGTCAACAAGATTATACAAAGAAGGTTCAAGTGACCGTTCCTCTTCGCCTATAATGCCTCCAAGGTATCCGTATCCCAAGGTGGCGATGCGACAGCTACACCCGATAATTAACGCTTCAACCCTCCGAGTCATTGCGGGGACCAATCCCAAACTCGGGGAATGACAGGCAACTGCGGGGATCAAACCCAGAGAATCCTTCACGAAAAAGAAACGAAAGACCACACAAAAGAAGTCCCCTTGCAGAACCAACGGTGTCTTACTACCCCATCTGTCCAGCTCTATCTTGTGATGCCTCGGCAACTTCAAGAACTGGGGCAGCTTCGACCAATCACAGAGCAGATACATCTGTATTAGTCAGATTGAGGGCTCCGTGAAGGACTCAACTGACACGCGGGTCCTGGCTGTCAGGCACCACATTTTGAATTTCTTGGTCCCGTCGGGGTCCGTTCGCTGGGGCCCGATCGACTGTCTGCCGTCGTGCCCTGGCGGGATGGGCCCTAGCTCGTGCGCTTTGGCCGTTTTGGGAGAATCGTGAGATGAGATCCGCGCCGAAGGAAATAGTGTCCGATGTGATCCGATTGATTGAGAATTTGCATGTTTATTCTGCCCATAGTCCCACTAATTAATGTTACCATTACGAGTAGCTAGTGCTGACAGATTCAATGCATGCGTCGGCCTACCCAAAGGTAGGAGTCATATATTAGAAAGAATATGAAGTGGGGGGTTAATCTTCAAGGCATGATCTATATTAACAAGGTGGCCTCGAGAAAATCCCAAGAGATAAAGTACATGATTCCATATCAAAATCGTTTATTGCTGAGCCTTTCGGTTCTTCTTGCCCTTGCCTTTGGGCTTGGCTGGCTGCACCGGCTGCTCCTTAGATTCAGGCTCAGATTCATGGCCGCGGTCGGCAGCCTTGCTGACAACCTGTACCGCTGCAGCGGCAGTTGAACCAAAGTCCACGCCGCTGACGAATTGTTCGCTCAGGAACTCGAGTCCTGCGACGAAAATGCACAGGATACTGGCGATGCAGTAGTGGCTGATGGTCATGCCAATATCCAACCAGGAGCCCTCGTCGCGTACCAGATAGAAGAAGTTCAGCGTCATCACGTCTGAGATGGACATGACTATCATGAACAGAGCGCTAGGCCCGACTTCTAGTCGGCGGTTGAGAATGCCGAGATTGGCACTGATAATGGCAAAGGGGATCAAGATTTGAAAGAGGAGGAGCGCTCCTTGGCTGAAGGGCGCGAAGACAGGGATGAGTCGACGGACACTCTCCAACGTGAAGGTGGAGAGGGAGGCTACATTTCCGGTGCTAAAGAACGCTGACTGCAATAAGAAGAAGAAGAACAATGCCACGCGGGCATCGGAGACGGTGAGGGCGCGATAACGGTATGTTTGGCCGTCAACTGTGGCGGTGGCTGTAGGCCCGGACTTTGAGGTAGCCGAATTTGACGACTTGGTTGTGTTGGATCCATTGTGAACGTAGATGGCGTGCTCAAGGCGAACCCAGGTAACCAGGGTCATACAGAACACGAAGTAGAACAAGCCCTCCCACGAAATAGTGAGGATGATAAAGGCGGGCGAGAAAGTGAGGAAGATGACTAGGAGGCGGTGTAAATAGTGGCTGTTAGGATACAGCCGGTGAAGGAAGGGCAGCGCCACAGATGAGCCTACATCGCGATTAGTCCTATCCATATGACCCAAAAACAACCCGGCGAGGGTTAGACTTACCTAGCACACCCCATCCAACGACTTGGTTACCGAGAGGCAGACCTTGGCGAGCCTGGAGGAAGGATACGCTTGATCGGGTGACAAGCAAGGCGAGTAGAACCAAACCGACTTGAGTGCCCACGATGATTCGTGAGCCAACGGTGCTGACTGCTGCGGAGCTTTTGGGTGCAACGCTGCTTTTCCCAAGGATAGTGTCCTCAAACATTAGGTAAAGAACGCCAGTGAAGAACATAAGAAGACCACCATAGGTACTAGAAAATGAACATTAGTTATAGCATAAAGAGCCCGAATTGACGAAGTACCCACATAGTGTCGATGTCCTCCATTTTACTGACAGGAAGGATAGGGAAGATACTCATGAGAGAGCAGCCAAGAATCCATGCCACAGTCAAGAAGACATGGTTGCGAATAAATCCAAAACCGTAAGCCAGGGGCCAAAGGGCACCCAAAGCAAAGCATATGGTTAAGATTTCCCGATAGAAATAGGCTTGGACCTGTTCTGTGTCAGCTGATAGGAAATCCTCGATAATGAATCATAGATCGACTTACAAGTGCCTCCAGCACACCTAGGAACGCCAGAAGCTGCACTCCGAAGCTCACATATCCACCGAACGAACGGACATGGGCAAGAACAATCTCACGGCCAGCAATGAGAGCTTTTCTGCGGGCAAACACTTCTTCCCAGAAGTAGACAGGGAAAAATCCGTAGAAGTAGTAGCGCCATGATGAGCCCTGGTACAAGAACACAGAGAACAAGGCCACCAAAATAGATGTGAAGAACGAGATGCTAGCAGTAGTGCGGTGGGAATCAGACGTTCCATGCAGAACGTGCAAGTCAATAACGGTGGTCAAAGAATAGGCAATCCAACCCAGGTATCCCAAGGTGACAATGTTCCGCAGAAACAGCCAGTCGTAAGTCTGCAGATAACGTAAACCTTCGAGACCGAGGACTAGCAGTTCAGAAGATAGGGCAATTGAATCCTCATAATCGCCCTTGGAGATAAGCGCCTCCATATTAGCGAAGCGGCCTTCAATTGAAGTTTCACCGTCCCCTGAAAGTGGTTGAAAAGGCACATAGCGGAGCAAGGCCTCTCTCTTTTGCTGTTCCTTGACCTGGTACATTTCTAGCACACCTCGGGTATTCGCAAGAGCGGCTAATGCCTTCTCCTCGGGGCTGCCATTGATGTAGGCTAATGGCAACTGACCCACAGAGTTGACTGGATAGTCAACACCCACTAGGTAAGCCATGAGAGCGGCAACATCGGCTTGTGCTACATCATGTCGTCGAACTTGGTCGAAACCCCAGTCCGACGAGAAGCCGTCTTCGTGTCCTGTGGCAGCTCCCGGGGTGTTTGCTAGCGGCTTTGCAACACCAGATCCCCACGCAACAAGAGGAGTCCGTGTGTTATCTGGGTGACCATCACCGTGGCTGCCTAAGTCACTCATGCCATGGTCCGCGGTGAAGATAAATGCGGTTTTGTCATCCGCGTAAAACTCTTCCACAAGTTTTGTCACTGCCTGCACACCACGATCTACTAGCTTGATATTACTCAAGTATTCCTTTGAGTATGGCCGGAACGCGTGACCAGTGGTATCCAGACCCAGCAAGTGAAGGAAGAAGACCACCTTGTCCTCACGCAGCTTCCGATCCAGCTCCGGATCGCTCTTGGCAGATTCAAAGAGCTCATGCACCTTATCAAACACCCAGGTATCCAGATGTGACGCATCCACACTGAAGTCTTCCTCCTCTTCGCTGTATGTATCCGCATCGACTCGACCCGGTTCTGCACCCTCCTTAAACATTGGAAGGATATCAGGACTCCCCCAACTCCATGTGTGCCGACTCCGGTTGAAAACACTATCGAAGTTGACTGGATTCAGCTTCCAGCCCGTTGTGACCGCCGATACATCCTCGTATAGGCCCGCGATGAGCGCAACATGTCCTGGCCGAGACTCGGTGGGGACCCGGGTGTGGGAGACACCGAACGTTCCCTGCGAAAGAACCTGGGACCTAATGAACGGAGACAACCGGATCAACTCATCGCTTGGTTCGACGTCGTTTTCGGGGGATGGATCGGGGAAGGCCTGGAAGGCCTTGTCGGCGCGCAGGCCATCGGCGACGAAGAGGACCAATCGTTGAGCTGGTGCACTGGTACCTTCGGGTCGGTCCACGCCATATGATCGCATACCACTCACGATGGGGCTAACGAAGTAAATGTCGAAAATTGAATATGTATAGATCAAGTGGAAGACCACCGCTAGGGCGAGGAAGCCAACGCGGCCTAGACGCGCCATGATCTATTGATCCTCACCTCTCACAGAGGGTGACCTGGCTCTGTAGATGAATGAACAAAATGAGGCCCCTGGTGAGAAAGAAAACAAAAAGAAAAAAGAAAGAAAGAAGAGGGCAACCACAAAAAGGAGGTCATCACGGATATGGAACAATTAAACCACATCGATTTGATGGGTAACTTGCGGGACGGGCGGTGAAGCACCAATCACGACGCCCCAATTAAGCACGGCAGTGTTTACTTTAGTTAACACCTTGCTATGGGCAACGCTATACTTGTTTACATATTTGATATTAATATCATTCCAAAATGAATTGCATTAATCGCTCACAAACTCCTTCTAATGACCTCAATAACTGTCAATAGAATGCTTAAATGGCTTTCATAGCTATACACGCGATGCAGTGCTGGACCGCCGTTTAGTCAGGGCATCAATCACCCGAGTATAGAACTTCGGCGCCTGCTCCCGCTCGAAAGTAATATGATCGATCAAGAAGTCCGGTAGGATATCGACAAGGTCTCGATCGCGGTTGGCATCCAACAGAGGCAGGTACTCAAATACTGCCTTTTCATACTCCGAACTAGGCACCTTGGGGATGGCCAACTTGAAATGCAAGGCTGGGAGATAGTCAGTACAATACTCATCTGCAGAAAATCATATATAAGGCACTCACTTCCGTTGACACCTGTCTGAATACAGTCATACAAATGATCAGCCTCTCGATCCGTTACACCACGGACGATCAAGCCAGTCAAGTCGCTATAAAGATCTTCCTTAAGCTGAGCGACCTGTGCCGCCTGCGCAGCCCCGGCATTGGCGGCTGCTACGGCACGGTTTGCGGGGCCGCCCTTGATGGCACTGCCAGGGATCTTGGTCTTCTCCAAGCTTGCAGCTGTATTACGAGCAGCAGCCAGCTTTGTCTGCAAGGCCTTGACCTCAGTCTGGGAAGCAGCAATTTGAGAACGCGACTCATCTGCCTGCGACTGAAGCCGGGCAATTTCAGCATCCCGTTCTTTCAGTTGCTTCTGAAGTGCACGACTCTGTTGCCCGAGAGCTCGCTGAGCTTCCAACTCGGATCTGAGAGATGCAACCAGCTCATTCGAAGCTACGATGAATTAGCATAAGGCCAGAAGTTGAATAAATCGCCAGTAGAGTACCTACCCGTAGTGACAGTCTCACACTGTTTGCGCAACTTCTCCATATTTGTGTTGGCCTCTACGACTCCAATCTCGCGGAGATTGCGATACTTGGATTCCAGGGCTTCTTGCTTCTTGGTAAGATCACCAATTTTACGTCTCAACTCTGGTTCTCCACCTTGCTCGACATCGCCTGAGTTGCGTTTACGCGGAGAGGGTTCTAGTGTGTTCCGCATTGTAGAAAGCCGAGATCGTGCATTCTTCACAGCGGAGGAAGGCACATGACGAGCAGGGGGCACCTCATCAGGAAGTATAGACTCATCTACAACCTCTCTAGCAGGTTCATCATTCTGAACTGGGTCGGCCGTTTTGGCTTCCTTCTGTCGCCGTTGAACTGCGCGCGGACGGGGACTAGCTTCCGGTTCTTCTCTAGACTCCTGAGCCACAGCTTGCTTGGAGCCAGAGGGTGTATACTCAAATTCGCCATCTGTGACTGAATGCTTTGCCGCGCTCGCTGCACGGCCTGTTCGGCGCGTAGGTGCAGGCTTAGTAGCCCTCGTTGCACGGGTTATCTTAGTCTGTTTAGTTGCCATAGGATCTTCGTTTTCTTGTTCAGAATTCTTTTCATCGGCAGCTTCATGCATAACCTCCGCCTCCATTTGGGTCTCCGGGGCTTCAGAGGTGCGACTACTGCCGCGTGGTCGTCCTCGCCGACCAGGTTTCTTGGCCGGGGGAGCATCAGCTTGTGCAGCTGTAGCCGACTCTCGCTTTTTGGCTTGGCTTGTCGGTTGCGATTCGGTCGCATTGTCATTCGATATGCGCGGTCGGCCTCGTCGTTTCTTCGCGGGAGGTTCGTCATGCGATTCTTGTGCAGGGGCGCTCCCGTCTCCCGTAACCTGCATTATATCCTCATCATCTGAGCCCGTAAGGCCAGAAAGTTTCGTAGGAGCTTTCCGTTTCGGCATGATATCCAATAAGAGTAATTCTTTTGCTGCGGTGTGAATCGCGGACAAAGTGCGACGCGCGCCGCGCGAACATCAACAACGTTCTCCGCCTTGAACATGTGACATTCCGAGCCACAGATCGGCCGCGCCACAGCCCGATTCATCTCGGTCATCGGGGAAGTTCTGTTTCCCCCGTACTTGGTGACGAGGCCTTGAGTTTCTTTTGATTATTCGTCGCATTCTTGAAATCTGCATATTTGCGGCTGCTTCGCCATGTCTCCACAAGGTGACCGGAGCGGTCTCCCTTGGGTACGATTTGTTCAAGAACTGGGCATGATGCTAGTTACGGTGAGTACCCGGCCCACAGGTCCCTGGTTTAAGGGTTCAAATCATCTGCCATCCGCAAGACTGTAAGTATCTAACTATGTGTACAGGGAATGGTCGCATATGGTGGCGTCAAACTAGTTCTAAACCACCTCACCCCTCCGGACCCAGAGAACCAGAAGAAGGAGGAACAACGACAGAAGTCAGCGGCGATTTTGCGCAGATTATACGGAGACGATGAATCCAAGGGCGGTGTCCGGAAAAGTGAGCTAGTTCTCAACCAATATGAGCAAGCAATCGCTGCAGAGCTCGTCGATCCGAAAGACATCCCCGTTCGGTGGGACGACATCGCCGGTCTCGACGATATTATCAAGGATCTCAAGCAATCTGTGATCTGGCCATTGATGTACCCGAAACTGTTCGCTGCAAACCCAGCAACTCTTCGAAGTGCACCGTCTGGTGTGATCCTTGAGGGACCACCTGGCTGTGGAAAGACTATGATCGCTAAGGCGCTGGCGGCTGAGAGCGGGGCTTCTTTCATCAACTTGAATATCTCTACATTGACAGATAAATGGTACGGTGAATCCAATAGGCTTGTTCGAGCGGTCTTCACTCTCGCGCGCAAGGTCCAGCCTTGCATTATCTTCATCGATGAAATCGATGCGCTCCTTGCGAAGCGGTCTGAACGGGATCACGAAGCAAGTGGAATGGTGAAGGCGGAATTCATGACACACTGGGACGGTCTTCAATCAGAGAGCTCAACCGAAGGGCGTCAGCGGATTGTTGTCTTCGGAGCCACCAATCGTAGCGACGCTATTGACAAGGCCTTTATAAGACGTTTGGGGGGTAAGCCTATTGAGGTGAGACCTCCAGATGCAAGAGGCCGTGCCATCCTTTTCAAGAAGCTTCTGAAGAATGATTTCGTGGACTGGGAGGACCTGGACCTCGAGGAGGAGAAGGATGAATTGATCAAAATGGATATCAGCGAATTGCTGCAGAAGCCGTTGATCCGAAGAACAGAGGGTTGGACCGGCAGCGATATTAAGGATGCATGCGTTCGAGCAGTCAACACCACTACCCCTTACGAGACCATTGAGGCAATGTTGTCGACTGGTAAAGATTTGAACCAAGTGGCCACGGAGGAGGTGCTGGATCCTGTCCGCCTAAGCAACTTCTTCAAAGACGTGGAAATCAAGACAATTCCGGTGAAACTACCAATTGCGCCAGTCAAGATTGTGGCCGAGGAGAAAGAAGATTGGTGCACCGAATCCGAAACCGCCTCGACTGATGCCTACTCCATGCGGCCCGAGTCTCCAGAGTGATGACATGTCTTGTGTTCATTTAGACGATCCATTTGGCTTTAATTTTTTTCCCTATCACCCCCTTCGAGACGCTGCGCGAAGGAAGGGGAGTTATCTCATGGGATATTCTTACCATTTTTACTTGTTGCTGGTCACTCCAGTGGATTGCAAATCTGTTTTGGCAGGACCGGGTTGTGCATAGAATTAGTCCGGTCATTTTCCGTAGAATAATTGGATCAGGGTTTGGGTTAACGGTATTATACACGTCTTGTTTTCTAAGGTTATCTTATAATAATCGGCGGCCTGGGCGTCTAATCTATAGAACCTCTTAAGACTTGCGGGTACCGGGTACAAACGGATGGGTGAGAACTGACCGTCAACGTCATGTACCCCCTACTTGTGTGAGCGGCGAAGTCACCTGCCGATCATCCCACAGCGTCTCCCGAAACATACCCCTACTCTTCTGGTCGTTCTATTGTCACATCTCTTTTACACGAATTGCGCTAAAAACGATTCGATTCTCATTTGTTGCTTTTGGGCTTTGTCTGCCTCAAGTCGGGGTTGTCCGTTGTGGGTCGTTATCGTCACGACGGCCACGCCTCCCTCTACCTCCTATCGCATCATTGAGCCACCACTCCTCACTCCACCCTCCCCGCCTCCTTCACTTTAGACAACAAACCTCTAATATCAAAACCCGGGGTCATTGTGGAACGCATACACTCTGCTGGCTCGGCTTGCCCCATTCTTGAGGCCACGAATGCGACACGGCGGGTGGATGACGAATGGGTCTCTCCTAGGAGATTACTGATGGCAATCAGTGCCTTGGCAGCACCCACACTTCCAAAGGGAGCCTTCGACTCGCATTATTGGAAGCTGACATCCTCGGACCTCACTGACAGGAATGAGTTCCAAAAGTAGCGTTGCCAATGCTTCCATGAGCTCCAATACACTCGGCGCGAGCTCCACCTCGACCTCCGCGGTTCGATCGCGCCCTCGCCGCCTGGTTTCCTTCATGGACGGAGAAGACAGCACCCCCAATAATAATGGTCTTTATGCCTACCATGACTCTCAGCCTTTCACTTCGGGACTTTCCACCAATCTTCTACCGGAGGGAAACACACGTTCTCGTGGCACTACCCCCTCGCCGCTTTCATCCCGTGGAGCATCGCCTTTGCCCATGAGACACCCCTCCCGAGTTACCGAGTCGGAATATCGGAGCCGCAACGAGTCTAACTCACTGGGTTGGAATGGGTCATCTAAGTCGGCACGAGGGGGTTCGGACTTCCTTGATTCCCCATGGTCTTCGCTCCAAAACCTGGCGTCATCGGTTCTAGGAAGCAACACTGGACGTAACGCAGCAGAGAATTCGACAAAGACACATCCAAGGAGGAAACCGTCGCGATCGGACGTATATACCAGGAGCACCCCCAGGGCGAATCTTTTATCGTGGGGGCCATCCGCGCCCGCTTCCCCAGATATTGGAAGTGGGACTAAAGAGGAGCGGCAGGCGTTGGTGCAGGCGAAGAAACGTGAGGCATTGTTGCTCGCGGACTCTGATTTGATATCAGGTCGCAATTTTCGACATAAAAAACGCGACTCGGGGGATTACTCAGATCAGGTAATCGACCCAGATCACGATGAAGACGCGCTGGCGTATATTCATCATGTACAAGCATCGGATAGCATCACCGGAGTGACGATCAAATACGGTTGTCAAGCTGCTATCTTTCGGAAAGCGAATGGTTTCTGGCCAAACGATAACATTCAGAGCAGGAACACGGTCCTGTTGCCAGTGGATGCATGCACCGTAAAGGGCCGACCCATTCAAGAGAAAGAACGCGTGGATCTTTTGGGGGGTGATTCTGAAGATGGCACTGGCAGCTGTATTGCGCCGGCAGTGGATCATACAGATGGACCGGTAACAGAGCGCAAGACTACCGGTCATTCTGAACCAGATACCAACAAAATCTGGAAACACGAGTCTTGGGTGCAGATAGAGGGGTTTCCAGCGGCCATTGAGATTGGACGTGTTCCACGAAGAGCACTGGGCTTCTTTCCGCGAACACGGCGGAAATCTGTATCCTACACTGATGCAGAGCCTCCGTCTGTGATCTTGTCACAAGATTCAACTAGGTCGCCATCTCCGTCTGGATCGGCCCAGCTGAATTCCTCCCAAACCGCACTACCACGCACTCGTCCTCGTGATGGCGACACGTCCAAGCCCGGTGGCTCGCATCCTACTCGTCCTAAGCATCGTCGTCAGCGCAGCAGTATTCATCTTTCTGGAACCGGAGTCGGCACCCTCGACCGTACCTCAACTGCACCTGGTCCTGCTCTAGATGGCTTAAGCAAATTCTTCTCGCAACACATGCCCCAGCTAGCACCTCCACCACCACTTTCAGACCTCCGCAGACCATCTTTCGGCTCAGAAGCCACCGTTACGTCTAATGCCTCAACAGGCCTAGAAAACATCGGTGGAGCGCTCGAAGGATGGGTTCGCAAGGTGGCGACGCGTGCCAAAGCTGGCTTTAATGACATGCAAGGCTCCCCGACCTTACCAGCTTCTGGCCGAGGTCGGAGTCCAGGAGTGTGGGGCATGAATGATCTAATTGAATTAGATGATGCCTCGGAAGGTCGACGGTCTCCCAGCGTATTCGGGACTGCGAGAAGACCAGAATTAGGCACATCTTCCTCTTCCTCGTCTTTCCGCCCCACAGCCTCCGCCTCCGCCACGAGCAGGCCTCGTGCGACTGGCTCGGGCTCTACTGCTTACCCTGAGAGAGTTAAGGATGACTGAGATGTTTGGTTTGAGTTGCAAGCGTACATACTAGAAGCTCTTGTGTATGTGAATTCATTGGATAGTTCACGGATGTTGCATTTTCCCTCTTTCTACTTCAAATTTCTTGATTTCTCATGAGCGGCTTGGTGTTTTCTATTCTTCTCTTTCGCATTGCCATTACCCCTCTTGTTTTGAGTCACCTGGTGGCCCTAGTCATTATATTAGGGTATTGTTGAATATAGCATCGTCTTTGGCTGATTACTTCCAATGGTTAGATAATATAGCCAGGTAATAAATATGGAAAGCTTTGCCTAATAAAGAATGGAACGTACTCAGATGTGCGGGTCGATCCAGCAATGCAACACGGATAGTCTTTTGACATGAAAGCTTGAAAACCAATGTTGAGATATCATCAACGGCTGAAGTGGTTTTCCATAGAAATCCAGGGTTTGATTTTGATTGTTTGACAAAATGTACTCTGATACAAGTAACAATCTTCCCTAACAAGCTAAATTACCCACCTTTACCGGGCAATGCTGTTGATGTACTGCATCCCCGCAACACGATAATCATCTGCTTCAACATAGCTCTCATTTCGCGGAAGACGGAAGACAAAATTAGTGGCTTGCGATGAGAAACTAGGCCAAGTTGGAATGCTCGGTACTAGATTAATTGAAGTAAGTAATTTACTTGACTGGAAAGTTTCCAGCAATTGATGGAGGGATTGGTGCTACAGGACTTACTTCCATGACCATTGGGGTTCAAGTCTGCGGCAAAAGAGGTCCACATCCGTGCAGCCATTTGTCCAAGTGCTAAGCGGCCAGGTAAATCTGCTCCTAGAGAGGTAATATTTTGGACCGGGTTCGCGAAGACAAAAGGGATCTGTGTCAAAAGTAAGCCCTGGTGCAGATAGAAAATTCTAGACAGGCAAGTTAGTCTGTACCTCTGCAAAATGCTGCACTCCAATTGATGAGCTAGTGTTCAGAGCAGCCACATCCCACCGGTATGAGAACACATTCTTCTCAAACACGGACATAGTATGTGCCAGCATTCGGCGAGGCGCCACCATGCACAGATCTCCGGCTATAGATTCATAGCGCTTGTATTCATAGCCCAAAGAGGGCCAAGTAGTGTTACCCCAACCGTAAGGACAACCAATAGCGGAAATATTAGGATAGTGACTCAAGACATTAGTGGCTTCTTCACTGGAAAGCACCCACCGCTTCGATGCTGGTAAATAGTCTTAGCTGGGTCATTCCACATAAGCCCTTGGCGTCATTCAGGATTACTTACAGATAAGTTGTGCAATAGCTTCCTCATCCGTGTTCACACCCGTTGTTCCAAAACTTGTACCTTCATCTGTGTTGGTACCTAGAAGAATGGGAACTTTGGCGATTTTGCCTTCTCGATAACTTATTTGTGGATATTGTGAAATGAAAATATCATCGATAGTGGCAAACCACTCCAGGCCAGCGTAGGCGACACTGTAAAACGTCTCATAAGGGAGATCGCGAAGGCATTCGAGAGGTTTCGTGGCATTTGAGCAGCCAGCTCGCTCAACTATTCCGTCGTACATCGGTTGGTGCCATTCGGTTCCGTTGTATGGGGGTCCAACGGCGTTTCCGGAATCCATTATGGCTAAATTTCATGTCAACTCGATACCAATCGGTAACCATATTCGATCTTACCGGCTCTGAAAAGACCTTCATTATCACCACCATTGGTGACTAGATGATCTCCGACACTATAGGCACCGCTATTTGACTAGTTAGCGCCTCTGTGATTTTCAAAACTTGCAAAAGTGACTCTGAGATACTAACGCAGATTCGCCCCAGATAGTGACCTTGTCGGGATCACCTCCAAAGGCGTGGATATTCTCTTTGACCCAGTGCATGGCAACACGCTGGTCTCGAAGTGCAAGGTTGGTGTTTCCTTCGGCCTAGCTCGCTGTTATCGACGATGCTCGAAATTATGACAAACGAATTGATCCACTTACCCGCACTTCTTTTGAGTCTAGAAATCCAAAAGCAGCCAGTCGGTAGTTGATTGAGACACCAATCACTGGCTTGCCATTATCTGCACTCTGTTGAATTATGTAGCTCATATTATATCTAGTCAAATGTTAGCATGGAATCTTGACTGCCACTCAGGCAACTGACCTTGGGTCAGCAGTAGATCCTTGTTGCCATCCTCCCCCAAATATCCAAAGCAGAACCGGTAGTAAGTCTTTACTTTCAGACTGGGGTCTGATAACGTTCAGGTTTAGACAATTTTCGTTCAGCGTGACAAAGCCTTGATTGACCAGATTTGTGGTATCGGATCCATATCCAGGACAATCATATCCATACTCAGTTGCGTTGTAATAGACTTCACCAGCGTGGGACTTGATGCCAGCGGCAGAAAGATCATATGCACCGGAGTCGCTATCACTAGATACGTATTTGGCCTTCAGTTCCGCGGGCGTAAAACGGACTGGCTTATCGGCAAATTTGACTCCCAGAAAGAGATCCTGATTGAACTCAGAAAGGGTGCGACCAACAAATACCGTTTTATTGTGTGCATTTTTGGAAGTGAGTGTCGCAGTTGGCGGTTCACTGGAACTTGTCTTCTGCGTTGATAGAGGAGTGGAGTATGCCAGCGAAGCACAGAACAGCCATAAGGCCAAGAGACGCATTTCCATGGTTTTATTCCTCTTGGACTTACACTTTCAAGGTACGTACGTGACTATTTTGTGACGAAAAAGGGGACTCTTAAATAATTCGCCTTGGCCTGTCATGACCCACTCTCAATCGGACTCAACCGGAAGATCATCCTATGTAGACCATGATATTTTCCGAAGAGTATTGTCTTGGGACAATGTCTCATGTTAAATTGAAGTTTAGTATGAAGAATACTCCTTGCTTATGGGATAGAGTGCGCTCATAGGTGGGAAAATTGAGCTGGGGCATCCGGGGTAGATAGAGCGGGGATGAAAGTTTCGGCAAGACTCTATTAAAGCGACGGCCGCTAAGGCACATAACGAACTTGCAATTTGCACCATAATCGGCGCAGCGTGTCATCGCCCGAAATAAATTTAGGGGACTAAGCCTCCAAGCCTTTCAGTCACCAGGTTTCCAGCCTTGATTTGTCGTCGTTCAGTAAATAGGCCGGTCAGGGCAAGAAAAGTTTGAGAGACAATCTGATGATAGTCATATTGGCTAATAGTTGAGAAGAAGGAAAACTGTAGTGAGCTACTTTTGAGAAGTTCGAAGATGAGAAGATGAGAAAGGGAGGAAGCAGCGAGCGAGAGATGATATGTACGCCCTTCAACTTAAACTCTATTACCAAAATATTTTAATTTAGAAGAATGTCTAGGTAATCACATGCCTATGGTAGTACTAGATACCATGCTGAAGTGGCCCTGGAGGTACACGGTCGCCGGTTTAGCCCTAGGTCTACTACCTAGACGGGGGCAGGCGAGAGCATATAGAACGGATAGCTGAATCAAACTAGATCACCCGAAGAGGATGGCCGTGCTTCGTGAGCTACTTATACGTCCTATATATATGAACGAAGAGTTCGTAGATCTAGAAGATACCCATCATGTTCGGAGGTGAAGAGACTCCACCAGGCATGTTTAGTGGCACAGACGCTACGAAGAAACTCCATCGCTGAAGTTCCTGACAGGTCCGTGGTAACGCCTCGAGATCGAAAAGTTCCCCTGTTATTCCTTAGTTGACGGGATCGCGAAGAATAACAAGATCCCGATGACTTACCAATCGGCATGCCCCATCCAGCAAGCACATACTCGTGCAAGAAGATATCAGGAGACTGAGGTGGGTAGACCTGTACAGTTGTCAGTCAGTCTCCCCATTGACAGTTGCAACAAGTCAGAATTGAACTTGTTGAACTTGTTGAAGGGTTTTATGTTATCCTTACCTCCCAACTAATCGCGTCACTGGCGATGGCGGCAAACCCAGTATCCCACAGCCAGCGGAGGACTTCCGTGGTCGCTTCGACTCCAGCGTGCTCTGGGCTAGAATTATCCGAATAAGCCTGTTTTTGGGCGTCGGTCATGTATGTGTCCCATTCCTTGGTCACTCCGATCCGAACAAAAAGAATGTCTCCTTTCTGAAAAGTTACCTTGTTCTCCTTTGCAACCTCGAGAATATCGGTCAAGCGTACTTGATGGGTGGAGAGGAGAATGTGGTATACTTGATGCCCTTTTTCTCGGCCCATGTCGCGTAGTCGATCAAGACTCCACGTCCTATTTTGAAAAATCTCAGACCTTATCAGGGGTTGAAGTGAAACGAATATTTACCGGCTATTCCCTCTCGTGCCCAGTGCTGGGTACCAATTCGATCATTTTGGCGATCATTGATCTCGTCAACGGTTGTCCCGCCATAGAACACACGCTTAGACTGACCAGGCACCGTTTGAGAGAAATGACGCAAGCCATCCCACTGGCTACTTTGCTCTGTTAAATTGTCAATACAGGAAAATGTGGATGCGAGAAAAAAAGGTTGTTTCCGTCTCACGTGGGTTCATAGTGTAAACATCATCAAACGCAACACCTCCTGAAAGAGGCACGATTTTGTGATGACATGGCTGCCGATTGAGATTGGGATAGTCGAGTTTTGTCAATTCCCACCCCATAGTTACACAACGGCCGCATTTTATCTCGCTAGCGGCTGCTGCAGCGACAACTTCGGGGGTTAGAATAGCTAGTTTGCCTAAACCCTCCTCATAGCTGCCGGGTCTTCCAACCCAGACCTGCCTGGGGTTGGGAAGTTCGTCAAACGGAATGTCAAATGGTGACTTGGCCATGCTTTCGATGCGGTCTGGGAAGTGACAATTATTCTGACCGGCAATGTGAAGTATAGGAGAACTTTCGCTGCCGTCCTTCCCTTTTTTGAGCTGCCAAGTGGTACTTTTGCTCAGAACCCACTGGTAGGAAGCGTGCGCGATACTCTATGAACTTAATGACTTCGGAATACCTCCGCAGGAAAGTTGCATGGCCCGTGGTGACACCTAGTGATCGGCAAGCAAATCATCTCTTCACGAACTTTATGCATGCCAACTCCACTTGAGTACTGCAGTCAGAAAGATCGACCCCCCTTGCTCGTGTTTGCTGCGAATTTCAAATTCTATTCCATTCCACATGTCAAGTGGGCTTAGCTGACCCTGGTGTTTTTACCTTCCTAGCAATATCTATTTTGATTCCCTGGTTGAACGTTGAAATAAACTCATCATGGGTAGGTTCGGGTCGCAGACTAGTACCTATAACAGGCTGGTTGTCATTTTTGTGGCCATTGGGTCCATGGTAGGCTCCACAAGCTCCCTAAAGTGCGACATGACTACTGACCTTGAATGAAAATACCTAGACCTACGGATATTGTTCCTCAATTATCTCCAGTACCATCGGCCAGCCGGGATGGTACACCTACTTCGACCTACCCACCGAAGGAGAATCAGGATACGCGACCATCACAACGCCCGCTATCTCGACGGCTAACGGGGTTTTCAGTGCGGGCGGTGCAGTTGGCACGCTTTTCATAATGTGGTCATGCGATTCCTTTGGTCGGAAGGCGAACATTCAGTTCGGCGCTTTCTTTTCACTATTTGGGGGAGCGCTCCAGGCTGGTTCTAATTCACTTGCGTATGTTGTCACTCTTGGTTCCTTCTGAGATGCATCTAACGATGTCTAGCATGTTCCAAGCCGGACGCTTCATTTGCGGTCTTGGCATCGGTATCCTTGTGACTGTCTGCCCTATGTACTTGTCCGAGATGTCAAGTGCTTTGCGCCGAGGATGGCTAGTCGGCCACCACGCAATTTTCCTTGTGTTTGGATACATGCTTTCTGGCTGGGTAGGATTTGCTTGCTACTACGCGACAGGCCCGCTATCCGGATTTGGCTGGAGATTTCCTCTGGCCTTGCAATGTCTGCCGGCCTTGGTGCTGTCTCTTGGATCTCCATGGCTTCCTCGTTCACCTCGATGGCTTATATCCAAGGGCAAGCTTGACGAGGCAGAGCATGTCCTTATCAAACTCCGCGAATCGCCAGATGATCCGGATAATTTGGTCGCCAAGGAAGAGTTCTTCCAAACCAAAGAGCAGATTAGACTCGAGGCAGAGAAAATGGCTGCTTATGGCAATGTTTGGAAGGCAGTGTTCAAGAAGAAGACTTACCGCAAGCGAATGGTTCTTGGGTTTCTTACCCAGTGGGGTGCTGAGTTTGGTGGACCACTTATTATTGTGAGTCCATTATCATTTCATTGAAAGTTCCTCCTCTACCGAGTTACTAATACCTTTTCAGAATAATTATGCTGTTCTTCTCTATACCAATCTAGGCATGGATGGTTCCATGCCTCTACTTTTGAGTGCGGTCTGGTTGACAACTGCTGGTAAGAATAGCTTACAAGTGTCTGCTTTATCCTGCTAATAGTCTCAGGTGTAATCTACAATCCTCTCGGAGCCTGGCTCCATGATAAAGTCAACTCCCGCCGCGGAATGTATATGACTGGGTTTGTAGGTATCATTGTCTCTACGTCGTGTCTTGCTGCTATGACCGCCCAGTACTCCGGTACAACCAACAAAGTCGGCAATGGCTTTGGTATCTTCTTTATCTACCTATATCTGGCCTTCCAGGGGTATGTGATCTCACTGCTGCGTACTGGTGTTGTTGAGCTCAAAACTGACCTTCCTCCAGTACTTTCTGTGACACAACTATGTACCTCTACGTCTCTGAGATTTTCCCCACTGAGATTCGCCCAATTGGCATGGGTTTCTCTTTGTTTGGCCAGTTTGCTGGTGAGTTGTCTTTTCAGGTCTTGCTGTTATCTAGCAAAAGTGTACTAATATACCCCAGCTACCCTGATTCTCCTACAAACTGCTCCTATGGGCTTCAACAACGTTGGCTGGAAATACTACCTCGTCATCATCTGCTGGTCTACAGTTTTCATTCCAAGTATGGTGGACTCTTATCTTTTGACTGAACTATCAGCGAAGCCTGGCTAAAAACACCCACAGTCATTTACTTTTTCTTCCCCGAGACTGCTCGGCTCACATTGGAAGAAATCGCGGAGAACTTCGGAGAAGAGGTTGCTGTTCACCTCACAGATAAGACTGATGAGGAGAAGGCTCAGCTCAATCATCAGCTAGCTCAGCCATATTCCCAGTCTTCTGCGAAGTCGGACTCTGCCAATGACAGAGCGAAAAACATTATCCCAGCAACTGCAGAGGGGGCTGAGCAGAACTTGACGAAGGCGGAGTAGATGCACGATTATACTGGGATATATTGTTTATGACTGGGAAGCTATTAGATTTTTTCAAGCTTTCCATAGGCCTCATGTCGATTGAAGAACTGAAACAACCTCGTTTCCATAATGCATGAAACTCCTTCGTTGTTGATCCATATCAGTAACCATACCCAGGAAAGCTTTAAATAGATGAAAACACCAACAGAATGATGCTAGCCAGTAAAACCTCTGGTTGGAAGGCTATGCACAGTGATAAGTAGGCAAATCTTACCTAGAGTGGAATAACCCTGGTCATCATGCATACCCAGCGCATCGCCGGCGCTAACTCGTTCCCACTAAACCCCTCATTTTAGAACACCATCCCATCCCATGTTAACATTAGAATGTGTCTGATAAACATTGATCTGAGACTCTAACATCCGTCTCTACATTCCTGATAGTAAACAATGGATAAATTTAAAAAATGGCGAAAACAACGCAAACCGATCACTTATGTGGCTGAGGCTACAATTTCAGATAGTGAAGTGTCGTCCCTACCACGCTATCAAACAGAACCTCCACCGCTACCTCCCCCGGCTCCTGCGTTCAAATTTGGGTTAAAGACTCTCCATGAATGTACCGATGCGATCGTCGATATTTGTTTTGTACATGGGCTGACCGGCGACCGCGACAAGACCTGGACTGCCGTCGGCCAGACCACACCGTGGCCAAAGATACTACTTCCTCCGAAACTCAATGCCCGGGTCTTGATGTACGGATACGATGCAAATGTCGCACGCAAGTCAGTCACCTCGTCAAATCGTCTCATCAACCATGCCCAGAACCTTTTGGGGGACTTGACAGCGGACCGAAGTTTTTGCGATGCTTCCTCTCGTCCATTGATTTTCGTTGCTCATAGTCTTGGAGGTCTAGTATGCAAAAAGGCTATTCTCCTCTCACAAAATGCCGCTGAGCCCCAGTCACGGGCTCTATTCGATTGCTTTGAGGGAATTGCATTTATGGGAACACCACACAGGGGAGCTTGGATGGCAGATTGGGCCAAGATTCCGGCTTCAGTGTTTGGGCTTGTGAAATCTACGAATGTCATGCTGCTGGACATATTGCAACGAGACAATCAGCTTTTGGATTCAATACAAGTCGACTTCCTGACTATGATCCGAAGAATGCGAGAAAATGGCCGGGGGATCGGAATCGCCTGCTTTTTTGAAGAGCTTCCATTCCCTGTCATTGGAAAAATTGTGACTGAAGAATCAGCGACATTGGATGGTTATGACATATACAGCATTTACGCCAATCATCGTGACATGGTACGGTTCGCGTCGGAAGAGGACCCTGGGTTCAAGAGGCTGCTATGGAAACTTCTTACTTGGACTTCGCAAGTCGGTAAAACAATCTTATAAGGAGTGTGACTTTGATTTTGAGTAAGCTGACTTGTCATGAAGGTGAAAAAACGATAGAAAAACATGCCTATAGTGCCGAGGATCGTGCCTGTTTAAGAGATTTGCAAACAACCAATCCCCGCGACGACAAGTCTCGCATCGAAGCTACAAAGGGTGGTCTTTTGAGGGAGTCATACAGTTGGGCCCTGGAGGACAAGAGGTTCCAAGACTGGCATTACAGAGAAAAGGGTGGAGGAATTCTGTGGGTCCGAGGAGACCCGGGTAAAGGCAAAACCATGCTCTTGTGTGGAATTATCGATGAACTCTCGAATATAGATCGGAGACCTATTTCATTCTTCTTTTGTCAAGCCACCGATACACGTTTAAACTATGCGACGGCCGTGCTGCGTGGGTTGATTTACATGTTAATCGATCAAGAGCCATCTCTCATTTCCCATGTTCGACAAAGATACGACGAGTCAGGAAAGCAACTCTTCGAGAACCCAAATGCATGGCATGCGCTGTCAGCAATCTTTTTTGAGATCTTAGGATGTATAGAGAGCCCCTGCATGATCATCGACGCCATGGATGAATGTACCACTGGACTGTCTCCTCTGTTGGATCTCATAGTTCAAGTGTCATCCACCCATCCCCATGTCAAATGGATTGTCTCAAGTCGTAATTGGCCACAAATCAAAGAGCACATGAGCCTGATACCAGAGGAAAAGAAGGTGGCACTGGAGATGGATGAGAATTCCGTGTCCGAGGCAGTCAAAATCTTCATCTACGACAGGGTTCAGCGATTGGCGAAGCTCAAAAGATACACCCAGCAGATGTTTGACGCTGTTCATGACTATTTACTATTGAACGCACAAGGAACATTCCTTTGGGTTGCTTTAGTCTGTGAGAAGCTAGCCAGCATACCCCGCCTGAGGACCATCGAAAAGCTCGCTGCTTTCCCACCTGGACTGGATGCGCTGTATCAAAGAATGATGCAGCAGGTTTGCGAGCACGAAGAAGCTCCTCTTTGCAAAGATATACTTGGTCTAGTGTCCACCACGTACAGGCCTATCACGATCGATGAGCTGACGGCTTTCATTGATTTGCCTGAGTACGTGTTGGAAGATTATAACGAGTCGCTGGAAGAGATTATAGGATACTGTGGATCTTTTTTGACCATCTCAAAAAATACTATCTTTTTTGTTCACCAATCTGCAAAGGATTATTTGCTCGAAAAGGCCAAGCTCGACATATTGCCTGCTGGGATTGCAGGAAAGCACATTTTCATCCTTGAGAAATCTCTTGTCATCATGGACAAGAAACTTCGACGAGACATCCTTTCCCTCGGGAAAATAGATGGATCCATCAACCCAGTGTACGAAGAGAACATGGCCTTGGGCCCCCTTGCAGAAATCCGGTATTCATGCATTTATTGGATCAATCACCTACAAGATTGTGACCAACGAGCGGCTGCTCGTGATCATCTTCAGAATGGGGGCTTGTTGGACCACTTTCTCTCGAGAAAGTTCATCTTTTGGTTAGAGGCCCTGAGTCTTCTAAAAAGCGTTTCGAAAGGTCTTGAAGACATGCTCAATCTCGAGACTTTGACCAAGGTGAGTCTATTATCGTTTCCTTTGATAAAGCATTGTTTGACTAACCTTCAATCTTATAAAGCCTACACCACTCTTTGACCAAGTTCTCGATGCATCCCGATTTTTTCGTTACCACAAATATATGATCGAGCATCACCCTCTGGGAATATATAACTCAGTCCTTCTTTTCACCCCTACATGCAGTAGAACCAGGAGTTGTTTTGAAAAAGAGGAGCCAGAATGGGTGACAATAAAACCGGCCATTAACGAGTGGAGCCCGTGCATTCAAACAATTGATACACATAGCTTCGTGAATCATTTGGAATGGGCGCCTGATGAAACACGGCTCACATCAATGGGGTCAGATGGTGTTATCAAGCTTTGGGACTTGGCAAGCAGCAGCTGTGTGGCATCTATGCAGGCGCACAGGCTGGCTGGCGCATTCATGACGTGGTCCTATGATGGGATATATATAGCTACGGCATCATCGGACCGCGAGATCAAGATATGGGACCCAGAAAAGGAACAGTGCCTATTGACTCTGCTGGGACACGAGGGTCCTGTAAAAGCTGTCTTTTGGTCACAAGATTCAACACAACTTGTCTCAGTATCTTGGTCCTTGGATGATGGTGGATTTTCAAAGTTCTCACCATTGGCCATCAAAGTTTGGGATCGAACTGCTGGTCAATGTATCCTGACACTTGAAGGTGATGATAGCCGGATCCGCACTGCCTTCCCTTCATACGATGGAAAGAGCATTGTTACTGTGACATGCGATGGTATCATTAAAACTTGGAATGTTTTCTCCAGCCAAAGGATGTCAAGCCGGGATCCATTTCCTCAATTCGGCACTCTGAACCTCTGGTCCCATGATGGAATGAACCTCATCCATTCAGATTGGCTCTCCAATACCATCGAGATTCTGGATCCTGTCAGTTGGAAGTCGATTGAAACCATCGATACACGAAAAGGTTCCCGTATAACATATCTTGCACTTTCACATAATGGCAAGTTGCTTGCTTCGGCATCAAATCAGGGCCTTATCGAGGTCTGGGATCTATGTACGAGAAAACGAGTGTCAACGCTTGAAGGCCATTTTGAATTCATTCATATTTTGGCCTGGCTGAGAGATGGACGACTTGCGTCCGCCTCTTCTGACAAAACCATCAAAATCTGGGACACAACAACTTGCCAATGTCTCTCAACTTTCAAAGGGCATAACAGGGGAGCAAGCTCTCTACTCTTGTCAGCTGACGAGACACAACTCACGTCAGCCAGTCAACAGGGCAAAATAATCAAAATTTGGGACTTGGGCTCATCCACGGACGCTGCAGATCATAACCAGCCTGTGAGAAGTGTCGTCTGGTCCAATGACGCGAAACGCTTTGCTTCGTACTCAGACATGGAAATAAAAGTCTGGGATCCATCCAATGCAGAGTGCCTCCTAACTATCAAGAGCCACAGTGGCACCATTGATCTCATTAGCTGGTCGCAAAATGGAAACCTCGCGTCTCTTTCTTCGGATGGAATTCTCAGAGTCTGGGATGTATCGACTGGTCAGTGTTCTACGAGTATAGAGTCTGTTGAGCCCAGCGCTTCCTTGACGTGGTCACAGGACGGATCAAGGCTTACATTGGCCTCACATGACAGCCTCATCAAGACATGGGATGCAAGAACAGGCCAGAACTTGTGTACTGTGAAAGTTAACAAGATTGGACATTTTGTAACGTGGTCGCATGATGCAACAAGGTTTGCCTCCGTGGCAGACGATTGGAGCATTATGATTCAAGATCCACATACTGGCAGATGTGATTTACATCTCAAGGGACACGAAGATCCGGAATTCGACAATGTTCCGTTATTTGTAAGACAACCCATCATCATGGCCTGGTCGCAAAGTGGAATGCAACTCGCTTCCGCGCTAGGGTCGACCATCAAGATCTGGAATCTAGCAAGTGGCCAATGTAAGTTGGTGCTCGAAATTGAACAAAATATCGCAGACTTTCATTTTCATTTCTCTCGTGGGGCCTCTTTTGGTGAACCAAACCCTGAGTATCTGCATACAAGAGTTGGCTCTTTCGATACTGAGCCGTACGAGACTTCGGCAACAGATGCTTCGGCAAGCCTTGTTTGTTCCCCGCGGCCAGTGGGATTCGGTCTCAGTGGATGTCGTTCCTGGATTACCTACAATGGGGTAAATATTTTGGCCTTACCATTCGACTATGGGCCAAATGTCTCCATTGCAATGGCAGTAACAGGAAGCACCGTGATACTCGGGTGCGTGACGGGGCGAATCCTGATATTGAAATTCTCAAAAGACTTGCCTCTTATGTAACTACCATGATCACTTTAATACCAGAATTATAGGAAGACCTAGTATGGGTAAGATATGGCTCGCCACTAATCTGAATCTCGCTTTTTCAATTGATGAAGCTAGAAGAAAAGAGCTTTTATTGGTTGAAATTCCATTCCCTAGTTTCTGGTCCACCAATTTTATTGCTCAAATAGCGATTTTCAGATTTTATATATGACTTGGGGTGAGATCATCTAAGCACGCTTTCCACTGATGCTGACGAGTTCAACCTGGCTGTAATGGAAAATATCAGCTGAATTCCTGCTTGGTCCTGAATCTTTGCTGAGCCCTAGAAGTGGAATAAAAGATCACAACTTACAAGACGAGATCCGACTTGGGAGGAATAATAGGGGGGTATCCACTATAGAGAGTTAGTCTCTTGCACAAACCAGGCTATTGTGAATTCCATGTGGACATTGGGCTCTTGAAACAAAGCAGATGGGTGTTTGTCGGGGTCCACATATAACTTTGGGGGTACCACGTACCGTTCGCCGTAGGCATCCATGCTGTGGAAAGTCAGACATGAGTATTTTTGCGTTTAATCGCAAGAGAGAAGAAACTTACTAGGGGATGAGCAAGTAGGCCTTCTCGCCCAGGCTCATCTGGGGAACGCCAACGTCCCAACCTATGCAGCAGCGGCATTAGCAAGTTTCGCGATTGGAGCGTTGAGATCATTCGGAAATTTCTAAGTCTGAACATGAACTATTGGGCATATGGGGCTAGCGCACCTTTAATGAGGCGCCCAACGCCGATCTTGCTAGCAAGAGGAGAACCGCGGTCGTAGGAGCTGTCAAACCTATTGGCGAAGTGACTGGTTAGCAGGGAGATAATTGACAATAGAAGAATAATTTGATGCTCACTTCTTGCCCATGTAGTTTGGGGCGTTCGGGTCATACAGACAGCCGGTGTAGTGCATCTCGATCATGGCACCATTCGCGGGGAAGTCAGTGTTGTTGCCAGCCGAAATAGGACGCTTCGTGAGCTCTTCGATCTGCGCGGGACCGGGAAGGGTGCCGTCGAAACTCATTGTGAAGTGTTGATTGCGGTAAATGGGGAGTTAGGTAGAATAGAAGGAAGTGATGACAGAAGGAGAAAAACGAGGGGCTCCGAGAGCTTCATCCGCGTTTTCTCCAAGTGGGTCCTTGCCCTCACGACGTAATAGACGGCAGCCACTCACATTCAGAAGCAACAAACATGCTGCTCCACCATTGGTTCGCTCAATTACGAGGCTTCATACAATAATGTAGAGCAGATGGCGTGCGACGATCATACCTGCGTTCTGCTGTCTATCAAGGAGGGGTAATGCCAAAGCTACAAGCCGAAAAGTTTCTCGAAATAGCACTCCATAGAGCTACAGAATATCTTGCAGGGGTGGGAAGTGGACCATTTAGACCCTACTGTAGCACATGATACACTGTGTTAGGCTGGTAACTGGTCCAGGCCACAACATCCGATCTGCGCCGACAGTTAGCGTGGCGCTAAGCAGGGATCTGATTGGGATGCCCACAACATCGGAATATGGGCTATCAGAGACACATCCCCAGAGCATTACCATGGTCAGGTCTCCCGAGATTCTAATTAAATCTGGGGATAGGGCTCACCGGTGCATCGATCCTACCCCTCATAGAAACGTGGCGGATGCTGTTTTGGGCGATAAGAAGTCGATCTTACTCTGTGTGCTTAGCCGTGATGACTTTTGGTTTTTGGATCCTTCATACGTGCATGACAGCCCGGTTTTATTTCGTATGTACATTCGGGATGGGATGCGCTCTGGCAATCATAATAACTTATCTGAGGGAAATAATAGACTGCCCCACTCAAAATAACTATACATTGCCCCAGAATTCCATAGTCTTCAGGTCCTCCAAGGAGACTGACGCGATTTGCGTACGTGGAAACCGCGCATCGGGCGCTGTGGTTTGAGCCGATGTCTCCGCCAATTGCAAGTAGTGTAGCTGAGAGATGCCCGTACGATCTAAGAATTCCAGTACACGGTGGAAATTCAGACTAACCTGGTCGACGCCATGGCTGTCATCTGAAAGACAGAAGCGACCTCCACGTGCCATAAACTCCTAATAGAGAAATGCTGATTAGCCTAGAGCTCAAAACAGCGCCTCCTCGTTCACATACCTTGCAAATCTCGGCTTTGGGATACGGTTCACACATTCCCTTTCTCAGCGCAGCTCCATTGAGCTCTAGCATGCCCCCATAGGAAGCAATGAATTCCAAATTTCTTAGAATCCGACTCCAAACACCAGGCCATGTCATAAAACTGCGCTCCATATCATCGCTCTTAAGCCGAATAAGATCAAAATGACCCACAACCAGTGGCGTCAAATCTTTAAGCATATCCAGCTGTGCGTCAAAATAGTCCTCAAACAAGCGCTCGTCTGTTCCACCTGCAAGTTCCCGCGCACGCTCGTACATTGGTCGATCGAAGTCAATGGGCACAGTGTACATGTGATGGACAGAGCCAACGAAGAACTCAAAAGGGAACCGAGATAGTGAGCGGTTGATGAGATCTTTAGACTCAGGTCGGATCCAGTCGCATTCAAAGCCGATGATGATCTTGATTTGCGAGGCGTATTTTGTGCGGAGTCGTTGGGCTTCTTCCCAGTAAGCGGCTTCGTTGGATTCGTGCCATGCTTCTGTTTGGCCGGCTTCGATCTCTTCGGGGTAGAAGTCTTCTTTGTGGCGGGGCATGTGCTCTGTTAAGCAGAACACTTGCATTTTCTTGGCGATCGCTGTTTGAATGACCTCCTCTAGGGAGTCTTTTGCGTGGCCAGGGCAGAATTGGCCTGAGTGGCTGTGGTGAGAGAACGGCATGTTCGCTATGAGTTGAGTCAGTGGTGTTCGATAGGATGGAGACTTTGGTTTTGCATGGATATCTAGAGGCCTTTGAAGGAAGTTTGACATACCAGTGAGTGCAAGTCTCTCCTTACTTTGGACTTGCCTGGATTCTTTGAGCAGTGTGGTCTATGAGAGTGATATGTGACCGAGGCAAGCCCCGCGGAACCCAAAGTTGATAGCGGAGCGATAAGGATTCCACTATCGCGACAATTCACGGAGAACACAGCTGTTTAACAGATTTGATTTATATTATGAAGAGTATGAAGAGTTAAATTACAAGCTATCAATGATTGTCTGATGGCATCTAACTATGGAAGTACCAATCGCAGGTTGTCATGTGAAATGTGAGCCCTGGAGATGCTGCATTCCCAACAGAACCAGGCCCATAATGTCGGTAGCTTAGTACCTTGTGAGGCAGACCCGAGGCCCACAAAGCAAGCGACTATCACTAGTGGGGTGGAATTATGCCATGATATGTCCAAGGGCCTCGCCATGTGTATATGCAGCATGGGCTGCTCAGAATAAAAGACGGTGTTCTGCGCGAACAGTTCGTCGCGCTGCAGCGGGTTACCACGCCCTCGACGAGACGCATTCATTGCACAGTATTAGAAAGATCAGTCAGATCATCCAAATATCCAATGAGCCCCTTCAACCCGCAGCTAAAACAGTCGCAACGACATACTCCCCATCATGAGAAATAGAAAGCCGTCCAACCCGACTGTCACTCCCATCTTTTGCAGTCCCCAAATACACAATCTCTGGCCTGCGACTAACCCCATCAACCATATGAGACTGTGCAAAACCCGTAGTCACACCCGTATTCGAGTCCGAGTCCGATGCCTCCTGCACCCGAACCATAACATCCTTCCACCCAATCGAAGCTGCTCCGTCCGGGGCAGCTTTGCGCGCAGCTTCCTTCGCTGCAAAGCGACCCGCGAGCCAGCGCGTCATGTCCGCTGTAATGAATGAGGAGCGTTGGGGTGTAGAGGACGTGTTCTGGCTTTGCGGTTGAAGGGATAGTGACTCTTTGAAGCGGTGGTGGAAGTCGCGTTGTTCTTGGTCGCAGAGAATGCGGCGGGTGAAGCGTGTTAGGTAGTTACCCCGGCGCATGAGGAGAGCGGTTATTCGGGGAAGGTGGACGACGTCTGTGCCGATATTGAGGGCAAATGGGAAGGGTATTGGTTTCATTTTGATATGTGCAGCAAGGGCGCGAATTCGGGGGTTGGGAAGGTGGGTGAAGGAAAGTTGGGATTCAGGTGTAAAGGTTCGCGATGGCCGCGGCATGGGAACTGGGCTAACAGTCGGACGGTGCGACCGTGGGATACGGAATTGTCATTTGGAAGATGAGAATTGGATTCAAGTTGGCTATACTCTAGTCCAACTTGACTTCTGTTCCAGTATATCTACAGCTGTAATTCTAGTCGACATCGACTCATGTCTACGGTGCAGCCCCAACCAGGATGCTTTACAATTCTGCCTCCAAACTAATATCGCCCGGCAAGGATGATCATGGAAGAGAACAGATAGTCTACCAGACACCTGTGGTACTGGTGACCCCAAGCTATGGGTATCGGCTTCTCTAACTTGAGAGGCATTAATTGCCCAAGGCGCAAAATCGGGTATCCGATGGAATGATGAAAGAACAATTCTTCAATGCAGCGTACACGCCTCTTATGTACAGATCCATGAAAATCCATCCATCGACTTCCGAGATCAGCCCGTTCGGGTTTCGCAGAACATCTCCAAGACCGACACGTCTCGATGCAACGGTGCAGGGAAAACGACGAATGGGATGGGGCGACTCGACTCATGCATCACGCGGTTTTGTATCGTGCCGATCCATAGTTTAACATCCGTGTATAAGTTGACGAAAGTTTAGTGTCCGGAAGCGGGCTTCTTGTCACCTCCGTCAACCTCCTTCAAGAAGTTCCTGTAGCGAAGCTGTCAGTAACAAGCTACAGCTTCAATTGCGCAAGATACCAGCTATAGCTAGCATGCCAGCTGATACAATGCTCGATTGAGATATTGGGAAGCTAAGTTCACGTACTGGATGAAGTCACCCTCTTCCTTGGAGGAGGCGTTGATGGGGGGTCCAGCAGCGGTCTTGGGCTTGGAGCCACCACCGGCGGCGGCCCAGGAACCAGCGAAGATCGTGCCGAGAGTGGCCATGGCGAGCTATTGTCATCAAGAAGATGTTTAATTAGCCTGCTGAGGTTTCCATCTGTAGCCGCGAACTGGACTCAAAAAGGGATAGGCGAGCGACGGTGCCAGCGGTGGGGAAGGAAATATTTCGGCCACTTACGACGTGGGAGCCGACCTTCTTGCCGGCGATCTGGTAGTAGACGACCATCTTGAATGACTGGTATGGGAGAGCTGAAGATTAAATGCAGCGATGTGGAAGCGGAATCCTCAGGCTTGACAGAGACGAAGTTGGCTCCGAGACCGCCTTCCCTGATCTGGTTAGCGTCTTTTAATGACTAAGAGGTCTTGTATCATGTGACCTCCCGAAAAGGCCCGTTGAGGTCAGGACATCAACAATCGTCTACTCCAAAGACATTCCAAAGTGGCCTGATTGAAGACCACTGGCTTATGATACATGTTGATTTCAAGGCTGGCTAGCTTACGACATCGTGTGGTTCTACTCCATCGAAGACATTCTCAATGCAAAAAGGCTCCGTAGAGGTAGGCTCAGGTAATTCTTTACCTTCAAGAATTCGGAAATCATGATGGAGAAGAAGATATGGCATTGAAAGTTAGTGAAATTATATAGTCTGGTATAAAAAGATTCAACATGGTATCATTTTGTAGCATTATGACAACATTTTCAAGAATCTTCGTCAACATTGACTTCAGCATCCAGGCAATGTCAATAAAGCAAATGCCAATCTCAATCTCAATTTCAATATGTTGTTTTATTATCCTATTTTTTTCTTGGCCGGCCATTTCTCAGCTGCATACCTGTTGTTGTGACCAGGGGCTGTGCCTCCATACCATGTGTTCATTTTGTGCTTGATTCTTGTGGATTGTAGTTGGAGCTGGATGACACCTGTTCAGAGAGGACATGAGCCGCAAGCCGGTGCCGAATAGCGGTCGAGACCTTGAGCAAATTCAATAAGGTGGGTGTGAAATTGTGACCCAGTTTGAGCTGAGTTATCCAGACACGGAAATTGTTTCCAGCTACGTGACGCCTGTTCAGAATGGACTTGATTCATACAAGAACATGGTTTTTTGCGGCCACTGATGAATTCAGGAATCATTTTCCCAGATGCAGATCAGCTGTTTCGAAGCTTCAGACTGGTAGAGTGGCTTCCGGGAAACTCAAGTTGTTGTGGAAGCAGTTTGTGGAAGGGTCGTCTAAGAAGTAGGAAGACAGTCTGAAAAGTCCGTGAAGCATAGGAAACGATCATTGCAAGCATACGTTGCACTCGTCGAGGAATTTCAGGAGCGTTAATAAATCTGTGTAATCAAGATGACAGGAAGAGCATAAGAGAAGAAAGTGGACATGGATTGATGTCAAATATGGTAATGAATAAATGGATGGAAGTTCAAAGTCAAGATGGAGATTGGAAGAAATAGAACTTGGATGGAAAAGGGAGATAATGAAATAGAGGAATTTATATTTCAAGGCGGAGGGAAGGGGGAAAGGGAAAGGTGCACAAACCCACGCTTGATACTCTAAGATCACACTGGATATTTAGGATCGACCTTATAGGGAAGATGTGATAATAAGTGAATGATTACTATGTTATTTAGAATCAATTGCCCTTTCAGTAATAATCACCTTAGAACATGCCATCATTATATGAAGTCCTAAACACTTATATGGTGGTTTCGATCAAAATCCATACATACTAAACAATCTGTTTATAGAAGTTCTCTAGTTCCTGCGCTAAATCATAACAAATGAGCATCGCTTATTGGTCTTTATTCCGTACTTTCAGTATCTAGTAGGGTATAGCGGGCATCAGCCTCTTACCTCTATCAAATCTTATCTAGAACCAATTGACATGCACAGTATACCTAAATAGCTGCACATGTAAGGTTTTAATGGGCTCTTTGAGCTTTTTTTCTCTTGCCTTGGACATTAGCTAGCAATGTAGAGCTAAGGATGCGAATGAGGGATGATCCTCCTATAGCTTGTTCATGATCAAGGAACTACCCCGGTTTTCATTACCATCTCACCCCGTCTTTATGTAGATATCATACTACGGCTCTATTTCTCCATGACACTTCCCCTAATACAATTTGATAGCTCCAGGCCATATCTTGATTGGTTAATAGGCATGACTCAGCATTCTCCATCTCCGAAATAGCCCGGCATGTGGAACATCCCCGGGTAACACACGAGCCCAGTTTCCGAATCGAATAAAACCAAACAGTTGCCCAAACAATCCTCTTTGAATAAAACAAAGAATGTAGATTGAATAAGCTTTGTCTCTGGTCCGGCTAAAGCAAATATAGTTCGTCTTTTAACCGAAACTCCAGAGGGTCATTCGTGGAACCGGGCCGGGCAGTAACTTATTCCATGGTCAACGCTCTATACCCCGGCTGTGGCTGTCTCTTCGGCAGCCATAGGCGGTTAAAACCAGGCACTCTTATAAGCTTGGACCCATAGCCTGGTTCTGACCTGTTGTCTCTCATTTTTGTGCTTGTCTGGCTTTTTCCTTTTGCGATGCTCAGCGTTTGAACCTTGCATGCACGCGATCATTACCCACAGTGTTTTCTTTCCGACTTTTCAACCTTCATTGCTCAGCTAGCATTATTCTTTTGATCCCATTTTCTTCAATCGCTTATTCCACACGTGAAAATCAACATGGCTACGGGTAAAAATGGTGGTGGCCAGGAAGATGCGCCGCCAGTTTTGGTACCCTCGGGCAAGCCTGCGCCAGGAAAGCTTTCTCCGCGCTTGCAAGAGCTCCTGGATCAGGTTGATCATTACGAGGACCATTACTCCTCATAGTAAGTTGAGACTGATCTCAGCCCCGCTCTTTTCCCCTCATCCTTCCAATCTTTATTTTTATCTTTTGCCCTTTCTTCGCATCTGCTTCGAGTTTAGTTGTGGCGGGTGGTCTTGTCCATATGGAGAGCGGAGCGAGGAGACGAGGAACCGAGGGGCATTGCCCGCAAAGTCCGATGACTCCACTTCCCGGCTTATTGCTGGCCACGACATGACATATGCACTCCACAAATCGTCAAGCTGCAATTACCAGCCTCACAAAAGCTCTGTCCAGCTAGAGAAAAAATCCATATACACTAACCATGGACTCCTCAAATTCCAGCTCCGTCGACTCAACCGACACAAGCTTCCGCTACGCAGCCTACGGAAGCCGCATTCGTACAATCCTCCTCTCCGCTCATCGTTACGTCGCCTACACCTCGGACATAGGTGAATCCTTCCGCCCAGTCGCACACCCATGGCTCGTCCGCTCCGCCTACGGCATATCCTGGGCCTACCTTATCGGCGACGTCAGCCACGAAGGCTACAAAGCTTACCTCCGCAACCGCCGCGCTCTCGTCGCACCCGGCGAGTCCTACAAGGATGCCAGCGACATGTCCCAGACGCATATCATCCGTGGCATGGCTACGGGCAACCTCTCCCGGCCCCTGAGCGGATCTACAGATGCACTGGAACCCTGGCCTACAACGGATATCTCGCTTGCGGAGGACTATCGAATGGTCATGGCTAAACGCGCCGTTTTCCAAAGTGTGGCGAGTATGGGGTTGCCCGCATTTACCATTCACAGTGTGGTGAAATACTCTGGCCGTATGCTGAACGGGAGCAAAGTCACGTTCATGCGAACGTGGGTGCCAATCGGGGTATGTTTCCCTTTTTCTTCTCATGGTTTTATGAGGCTTATACTAATTTGTGCTTTAGCTCGGTCTATCGGTCGTTCCATTCCTACCCTACCTCTTCGACCATCCTGTTGAGGAAGCCGTGGACTGGGCATTTGGTACCGCCCTCCGCATTTACGGAGGCGAGGACGCCGTCCGTCCGCTGCCTGCGCATGCCCGTAATGGGCATGCCGATGGCGCGTCGGGTGTTGAATCCCCTGTGACAGCAGCTGCGGCGCAGCTTTCTTGGGAGGAGCACAAGGCGGAGCGGGATGAGCTTCGCCAGCTGCGTCGTGAGAAGAATGCTGGGACATGGTGGTCTAAGCTTGGTGGTTGGTCCGGGAGTGATGAGAAGAATAAGAAAGACTAATCTCATAAAGAGATTGAAGTGGAGTTGGTGGATACTTTTCGCCGTTTTTGCGTTTCTTTCTGGGTAGTATCTCCTCTTTTTTCTTGTACATCATCTATTCTCTTCTCTTAGCGTTTCGTTTATATCGCTATTTCACAGCTTCAAATAATATTCATCACTGGTGCGGGCTGTGGTTTTCATATTAAGAGCATCGGGAATATTATTCTCAATCTTGAATGGCATATAACTTCTCCATCAAGCAAGACTATTTATCTCCAAATGTACTTGCTGACTGCTGATCATCAAAAAATCTTGGTAAGAATTGTAGTCCTGAAACAACGGAGTAAATTGCAAATAGATTCGAAAATGACATGACAGCTCTGAACAAACTACAGGTGACATAAGATATTCTATTCCCATAGTAGAAGGACGGGCCGAGGTCTAGAACTCATGGCCACGTCTATTACATATTGTGGTAAGCCGTGTACCAACCGTTGTTGAGGCAACAATGTCCTACATACATACATTCTACTTTGGATATCTCACATGCATAGCTGCAGGGACGAAACCTTCGAGTTAGCTCAGGGTTAGCTGGCAGAGACGCAAGGGCGCCACTGTCTCGGCAACGGCGATCCCTTACACTAAATAATGCCAAAGGACTACGGAGTACAAGAACAGAAAACATTGAAATAGGAAATCTACACCTCTCATTCTCGGCTTCTCAAAATTTACTACACACCCATCACAACAAGACAAGATATACATCTGTACAAACAAAAAGATCATTCAAAACAAGGATTCAATCCATCGGAGAGAGAGAGGTAAGGAAAAGGAAGAAGTAGCGTCGGCTCATCAAGGATTGGGCCACCCAGACCATTAGGGATGTGCAAGAGTCCAAACATAATATGACCAGTAAAAAAGTAAGATTTCTTTCCGACGGCACAAGAACAGGAAGTAAAACATTCGTCTCATTCGGTGGTCATAGTGCCATGGTAAAGTGTTAGAAAGAAAAGAAAAGGGTATGGTAGAACAGAAGGGGGAATAGTTCAAAGAAATAAATGAAAATGAGATGACACAAGTAGCGCCGGCAGGGACATGTCGTCGCTCGGAGTATCAGAAGAATGATAAGGAAAGAGGTAAATGTTGGCCAATGCAAAATTTCACAGTGGGAAGATACATGATATGTGACATAGTGTATCCTTGGAGGGGATGATGAACAATGAAATAAAGTTTTGTGCAAGCTCTCATCCTTCCCAATCTCTGCCTCGTAGCGCAGGAGGTCAAGATCCACCGACGAACACAAGAGAAACGCCAATGTCATCAAGTGGTTGGGACTCTTCTCGGCTGAGGAATGGGGAGGAATAGAGACAAGAAAGGATCTGGTCTATCCATGTTGGTATATAATTTTTTTTTGCTGTTTTCCGGTAAAGTGGGAGTGTCTAGTTCCAGCCCAGAGAGTTCTCCGCCATCACGGGGGCACTGATCATCTGGGAGCGCTGGCTGCCAGACACACGGTTACCAGCACCGGCGACAGAGGAACCCTGGCTCATCTGGTCGACAGAGCTGGAACGCTGGTGCAGCTGCTTTCTCTTGCGGTAACGACGAGCAACCCAGAACATAGCAGCACCATAGGCAGCGGCACCAGCCACGGCACCGACAGCAATGCCGGCGGAGCTAGCGCTGCCCTTGCTGCTACTGGAGGTGCCATCATTGGAGTCGTCGCTACCGTCGCTGCTGTTGCTGCCACTGCTGCTGCTGCCGTCGCTGCCCGATGAGCCGGAAGACGAGTCGCCATCATCACTGGGCCAGTTGCCGGTGAAGTCCAGGGGAATGGTAGAGTCAATCATGCTCATCAGGGCCTTGACGGTTGCGCTCTGCTCCTCGGTGTAAAGAAGAGAATTCGGGTTGTTCTTCTGGGACTTCAGCTTCTGGTAGCCTTCACGGGGAAAGTAGAAGATAGCTAGAGTGGCGTTGTAGCCAGTCTTCTGCCAGTTGTAGTAAGGCTCGAGAGCGAACATCTCAGCCTTGGCGCCCCAGTAGGGTAGAGCATGCTTCAGGGCCTGAGGAATGTACTCGAAGATCTGAGACGAAGACAGAGGGGTGGTAGCGACGAATGACCAGGGAAGGCTGCCGTCGAAACCGATCTGAAGCAACATGGAGTCGGCAGGAGCCTGAGTGACACTGTTCGAAGGTGTGATCGAGTCAGGAAGGGAAGCAGCCGCGCTGTGAGTGGCAGTACTAGTGCTGATAGCAGTCTCAGTGGTGGAAGGCTGAATCAGAATGCTAGAGGGCATCCAGTCGCTGGAGTCAGAAGAAGACGAAGTAGTCTCAACAGGCTTCTCGGTATGAGTAGTGCTGGTAGTCTCAATGTGAGAGGAGGTGGTGGCCTCGGGCTCAGGTGTAGGCGTGGGGGAAGCAGTGGAAGTGGGGGTGACCTTGACGGTCTGGCTTCCAGTGGGAGTAGGAACAGCGCCAGAGCCGGTGGCCATGCCAGAGCCACTTCCAGAGCCACTTCCAGAGCCAGCACTGGGAGAGTGAGGCACAGGGATAACGCCAATCGAGCCAGTGGGAGTTCCGGTGGTGCCACTGCCACTGCCACTGCCAGTACTAGTACTGGTACCAGCAACAACGGGAGTGCCGCTAGGGCTTCCTGACTTGTGAGGGTTCACACTGGCCAAGGGGGTAGGAATGGCACCAATGCCAGTAGTGGACTCGGCGCCAGTGCCAGTAGTGGGCTCGGTAGCATTGAGAGCGGCCGAGACGCTGTTCAAGAGACTGGTGAGCGCATCGCCGGTCGCGGTAGGGCTAGCGGTTGCAGGAACGCTGACAGGAATGGTGGCCAGACCGGTGGTGTTGGCGGTGGCCGTTCCTGTAGCAGTTGTCGAGTCAGTTCCCAACAACCAAGCAAGAATATCGTCACTCGAGGAAGCAGAGGTTGAGGCAGAGGTTGATGCAGAGCCCGAGGCAGAGCTTGAAGCAGTGCCCGAAGGTGTGGTAGAAGCAGTGCCTGAAGCAGCGGACGAAGCAGTGGCGGAAGTCGTGTTGGCCGTGGCAGAGGTGGTAGCACTAGCAGTTCCGTTGGATGCAGCAGTGGTCGAATCACCGTTCAAGAGCTCCGAGGCGGCAGCCGCAGCGTCGCTCAAAAGGTTGCCAGAGGAAGCGCTAGTTGTAGGGGTGGCCGTAGTGCTAGCAGCGGTGGAACTGCTTGCGGTAGTGGTGTCGGCAGCGGTAGTGGTGTCGGAATTGGTCGTGTCATCCACAGCGGTGGTCATAGTCGACTTGGTAGTCGTGGCGGCGTTTGAACGAGTCTCCGTGGTGATGGTGTGGCGGTGTCCTTCAGCGTCAATGGAAATCACCACAACGACCTCCTTTCCGGTGTTAGTAGCTGCCGCAGAGGGTGTGGTCGGGGTTTCTCCGGTGATATCGTCCAACACCGTAGCGAGAGGGTTCGGCGTGTCGGGGTTCTTGTAGGTGCCGTTGTGAACAGTGCGCTTAATATTCTGGGGGAAGTAGTAGCGCGGTCGTTCCACGTGCGTCGCATCGTCATCTTGGATAGCTCGCTGCGCAGCCACCAGGCTCCCGAGGGACAAGGCGGCGAAAATGGACAAAGAGTTGGCACGCATTTTGAGGTTGATTTGAAGTGCTCAGGCGTCCGATAATTGAGGATACAGTACGAGCAATTCGAACTCGTCTGTCAACACCTCAGGGATGAAATGGCCGGGGCCCTGTTGAGTATCTGCGATTCGAATCCGCTGGAGTTCCTGGGATGTTCACAAGAAGTCGTTGGACACAGTCACAACGTCTCACTGATGACCTTGAATTATAGAACAAGAAACCGTCACGATAGCAACCGAATCTTGAAGTGAGACCGACCGAGTAGAGCGATCGACTAAACGAATGGAAGGGGTCGTAAAATCTGAAACGACCGGAATAGCAGCAAAAGCGAGTGTGGGCTGGGTAGCAGTAAGGGAGTGAGCGACAGTCTACTGGAGAGTAGATGAGAACAAAGAGCAAGCGGCGACCGTGGGATTATGCAAGGGGAGCAGAATTGGCTGGACCCAGGTCAAAAGTGCCGTCGTCGACGACGAAAATGGGAGAACAGAAAGGAGTGAATAAAGGTGAATTAAAGAACATGCTCTCAGAGCGTTCTGAATTAGGGGCGAAGTTGAAGGGAAATGGGGGCGGACACGTGTGGGCAGTCAACAACAACCGTAATTTTACCAATCTTACCGTAAATTAAGAAATTAGCCTTATCCACAGTTATATCTACACGCACTCCGCTAGTCATTGTTGGCGATTCCGAATTATGGGTTCAATGAGACTGTTTGATTGTTCCATGTCCTATGTAAGCTACAGTATTTACCAATGTTGAAAGGCTCCAAAGTTGGGATATGTGTCGCCCATCATACCTGTGCCATAGGGGTATAGCCGTCTTGTCTCTCCAGGCACAATCTACAGATCTCCTATAACCACGCAACATACTTAATGCAGGAAACTTGAACGAACCCACTTGCAAACACTTATACCTTGCTAACGAACTATGAGGCAATCTTCTACTCTGGATTCGGTCGAGATCGCCGATACGCTCGGAGCATTAGACCTGCACGGTTCCCGACCCGTTGTGCCGTTGTACAACCTTGCTCAGCCCAGCTGATAGTTCAAGGATGGGATCAGCATACGGCTCAGGGGATAGGAGATCGATCAATTTGAGATAACCCCCGTTAATTAGCCGGGTGGAGAAGGAGCAAGCCTCAGGTAAGAGAAGGAGGAAACCAGACTAGTGGCGCGGATAGCTCAGCCTGTTTGCGAAATAGAGCAAGAATCTCCTCTCTCTGGGCCAGGGTCTGGAGGGGTTGATTTGCAAGCTTTTCACCTCAGTCTTGTGCTCAAGGTTGACGATCACCACCCAAACTTCCCCCAGGCTGTTAACCCTGGAAGCGCGCATCCTAATTAAACCATTGCCCTTCTAGCCTGCTTTTGGGCGCGCTACCAGTACTTTTGCCGCACAAGGTTCAGTCCGTCGCATGGCCCAGACCAACGGCGTCGTTGCGGTGGAGTAGAGGGAGGCCACTTGCGTGTTCCTGGCCGTGGATGAAAAAGCAAAGTGCGTGGTGGGAGATTGAAAGCGGGACCATGGTCCTTCCCGCGTAGACATGATACACGGGGATTTCAAGCAGGTACGGGCCCCACCTTGCCTGATTGGGAGCTAGTGGCTTGATCCCGAACGCCAGTCTCGCTCTTGCCGCTACTTTGGGCAATCGATCAACAAGGAGATCGAATCACAGCCTCGTTGGCAATGGGCTCCGTAGACGCTCGGTCGTGAGCCTAGCGATTCTCTTCTCTTAGCGAGCTTCGGCCTTGGTTCTTGATTTCTTGGTATACAGTAGTTCCGGGACTGACTCTTTCTGTCGTACGAACATTCTATGAACTATTCTGCCCAGGTTGATTATTGGTGAAAGAAAATCGCCCCGACGCTGACCCTACGTCATGGTATTCGGGCGGTTTTTTAAGTTTATTTCCTGTTCGGGCCTTTCAATGAGGTTCGCTTGGAACTATCCAAAAATAGGGCACTCGAAGGCGCAGCTATCTACGGAGTAGTATGTATGTGCACCTATCTCGTATGAGCCAGGATCAATATCACAGACCATCGACGATCCGGTTAAGGCAACTCGGTCACCGATCGACGATCATGGAAAAGAGAAGCAACGAACACACCATGTCCCACGTGCTTGGAAGGGCCATGAACTGATCGGAATGAAGGGTTCACGCGAAAGCGCGTCACTCAACATTCCTATTGTTGGCATTTGGCGGGGTGACCAGTCATCACGTAGTATGAATAACGCGCGGGTTGAACGTGATTCAATTCCTTGCAGCTGCATTTTTCTCCCATGCAGGCCTATCCATCCTGGTCTATAGTTCCTTCGCTAGAAGAAATAGACTCCAGCACCATTGCATGCTAGTGGAACCAATCCCCATTCAACAAAGAAACCAAACCCGCTAACACGGAGCCCTTGCCCAAAATTACTTGGTGGCCGGTTAAATATAGAAGGAATAAGCCATTCTTGTAATTCCGACCCCATTCTTCCCGTCATACAGTTGAACCTAAGCTATTTCCATATTGACATTCAGCCTTTTTCCAAGCTACACCGTCAAAGCCAAGCAATGCAGGGCTTGAACCTTGAACCCCTTTAAATCCCTTCACAGAATCAAAAATACACCAAAGCCACGATCATCAACCGTACCACGGATGGAAATAGCCGCTAGGCCTGTTCCTGAGTTTGCGCAAAGCTGTCGGCCCCACCCGCCAATCATTCTCTGGTCACCTTACCTAAGCACACAAATCATTTCTGGTAAATCACGTGATTGGCGTTCTAGACAACGGTCAGGTGGAGCATGTCGTCGTGGTCTGGACTTTTGGCTTGCGTCAAACAAAGAATTCCGTGCCACATTGTGGATGCTCTGCCTTACGACGTGGAGACCGTTAGGCCTAGCCACCCCGGGTGCACGTCATGTAGCTAGACGTTGACGTCTCGAACGGTGCTTTGTGTGGTCAGGGCGGAAGGGCCGGAGAACCTTGGAAGGTATTCTAGAATAATGTACAGTCGGTGTGGGTTCACTCGATGGTGTTCTCAAGGTCGTAGTAATAATTCGAACGTTCTGTGGACAACGTTTTGCTAGGGGATGTTTCCACAAATGCACATTACGCGTACCCTGAGTGTAGATTCGTATATATATATTACGAGTGCAGCTTAGATTTTTGGACAGCGCCTGATTTCAGGAATACATCCGTTTTTTTACATATTCCAGACACATCTGTATGCGGGTGTATCATCACTCTTCCAATGTTTGTGGCCTGGCTGTCCTCCACTGTTGTTTCATACCCAAGGTTGACAGTAAGAGGTGTCTCTAGGGCCGAGAAGAATACGTCAGCCTTTTTCGGATAGCATTCATTCGATCTCAATATGGGGCCACGCAGTCCGGGGCCATAGAAAGTTCTAGGGTTTCAAAATACTAGACACTGGACCTCTATTAGAGAAAAACGTTCTTTTATTTGCCAAGTTAAGTGTTGCATCATATATCGAACGGGATGGGACACCTGAGGAGTTTGAATCTCTGATTTTCGGATTGTGGAGCGCCTAGTATAACCTGAGTCGCATATAGTTTGATAATCTCACAGTGCCCTGCGGGAATTTCGCGTGAGCTTGGAAGATTTCTGTGGCTAAGTATCATTTATCACGATAAAGTGCTGTAGCTTATTCAGTGTTGCTTGAATGATCCAGGCCCATGAGCCTTCGATGATTCATGTTTTCTTAACTTATCAACATATACGGATATGGATTGTTATAAAGCATCATCTTGAAGTTCAACATAAGAAGAAAGAGCTCACTGGAAATTTGTTTCTTAACCGCTCCGACAAAATCCCGGCGAGTCGCGTGCTTCAGTTGACCTCAAGATACCAATCTTGTAAAGCTATGATTATGCACATATCGCCTCGCCGAAGAGAGAGAGAGAGAGAGCGCGAGAGAGTGTATCACAACACTCAGCTCAAAAAGTCGCGTTTAACGTGACCTTGCGCTGCTAGATTCTACTCATCGTAGCATCCATACCAGTTCCTTCCTTCCTCCTCCACCTTCTTAAATCTACCACCATCCCATCTGCTTCTCCGTTCAAGATCTGTTTACACCTCTGTTATCTACGATGGAGACTCTGGGCGAGTCTAGTACATCTTATCAACAGACAAGTATTGCCAGACCCACACGCCCAGGGCCTCACTATTCTCGAGTGCACAATTTGGATGCGAAATTCTTCTTGAATCGCCCATCGGAGGATCTCATCCCTCCAAAATATCTGAGACGAGCAGAGCATACGAGTAAGTTTACGCTTTCAAGTGAAGGTCCATCTCGAAATTTCATACACTCACCTTCCCCAAACTCTACTCCGGATCTTCACATATCGATTACATATACCTAATTCTTTCTCTTAACAGCCACTATTCGGCGCAAACCCTGGATTTTCCGTGGATCTGTCGAGGATGCTCGTTATGTTGACCAGAGTGACTGGTCCAAAGTCGACATCCGATACAGAGGAGTCTTCAAGTCTCTTGCCAAAGTTCCTGATTTCTCGAAGGGATTGTGGGATGGCGGGTCTGAAGAGCATATGATTTCAACCGATTACAAGAACATGCGAAGCCAGGGGCAGGTTGTCTACGCTTTGATGAGTGAGGTTGGAGAGATGATTGATCTGCAGCGACCTATCCGAGAAGGCGATGCTTTTTTTTTCTTGAGGTTAGTTACCAGTCCTTCTGCGCTGCATGAACAAGCCCTGTGGAAGCTGTCATACTGAACAACAATATTCTTCACTCTCAGACCCCGACTTGTATCCACCACGCTAGAATACTGGACCGGATATAGGGAGAAACACAGGGATGGGCCCAATACTTCTGGATTTCTCTCGCTGGAATTTGAGCCTGATAATGGTCTGTGCCTGCCAATATTACCTGTGTCTACAGTAAGTCTCCATCGCAGTCTGTGGCAACTCGCACCCCATATTTTCAGAGGTTCCCCATCTTACAATCAATCACCCGCTAGACAACAAAGGAAGAACACCTTATTTCAGCCCTGAAAGAAAAGTTCAAGCTAATCCTGGGCCAACTCCTCCTTCACGTTCGCCCCCTGCACATTCCCGGCGACAAACTCCCAGACCAAGAAATATTCCTTCTAGGTCTTCACGGCTCAAAGCTCCACCTCATGCGTGCCTACTTTCCGGGCCAGAAAATATCCAGCCTCTGGTGCCGTCGCGAAGTCCCAGGCCCAACACCGGTGCTATTCCCACCTACCCACCGCCGCCGAGCACAGTCCTCGCCTTCAGCACCACACGCAGTACACGTCGAGAACTACGACGCTGATACGGAAGATGATTATGATAATACGGATGTAACAATGAAACACTCTCCCGCCACAGGAGCGAATACCAACAAAGACCTAGGCATGGCTAAATCCTTCCGTCCTTCAACCTGTCGAAGCCGCGCTACTTCTCTCCGCAGCCCCCGTTTCTACGGAGCAGAGAACATGGAGCGTATTCGTCGCCATATCGAAACCACCCGTCTACGCAGACTTGATTACGAGCCGAATCCGCGCACTTTCCGTGTCCTTGCCACGCGGGAGTACGATCTATGGGCGAGACAGGATTTCACAGCTGCGGTACAACTACTGGCTGCGTTGCATATGTACCTGCTAAGCGGGGAGGCAAAATGCGGAGCCATCCAAGAATTATTCGCGAAACATCCTGTCAATGGCGGAGATGGAGAAGATTCAGGTTCAGATTCAGAATCTGATTGCCTATTTCCCGGTGTCCACTCCGAAGAAGAGAGGAATGAGTCGGTGAGGGAGCATATCAAAAATAAGGAGAACATGATTGCAGAGCAGGAAGAGAGGTTGCGACTTGATCAGATTGCGAGATGGGCGGGGGAGGACCATGCGACTAGGCTCTCGGAGACGATGAAGATTGGGGCTGAGGATGGGATTTCTAGCTTGCGGGAAGCGAGGAAGCCTTGGTGGGAATGTATTTGGAATGACCAGGAGGAGAGATTGAAGGATCGCACTGATGAAGATGAGGAGATGAATGTGGGGATGAATATGTAAAGGATTTTAACTGGATGGATGGAGGGATTTGCTCTGGACGTTAAGATATCTAGGAAGTTATTGTTATGCTGAGAAACATCAGAATGTAATATGGATTTAGATATCTTCTTCATTCTAGATATTGTAATTCTTGTATGAGATATGAACGTAAATAACAGCGCTAGACGACAGTGCAAGATTGGGGGATAGTATGGGTATAAAAAGGGGTGAGTAGTGAAGCCTGCATCACAATTCCCCCTCCAAACGAAGAATAACCAATGTCAAATTGATAAGAAGAATACATGGCATCAAAGCTCCACCGTTAGTCCCGATGACGCCGCTCTGACTCGAAGGAAGTAAACCCATCAATGCCGTGACCATCTTTCCCACCAGTACGGAAGTACTCAACAACCACTCCGATTGCATAGCATGAAGCTGCTGTGGCCGTACCAGTCAAAATCATTCTGCGGAAGAACTTATGGAAAGTTGACTCTGAGTAAGAAGATATGGGCTCCTCCATACCGCTTGATCTAGAGGCTGAGGGTGGCTACAGAGTCGACCAGTTAGGATGGCGAGTGGAATAGACAGCTTCACTGTCTGCTCACCTGGTTGGTGAAAGACGGGCTCGAGGAGCTATCGGAAGTTTCAGTCGGATAAGAGTCATGCCGGAGGAATTGCGCAGTGTCCATTTGCAACGTGACGTCGTCTGCTTTTCTGAAGACCAGGATATCACCCCCACCGGTGACAATCTCATAACCATCACGCTGCATCTGTTCGAAGTATGGAACAAACTTTCCAGGGTTTTGAAGGCGAGAGAGGACATCGACCAGAGGACAGGACTCTTGCACACCGAAGAACATATCAGACTCGGCTGTGGCTACTTCCGACGCGGAGGAGTCATAAGTCAGAATGCGGTAGACAGCAGCAGAGGACTCCTGAGCTTCAGGGATAAAGCTATTTGTAGCTTGCTGGATGTGGTCACCGATACGGTCTTCAGTGCCAGAAAACTCAACATCCTTGGACAAGGAGGACTGGGCATCAACATCTGCATCCAATGAAGCATAACGGGCCCGGATATCGCTGGCTTGCAAAAAGCTCAGATCCTCACTTAAGACAGGGCTGCCACCAGCCGCTTTGGAGATCAACATGGCTTCTAGCTCATTACCAGGCTGGCTATCATGGGTGATGTTGGCCTGGTGTGTAGAGAGATCATCAGCGACTGAAGAGGGTTGGAAATGTCCATCTTCAGTCAAGTCCGGCTCTGTGATGCACTTCGCTTCCAGCTCACTGCCCGGTGGGCAGTCGACTATTGCTTCAGTTTTGTCTTCAGCTGCTCTGGAGGAAGACATAGAAGCAAACGCTGCGTCCAGCTCATTCCCCGGGGGGCAGTCAACCAAGGTATTTGTGGGTTCAGGATACGTCTCATGACCAGTGGATATATGAGCTTGATCCATATCAAAGGTAGGGTTAGAGGCGAACAGGGCCTCCAACTCACTACCGGGAGCACATTCAACGTTTTCCCCAGACATCACACCAGCATCCACAGATAGCTTCTTCATATGTCTTGAAGGTTTGAAAATCTCAGCTTGGGCCTGGCCAGAATGAATGAATTCAGATGTTAACAATGCCTCTAACTCGTGACCAGGACGACAATCAATGTTGATGTTGGGCTTGTGAGCAGACTCTTGAAAACCCTCAGCCTTGAGTCGGATGTTCTGGTAGCTGGTCGGAATGGAGGTGAAAAGAGCGCTAAGTTCACTTCCAGGAGGGCAGTCGATCGTCTGAGAATTGAGAGGCTCTTTAGGAGTGGCCTTTTCAGGGGCAGCGCCTGGCTGGAATTGATGCTTATCGACCATAGATGGGTTAGCAGCAAAATTCGCCTCCAACTCACTTCCAGGGATGTAATCCATAGTAGGTTGTGGTTCCTTTGGCACCATACGACCACTAATCGGGTCATATCGGAGATTTTCTGGACTCATATCTGGAGATTGGGTGAAGTTGAAGTCTTGGAGATGTGCCTTGGAATCAACATTAGGGTTGGGCATATGGTGCTCAGAATTGATGTACGACCACAGTGAGCCTGGTCGAAGCTCGTCCATCCGTCTGAAGAAATCTACTTGGTGCCCAAAAAGGGCATCAAACGGGCGTTCAGAAAACTGACTTTTCAGATGTGACATTCGCTCCAGCATCTGTTCCCGTTCCGCTTCCCAGAAACATTTTCCGCCAGCGGAGATGCCCGAGAAGCCCGAGCGCGTGCTGGCGAGAGGTTCACGATGAAACTTGTCACAAGGCCGGGAACGTTCTGATTTATCGCGTGGACCATGAGTGTTGCGAGCAGCGCGGCATATATTTCGATTTTGGGTGGTATGAGAGGACACTAATTGGAACAGGGCCGGGCGGGCAACGCCAGACCTCGACGCCGCGACAGTAGATAATGCGGCTGAAGAACTCATGATGAAATCCTCGATAGTTGGAACGAAGTTTGTATTCGATATAGAGGTTCACTGGATGGTATTCACGCAGGCAGGATGGCTCGCGCGTTGTCTAACATTCGAAGTTGCGGTAGATCATACCCACATCGACCCCACACGATCTAAAGCGGGTCGCGCTTATCTGATGTACCCGATGGGTCCGCTGGAAGTTGTTTAGAAAGGAATGGACTTTAAAGGATCGTGGCGTTATAGCAGCGAAGCAGGAGAGTAGGTATGGTATGGAAGAAAGAAATAAAGAGAGAATGCAAGCCAAATAAGAGGAAGAGAACTTGAAAAGGAGGTATGACGGCGAGCGAGATACCATGTGCCAGTAGGAGGACAGCCCTCCGACAAAGCGACTGTATAATGGGGTTGACCAATCATAATCAGGACAGTCGCTTCCCCCCGCAGCAAAGTTGCTGAGGTCATCAGCACTTTGACGTCACACTATTCCACATTCAACTTATCATTCGCGATAACCCCCGCATAACCTTCCTCCCTTGATCTTCCATATCGTCATCCGATATGGAACCCCCAGATCTTTATCCGATATGGGATCCACACCCGATTTGGAACCCATATCCAAGTCGTCTCTGGTCGTTATGACTTATGTACGTGTATTTTTTTGGTCATAATAACCAGATAATCAACTGGGGGTTTCAATGAGACCATTGATCCAGAACCGTAGTCCTTCAACCCCTTCCTCCCTGCAGAGAACCCCACGGTCCTCTGCCATCTCAAGCTCTTCTGCAGCCACACCAACACTCCACTTGAAACGCTGGGCCGTTTCTTGAGCAGTTACAGCCTGACCGAATACCGTCCAATCCCATGGCACCGATTCTGCTGGTGAAACTCGCCGTAGCTCTTCCATCCAGTCTTGTAGTTGGCGAAGTGTCTTTTCATCGCTCCAGTCATATTGCTGAACGACCAAGAGCCCGCTCTTGAAACGTCGTAGACGAACCGGTAATCTGAGCTTCTCCCAGAGCTCCGCAGCACGTTGGAAATCTGACGGGCTGATGAGTTCTACTCCATTCCGTGACCGATTGAAGACCGACCATAGATCGATAAGACTCATGATTCCCCCTTCTCGTTGTAGAATGCCTTTGCGATCATCCGTCAGGTATTCGGCCAAGTCGCGTGCAAGTTCTGATAGATAAAGATTCTCCGACCCAGAACTAAGCATGTCCTTGGTGGTGACCATCCCCAAAGCGGCTGCAGATTCAGACAAAACCGCGTCGGTCTCGGCGGACCCCTCATTCGTGGACATGCCGGACTCTCGTGCCAGAGTTTCAGCCAGCGCAACAATCTGCTTGGCCGAAGCCATTAGAGCTTCTAGATCCTCGAAAGCGTTACCAATGACTAGTTGATTGTTCATTCGTGCTTCCAGTCCTCGCTGTTCCAGCCCTGCAATTCCCACGGCGGATACTCGTAGAGGTGCTGGTTGAGGATTCTCCAGCATGTTAGTGGAAGTAGTTGTTGGCACATTTGATGTGCTCTGTGACGGGGGAGGCACCGGGGGCGCGTTTTGTAGCAGCCATTTCCGCTGGATTAGGGCATTCTTCAGTCTCTCATGAAAAGTTTTATCTCCACCTCCACGGAAAGATAATTTGATACTCTCGCTCACTTCAGTGTTCGGAATTCGCGATTGTTCGAAATATGGAGCTGGGGAATCAGCGCGACATTCACTGGGCCGATTTAAAGAAGCTGTAGCTACCAACGATGCTCCACACATTTCACATTCTATAAGAGATGGATGATTCACAAAGGTGCACCGAGGGCATGATACGGAGTTTGATGCAACGGGCGCCGATTGAGGGACAACGCCATGGCTTGTGTTTTCTTCAATAGGCACCGAGCTAGGTCGTGGGAGAGGGGGTTCCCGACTCGCTGCAGCACTGATCGCGGCCTTTAGAACGGTCGTAAAAGGTGGCTTAATACCACATGCTAGGCATGGTGGCAAATGGGTCGTTGCCTTTGCTGTGGCAGGATCGAAATTTGAAGGCACAGGGTTTGAGAAGGAGCAAATGGGACAGATCCACGTCGAGTTCACTGGGGTGGAAGGTGATTTCTGCGGGGCGATCGACGAAGGAAGAGTAGAAGGCGGCTTGCCCGAGCCTGCGTAGAGGGCCGATGGTGGGGGCACGGCAGGACTAGACGTTGCACTGCGCGACTTATCGGCATTGCTTTTTTGCGGCTTGGGATATATTGTGATCTTCGGAGATGACTTCAAGAAGCCTGCCTTTGCATATTTCCCCTATGTTAGCCAGGCGATCGCTTATCTTGAAGTGGGGGAGGGGTAGCTCGAACCTGATATTCAGCACGATCAATTTCTTTAAGATCGATCGCCACAGAGTATTTTCGAGGATCGTTCGTCGCTACATAGCATACTCGATGAGATGTCAAGTAGGCATGGCCATCTTGATAATCGGTAATCTTGTATTTCCTGGTCGGGGCACCTATCAGTAAACACTACCATGTTCATAGCGTCATAAGAATCACGATGTGGGCCGCTTACCCTTCATACAGCCCCACCGCATCCTGCACAAAGAGAAGAGTCTCGTCAGGTAACAGCAAGGGTCTCAGTGCAGTTGTCAGGTCCAAAGACTTGAAAAACATCTAGCAGGTTCACACGCGGTGACAACTCTGGCTTGGCTTCCGATAACAGATAAAGCACATACAGTATGACGGGGCTCGGAGAAACAAATGTTCCTGCCAAGCGAAATCAGATCGTCCCTTCGATTCTTGTGTGTTTCACTCTCCAAGGTTGTCCGAGTCTTAATATCCTTCTTAACCCTCAAATCCAAATCTCACCTTGCACTCTTCGTCGAATATCTTGTGACGTAGGAGCTTTTTTTTTTTTTTTCTTCTCCTCTTCTCGACCACTCCCAGTTCCCCCCTTCCCAACGTAGCCATATTCTCTCTCGTCTCACCTTCCGATTTTTCATCTTTTTCATCTCTTTTTTTCCTTTTGCATCATCACAACTCGTTTCTTAGAAGTTGGGATGAGCTCTAGCATTCCTCCGTGGCGTGCAACTGCGTCAACTCCTTCCACCATAGGAGCTTTTCCAACTGGTAAGCAAAAGAGGAGAAACCATATGACTAGGCTTGGCGCTAACCTCGCCTCAGCGACCCCTGCCTATATTCCAGTACAAGCCCGTCGTAGCCTCAACCATCATAACAAGTCCAACCCCTCAACTTTGAACGGAGTGCACCAACCCGCTATGTCGACAACGGATACAGCCCAGACACGCGTGGAGTTCTCCCCTGCCATTCGCACCTATGTGCAGCGGTGCTTTGCCCCCGAGAATCAGATCCCCAGCGTGAGCACCGTCGAAATGCAGGAGAAGCTCCGAGAGGTCATCACCAACGCGGCAGAAAAAGATCGACTCGACGCCATCGACTGGGAGCGACTGCAACTCCCGCAGGTTATAATTCAGAATGAACGCAACAAGATCCTGGCGAACCCCACCGTCTCGAGCTGGGCTATGTCAGGCCAGCCCGCATCTCCCGGAGATGCCTCGCGCAAGCGCAAGTCGACAGACAACCAACAGTCTGAGCCTGACTCGCCACCTTGGAGAAAAACTAACAATCGCAATCGTTTTGAGGATCGAGTCACTTACCCAGCAACAGAGAAGAAAAGCCGCATGGCACTGGACGCTTCAAGTAAGTCCAAAGCTAATTTGGAGATGAGGAAGAAGCGGTTTGAGGGTGCTGGTGCCACTTACGGGAAATCGGCCACCTCTTCTCCCCAGCCTGAAGTGGACCAAGGACCAGTCGTTGGCCGATGCGAGAAATTGGAGAAGAACTACTTTCGTTTAACTTCTGCACCGAATCCGGATACCGTTCGTCCCCTTCCAGTCCTGAAAATGACCCTGGATCTCCTGAAGAAGAAATGGAAGAAAGAGGGCAACTACGGCTACATCTGTGACCAGTTCAAGTCCCTTCGCCAGGATTTGACAGTCCAACACATCCGGGATGAATTCACCGTGTCTGTTTATGAAATCCATGCGCGCATCGCCCTGGAGAAAGGGGATCTTGGTGAGTATAACCAGTGCCAAACCCAACTGCGGGTTCTCTATTCGCAGCAGCTGGGCGGCCACCCGACGGAATTCAAGGCCTATCGTATTCTTTATTTCATTTACACTCGGAACTGGACTGCTATGAACGATGCACTAGCCGACGTGACTGCCGAAGACAAGAAAGATCCCGCAGTTAAGCACGCCCTTAATGTTCGCTCTGCTCTTGCGCTCGGAAACTACCACCGCTTCTTCATGCTCTACCTCGATACCCCTAACATGGGCGCATACCTTATGGATATGTTTGTGGACCGTGAGCGGTTGAGTGCTCTTGCCGCCATCTGTAGAGCGTAAGTGTATTCATTTTGCCTTCCTTTTGACCTATAGTTTGCTAATTGAGACAACAGCTACAAGCCCGACGTGACTATTCGGTTCATCACTGAGGAACTTGGATTTGAGTCCGATGAACAGACCGCGCGTTTCGTCATCGATCACTCCTCCGCGGGGCTGCTCGAAGAGAAAAGCGGGACTGTGAGGCTATTGACTGGCAAGGCGGGTGGCTTGTTCGAGCAAGCCAAGGCAGAAGCCCACCGCGTCGTCGATATCAAAGGGCAAATTTAAAGCCAGTTGCGATCCAGAATTTCCCGTCCCGGGGTTTCATGTTAATCACATTTAGGCTGGTCACTCCGAATCTCAGATTTGCGGCCGCCGTGGTTTCCTTGTCTTAAGTTCATTTCATTTTTCAGAGCGACAGGCGTTATTTTGGTCCCTCAAAACCCTCGAACCCCCCCTCGAGTTGTGGCATCTTTTTTCGATTCCCCTTCCCAGCTTTTCAGCCTTCCAGCATCCCCGAATTTCACATATGGAGTCCAGCCATAACTTCCAGCACGACTCGCAACCATACTAATATCTTGCATATTTGCTATTGATGAATGGACGGATTTTGGCGGAGTGCATGTGACTATTTGCTGGCGTCCCCTAGTAGATATCTTTTTACCATATTTACAGCAGCTTACATTCGATGACAAAATAACCTTTTCCATATTCATGGATGTGCCATAATCTTGCCACTGCAACGAACCCTAGGAAGCAGTTGGCAACGGGATGTTTTGTCACCTAACTGCCGATTGGTGCCTGATTCACCAGGTACCAACCCCAGATCCTAAAATTGCGTAATTATACATGTGGTTCCGTACTTCGTACAAAGGATGATGCGCGCTTTGCCCCCAGATTTTCGAACCTTGGAGGCGAGGTTATTTGACTGATTCCGCTGGTCTCCACGTCAGTCTCGGCTCTCACGCAACCGACGTACAGTAATCCATACAGGCCTACTTACCGCCGGGCCACGTGGGTCCTAGTCTTGTGGCAACCATGGGTAGACGGAGGGGCTCTTTCTAGTGGCGCGTACCGTTTTCCTTTAGTGTCATGGGAGGAGTCGGGACTGACCTAGACCCGATAAGCGGGGGAGATAAATTAACTACAATTACTGTAGTCATGCTAGCTTAAGACGTTTATCGGATTTACGCTTTATACCCCGTATGGCGAATAGAGTGAAATGTCTACCAAAAAAGGTGTGTTGCTGACATTACTGATCATAGTAATTCGATCAATCAGGAAATCTTGACATCATAAGTTCCCCAATGATCGGCGCTGTCTTGACCAACTACGACTGATGGAGAAGATCTTCTTCACCCCTATACGGCATATTGAGTACTCCGATTATAGCTATACACAAACCTCGCCCCCAGCTTTCCCCCATGGATTCCCGCAAACCCGAACCCTGATGTGCAATGCATGATCAACTCTATCTTGCTGGTTCATGTAGGCGTATCCCGTACCTGGAAGCCACCCAGGGGAATTGACATCCGGCCCACTGGAAATGCTCCGTTAGGCGTAGTTAACCGGGCGAGTGCAGAAGCCGCGCATGCGAGTCTCATAATTTTAATTTATTTGGATCTAAACTTGAGGTTTGTAATTATCATTTCATTCCTGGTGGTCCATTTAGATCTGGATGCTCCCTCGAAAGAGATGTCTCAATGACAGTAGCTTTCCCTTTATGCCCCCTACTCTTTGACGTATCTCTTTGTTGATCGTCTGGAGCAAGGTCAAAGACCACGACGATCCCAGCGTTATTGGGGTTGAAGGCCGTCAGATCCACGGTCCTAGCGTTTCTCGGACCACGGAATCTGGCTGAGAGGTGGGGGCCCTGAGAATTGGACACATGGATTCTTGATTTTTGGCGCCTTTTCTCCTCGGGAATTGTGCAAATCAGCGTGACCCCGGAGGCATGTGGTTATTAAAAGACAGACCAGTTAGAAGGCAAAGGGCAATTTCTAGGATGGTAGGGTGTGATCATTAGCCGCCGATGGCTTCTGCCCAACAATATCCCGGCGGAGTGGATGGGGTATTGTAACCAAATGACCAGGTAACTTACGGAAGTGGACTCTGCCAACATTAAAGGATGTTCTGTTCAGCTGGAATGATCAGCCATATTACATGCACTTGTCCTAGTGGATGCATCAAAGCTTTTCGTACCCCGTAGAAGTCTAAAATACTTATCAGCTTGAGTACCATCAGCTGTGGCTCATTCGTCTTTTTTTTTTTGCCACAACTAGGAACCCGGTCTACGTTCCCTGGTTGACGTAGGCTTCTGGAAGGTTTGAGGATCCATAAAGGAATGAATCGCCATTGGAGATAGAATGACCATAATAGAATTGCCTTAAAAAAGAAAAGAAAGACGGAAATAAAAGCGGGCCTTCACAATTCCAATCCCAATCCAGCCCGTTCCTGTGGTTGGAACCGCAATACGCAGATTACACCCTTGGTCATTCACTGCTCTGCTCAGTAACGTGCTCCTTGTGCGCTCCAAAAAAAGTAGAAACCTCTCTTCCTATTTCTTCTTCTTCCTGGCATCTTTGAAATCAATACTTCTTGAACTTGATCCGCCTGGGCTTCAGTTCGACATGAAGGTGAGTTTCCACACCCCGCCACTGAAACATTACCAACTTGGAGGGTATTGTGTGTGTCATTTAATTAACCCGCAATCCCCAGGCTATCAGGCGGTCCTTGAAGGGCGAGAAAGATCCCAAACATCACCATATCTCTATTACCCCTAAGTCCGCCCTTGCCATTCTACCTCCCAAGAAGGTGAGTTTCTTCCCTACTGATTTCCTTTCCCCTACGCGTGTGAGAATCGCGTCTTCCTTTTCTCACCCCACCCAGCCACCAAAGGAGAAGAGGGGGCAAAAAGAGTTCCACAATTTCAATATTCCAGACAAAAAAGACGACACGCCCCTCTCTCCCTTGTGTGTGTAACCCGTGCTTGGCAAGTGGCTGACGCACTTCGTGCGCGCGCAGGTAATCAAAGCTCTTTACGACTATAAACCCGAACCCGGCACCTCCCAGGAATTGGCATTCAGCAAGGGAGACTTCTTTCACGTTATCAGCAGGGAGGACGACGAAGACTGGTACGAGGCTTGTAACCCACTCATCCCTAGTGCCCGGGGGCTCGTGCCCGTGTCCTTCTTCGAAGTTATCGGAAAAAACGAAAGGGATAGTGGGGGTTCGGTCGATCTGCATAAAAAGGACCACCACGACTCTGGTTTCGCCGACCGCAGTCCCGCTCCTGACTCCTCTCCCAACAACGCTCGCCAACCAGCTTTCAGGATGTCCGCTATTAAGGGCCAGGGCGCCATGGTTTATGGCATCGTCCAGTACGACTTTCAGGCAGAGCGTCCCGATGAATTGGACGCTCGCGCCGGCGAGGCCATTATTGTTATTGCCCAATCTAACCCGGAATGGTTTGTCGCGAAACCAATCGGCCGCCTTGGTGGGCCTGGTTTGATTCCCGTCTCCTATATTGAACTGCGCGACATGCAGTCTGGTCAGGCGGTAACGGACCCCCTCGAGGCTGTGCGACGCGCTGGCGTTCCTAAAGTGGAGGAATGGAAGAAGATGACTGCCGAATACAAGAACAGCAGCATCACCCTGGGGAAGATTGACTCCTCGCCCACCAACAGTGGTATGGGGCAAATGACTGGATCAATGGACCAGATGTCCATGAGCTCAGGAAACTCTGGCCATATGAGTCAGAATGGCAATGCCTATGTGAGTTTGGGAATGCATGACTTGTGAACGTGGCCTTGCTAATTGATTTCCTCGCTTCAGGGATACCACCAACGCAATGCCAGTAAAGGCACCTTATCCTCGCAGGCCCAACCGTCACAGACTCCCTCACAAAACTACCCGCTGCTTGCTCCTGTCGCAGCTTCGATTCCCCGCTACTGCTTTGACAACGACAAGTACTGGTATATTATCGAGGCGAAGATGGAAGATGGTCGGTGCTGGGAATTGTCGCGTTATTACCACGACTTCTACGACTTCCAAATTGCGCTCTTGACCCAATTCGAGGATGAGGCTGGTAACCGAGGTCGCCAACGAACACTGCCATTCATGCCGGGCCCTGTCACCCATGTGACCGATGCGATCTCCAACGGCCGCCGACAGAACTTGGATGAATACATCAAGAAGCTTCTGGCGATGCCCCCGCATATCGCTCGCTGCAACCTGGTTCGTCAGCTGCTTGCGCCTCGGCCAGGAGACTTTGAAATCGACCCGAATGCATTTGGTGAGGAGGCACGGTACTCCGACACCTCCCATCACTCTTCCGGCGCGGAGCCCTCCCAGAGTGTATCGCGACAGTCTTCACAGGTGCCAATGAACGCATCGCAAGATCGAATTTCGCAACAGCAACAACAAAACCTTGGCCCACCAGGCTCCGCACCTTACAATAATGGTGCACCGCCACCCATGAACCGACAGGCAAGCTCCCTGACCCAAGTCTCAACCACCTCAAACACCGCGATGAAGGTCAAGGTGTTCTTTCAGGATGATCTTATCGCCATCCGTATTCCAAACGGCGTCAGCATGCAACATCTCAAGGACAAGCTCTCAGATCGGTTGAAGATCCAGGAAGACATCATCGTGCAGTACAAGGACGAGTCCACCGGCACATACATCGACTTGCTCTCAGACGCAGATTTGGATAATGCCATGCAACGCAACACGAAGCTCACTCTATTCGTCAGCATTGCATAAACAAAAGCAGTCGTTTTGTTGTCGCAGTTGTGATAGATTTCCTGCTCCGTGCAAGGTATTGTTCTATCTCCTGTTACATCTTTCATGTCTTACTTCTATTTTCCTATGGTTCTGCAACGTGTATGGCGCATTGGAGTTCGGGCATCCCATTTTCTCCACATTCTCCGTGCTCCATCAGCCCTTTCAGCGATTTGCACTTTGTTCTTTCAAAGGGGAAGATGGTGTTACGAATATTATGCGTGATGTATGGTATGGATTTTCCTTTTCCCCCAATTCTTCTTTTCTTGCAAATGCTTCCATGATCCTGTTCCGAGGTATCGTTTTGTTATGTCGTTTCTCGGTCACCATTTTCATTTTCTTTACGATATCTCTCTACGGTTCTCGGGTGATATACCCCGGTCTGCGTGCTTCGGTGACATGTACATATGCTCTTTTTTTTTCATGCATATCTAGGAAAGGCTTCCTGTTCTACTTGTGACCAAGCAATCGAATTTAATATCCTAAGATGTATCGTTTCCGCTCACTACGTCTCGGCGTCTAGTTCTAATTGCCGATATCGACCGATCTCCTTCCGAATCACGTGACGGTTGATCGGCCCGTTCTTTTCTCGCCCTGACAGCCATAGGGTGGCTTCCGATCAGTACATTCTTTTCCTTATTATATGTAGATACTGCGACATTGTGTGCTTATTTGACCTGGAGAGACCACTAGCGCATCACTGAACCCTCATCCCTCCAGTTACGCTCATCAGCCACCGCCTTAATCCACTTGTACGCCACTTCCCCGGCAAAAAACAATTCCTGCGACACCTCGGCTACGTCCTTAGCGTTCCGACAATTCACGCGCCACGACCGCATTTCTTGAAACGTACATACGCATAGCATTATCTGAATCGCAAATGAGTCAGCCGTCTGCCAAACTCTGCGCCGAGTGTTTCTCGGGCTCCTTGCGGTCGTCCCGGGCACTGCGGGGCGTTCGTGTTGCTCGTGTTGCTCGTGAGAGAACAAACAACGCCGCTCAGCGGAGGGGAATCTCCTCTGCGGCTGCACGTCGGGATCGTTCCTCGTCACTCACCTTTTCTACGGGCAGATTTGCTGGTGACCAGTTGCCATTGCGATCGACGCAGAGAGTTCGGAGCTTGGCTACTACTAGTGATGCGACAGTAAAGGCGGCGCAAATGGAGAAGAAGGTGTCTGGACCCCCGCAGGATGGACCGATGAAGGAGTATGATGACCGGGTGCAGGAGGGTCGGTTGCGAGATGATCCGTATCAAAGAGGTCAGTCGGACATGCGTAGTCCAAAGACAAGCACAGTGAATGCGCTGGTAGTAGACTTTGGACTGATCTGATTTCCTTTCCTATAGCAATTATCCAGAACCTGCAGAACCTATTCGAGGCTCTAAAAGAATATACTCCGCCCGCAGTCATTCATCCCACCGTCGAGTCGTTGGACCCCGAACCTGAACCGTCTTTCTTTGCCTCGTTGTTCAGCCGCGGTGGCAAAGAAGCACCAAAATCGGCGATTCCCGAGTCCCTTCCCAAGGGCCTGTATATGTTTGGCGATGTTGGGTGTGGAAAGACCATGCTTATGGATCTTTTCTTTGATACGTTGCCTCCCAATATTACGACCAAGACCCGCATCCATTTCCACAACTTCATGCAAGATGTACATAAGCGCATGCACGTTGTCAAGATGAAGTATGGTAACGAATTTGATGCATTGCCTATGGTTGCTGCAGATATCGCCGAGACTGCTAGCGTGCTTTGCTTTGACGAGTTCCAGTGCACTGATGTCGCCGATGCGATGATATTGCGGAGGTGAGATATCACATTTTTTTATTCGTACATTGAATATTTTCAATAACTGACCATCAAACAGACTCTTGGAGATCCTTATGTCCCACGGTGTTGCCGTCATCACCACCTCCAATCGTCATCCTGATGACCTGTACAAAAACGGCATCCAGCGCCAATCATTTATTCCCTGCATCAACCTCCTCAAAAGCCAATTGAATGTGATTAACCTCAACTCCCCAACGGACTACCGCAAAATCCCTCGCCCCCCAGCCGCAGTCTACCACCACCCTCTTGGCTCAGACGCAGAGGCCCACGCTCAAAAATGGTTCGACTACCTAGGCGACCCAATCAACGACCCACCCCACCCAGCAACCCAAGTAGTCTGGGGCCGCACAATCCAAGTCCCCCTAGCAAGCGGCAAAGCCGCCAAATTCACCTTCAATCAGCTCATCGGCTCAGCCACCGGTGCAGCAGACTACCTCGAGCTAGTCCGCCACTACAACGGCTTCATCATCACCGATGTACCAGGCATGAACCTCAACCAGCGCGATCTAGCCCGCCGCTTCATTACCTTTATTGACGCAGTATATGAAAGTCGTGCGAAGCTCGTTCTTACAACCGAAGTTCCACTTACGAACCTCTTCCTCTCTGCGGATGATATTAAGGATTCGATGAAGGCTGGGGACCATTCTGATCTGTCAGATGCTATGCGCAACCTCATGGACGATTTGGGTATGTCTGTACAAGCGCTTAAGAACACGTCTATTTTCAGTGGTGATGAGGAGCGGTTTGCGTTTGCGCGTGCGTTGTCCAGACTTTCGGAGATGGGCAGTAAGGAGTGGGTTGAGCGGGGAATGGGCGTTGGAATGGATGAGCAGGGGAGCAAGGAGGATCGGGAAGCTTGGTTGAAGACTCGGAGTCATTGGAGTGAGGATAACATGTAGATAGCTTTGACATTTTTGCGGCATCTGCATTTGTTTCGTTCTGCCTACCCAGCTTTGTAGGCATTCTTAGGTTGTTATAGATACCTGTGTAGATATTGGTGATTGGAAAAGAAGATGTTGTATATCCCCTGTGATTCTGCCTGTTCACGTTACTCCTCTACGACTTCCAGCATTAGCCGCCGTCCCTTGGGAGCAATATTAAATCTGTCCTCCATTCCCATTTCCCAGTTCTCCATCTCTTTCCCAAGCCTTAGGACAAGTCCCGATCGCATAATCACCTCGATTGCAACATAGAGCTCTTCAAATGCCAAATTTTGACCAATACAGTTTCGCCTACCCAGGCTGAATGGGGTCAATGACATGTCCATCTCCTTTGTACTGGTCAACCAGCGCTCAGGGTAAAATCGTTCTGGCTTTGGAAAAACCGACGAGTCCCGGTGATGCACATAGTTTTGCATCCCAACAACAGTCCCGGCCGGTAAAATGTATTCACCAAGCTGTAATGGCTCACCCAGAAGCCGTGGAAGGGTAGAAATGATAGTCGGGAATAAACGAAAGGTTTCCTTGATGACGGCATTGAGATATGGGCAATTACGAACAGCAACGATGTCATTGGGTGGGAGACGCATTACCTCGTCGCGTAGTGTGACTTGAATGCCCTCATTTTCGGGACAAGATAAAGCGTAGAGCATGTAGGTCAAAGTGGCTGAAGTTGTACCACTTCCTGCAAACATGATTCCCATGGCTTCTTCAACAAGCTCTTCATAAGTCAATTTTCGACCCAAAAATGAGTCTGTCCCGTGAAGTAGTGGAGCCAGCAAGTTCTTTTCGGTGGAAGCTCCCGTGAATGATGCTCGTAAGAAATGATCAACCATCTCTCTAGACTTTTGCTGCCAGTATGCATCCTTGCGATAACAAGCGCCAACGTGACCGGGAAGTCTCTTCCCTAGTCCGGTTGAGCGTAACCATGGCACTGTGGATGTAAACATCAGGGTCTGTGCACTGCCGTCCATGGCATGCATCAGCTTTAGACCTAAATCGCCTCCCATGGCAGAGAGGTCCATTGCAAAGCCTGCTTCGCATATGACTTCCAGACTGTACAGTCCAGAGAGCTCAAACGCATCTGCAGTCCCGTTGGGGGATTCTGTGGCTCGCTTGAGTAGGTTTCTGGCCAGGTCTTCTGCCTTCCTGCGAATCAATGGGCTCAGCAGGGTGATCCCTTGAAGAGAATATGGCGCAGCACTTAAGCGTCTGCGGGCAGAATGTTGAGCCGGATTTCTGCTTTTGTCAGTCTGGACTTTCGCTTTATGTAGCTTAGAGTCAGCTGCTCACGTCATCTGGAAGATGTTGCTTTTACCAACAAAATTAGCGATAGAGTAGAAGTCAGTATCCTTGGTCGTAGATTTCGAGTCATTGTAAATGGGTCGGTAATATCGATAGTCCCCAACTGATACTTCATTCGGCCCAATGCGTACCACTGAGCCATATTTCTTATGGAGGATATCTAGCTCCTAAATACGAGTGAAAAACGGAAAATGATGGTCTGGCGTTGATATAAATGACTTACCTGAGCCCGTTTTCCCGTGATTACTTTCAGCACAATTGGAAGTGATGTTATACGAGCCCACGCTGGCCCAGGGAGTTTATTCAATGGGCTAAAGAGAACCCGGAAGAGACGCTGTAGAGTAGAATATTTATGCTCAGCATGCAGGAGGCGTAGGATTAGGACGTGCTGCTTACCTTGATTATGGTGAACGCCGAGTACAATATGACCAAATATAATAGTACACGTTCAGGGCTCCTCAAAAGACCCACTGAAACCTCCATAGTTATTGGGCGGAGATTAAATGAGAAGTGGAAGTACTGTATTATCGGATTTTGATCTTCTGGTCTTTGAGGGCGCTCAGCCTGCCCTTTATCATGCCCTGCGAGTTCAACATTGCCATCTGTTCTGCGGTGGAGCCGAAGTGTGGGGACGAGCAAATGTGGCAAGATAAATGGTGCGGAAAAGCCAGTGCAATATTGCAACTGAAAAGCGGCTGTAGAGACACTCAGCAATAGGGATTTTCACGATCAACATGTATTCAAAGTCCCCAAGACCGTGAATTCATTCCCAGCAATGAGTCACCTTACTATCTCAAATCCAAATTCGAATGAAGTTGAGGGCATACCCTGCCTGCCTGATGTTTCCAGGCCGATGTCCCAGGTGCTCTCTCTCTTTTATGATTTCAATGGATCAACTGTCAACTCTCTCGAACCTTCCTCAATTATGCTTCCTACGCTACGTTTGCCGACTGGTTCTCTTCCAATAACATGGTCATCGATTCACTTCGGCAAATCCGAGATCAAGGTCCGAGATCCTGGAGATCGGAATGTGGGGTAAATACTGACGTCGCTATTTCAGTGCAAATGCTCCGCTGGGGTCACATTCTCTTTGGACTGTGTACATCCATTCAAAGGTGACCGTTTGATTGGCAATGGAGTCGAATAGTGAGAATTCGGTAGCATGTGAGTTTTGTGGAAGAGTTTTTGGCCGCCAAGAACACCTCGATCGACACGTCCGCTCGCATTTAGACCACCGCCCATTTCGCTGTGATGGCTGTGATCGTCGGTTTTCACGCCGGTACATAGAAAAGTCCCATCTGTTTACACTTGGCCTATCTGACTGCCTTACTAGAGACACTCGAAACCGTCACGCTGCCGCAAGCTGTCCTAAAGGAGGACATCCTCGTATCAGAGCTTACAATGACCGAGCAACGGCAGCATGTGTTCCTTGCTCACACTCAAAGCTTCGCTGCTCGACGGGAAACCCTTGCACTCGCTGCCACAATAAAGGACTTCCTTGTAGCTACCGCGAATCAAAGTACACAGGTGGACGCTCTCGAGTTCTCAAGACCCTTGGAGTTTCAAGCATACGGCCAGACTCTTCGCGTCATGACGTGGCGAATCAGCGAGCTATCTCGCCCCAAGATCTACTTGAAACAAATTTGGAAACCCAGATAGTTCCAATCTCCACATATCCCGACGGTGGGCGCTTTCTTGTTCTTCATCTGCGCCCCCATATATGCAGTTTGGGTAATCTAATCTGAGTTGTCATTTGCAGATAAAGATCTTCCCACAAGCCCGGGTTCAAATGATCTTTCAAAACTTTCTCGATCAGAAGAAACAATATGGCCCATTTTAGATACTACTGATCTAGCTTACCTGGATTTGTTGATGCCGTTTGGAGAGAACAGCTTCACCACTCCAGAGCAAATCAATGGAATTTCTCATTTCAATTCCTACTCAAGTGGTGACAGCATCCCAAGAAGTATCCTCTCACAGAGAGCTTCAACGGGCATTGATCATCCACTCTCTAAATCCGTGTCACAGCCTCACTCAGCGCACGAAACCCACCTGCGTTTCAGATGTGGTGGAATGGTTCAGCCTTTCCTATGGCAAACGCAACGCTCAGACTCTCCGTGCCATGATAACACGCCCTCATCGATTGCCAAATTGAATCACGAAACGGAGTCAGATCTTCAGTTCATCGGAATATCTAATAGAGACCTCTTGGAAATGGATGATTATGCCCATGTGTCAAAGGTGACATCCGGGAATGCAACATTGCAGGAGATGTTTGATTTCATCGGCCAAGAGCAACACCATGTTCTGGGAACCATTGAATCGGAAATCCCAGATTTGTGCGATGAGAAGGCGATCAATACTTTTATCCAGCTTTATTTTGAGTTTTTCCATCCCAGGTTCCCCATGCTCCATAAGTCGACCTTTCACATGTTTAACACCAATTGGATCTTGATTCTCGCGGTTGTTACGATTGGTAGCCGATACTCAAGAATAAAGCAAGCGCGACAGTATGCCATATTCTTTGGGAGATATCTTAGGCATGCTATTGCTACTTTGGTATGCATCTTCGTTTTCGAATCTTGTTGCACGACGTTTTATGTCTGTCTAATACGTCATTCGCAACCTAGGGAGACGACAAAATTGAACACACGCTCCGCGTACCATTTATCCAGGCGATTATTCTTAGTCAGATTGATATGTCATACAGTGGTGCGAAGACACTCTACCTTCAGTCCCAATTCCAGAGAAATATGCTGGCCACTTTGTGCCGTGGTCTTGGGAGTGGGCTTGCAAGGGGATATGTCACCCACACGATTGAACATCGCAATAATGGACCATACTATAAGTGGCTAGGCCGAGAGATGGCTATCCGTGCAGTGCATTATGGATGGGTAAGCGATACTTAATCTCTATCGTAAGTTACTCTACTGACATGACGTGAAGCTTTTCGATTGCCAGTTAAATTTGAACTGTGATATCCCGGCAATAATAAGTCTAGATGGCTTCGATATTCCATTACCATGCCATGAGAATATATGGAATATGACAGAAGTTCAATGGATGGACGAATTCCAAAACGGTAGGATAATCATCGAATTATGCATTGGACCGCCAATTTAACCTTGGAGTAGAGAATATTCAGAATGTCCCCGAATGTCCTCACATGCATGAAACGTTGAACTTGTTCACACAAAATAGCAAGAACATCCCGCCGATTGGAGTCTTTTCCCGAATGCTTGCTATGATGGCCATTTATCAGCAATCACGAATGATCATGGATGCTTCATTTATCATGACAAACAACACGCGGACATCTCGCTCGCGGAGCATTCGAGACCATTCCATGTATACCGAATGGAGAGATTCTGCTATAGAAACCCTAGGACTGCTGAGACAGAGCTCAAAAGACCAATGGTTATCCGACGTATATCACCATCTCATGATTATTGTTCACATCCCTCTCAAAAGTCTTTGTACTGTTGCTGGTTGGACATCCACTGAGGATGCAATCCTTGCATCAAAGAGAGAGCTATCTTCGTGGATGGCTGATAACCCTCAAGCTGCTCGTAAGACGCTTCTTCATGCCGCTTTATTGTTCAAGTCTCTTCGATCAAAGCCATTGAATACACATACCGGGGCTCATGATCTTTTGGCTGCTACCCTTACTATTTGGGCCTATGCATTGCTTCATTCACCAAGGTCTGAGGATACGCTGACCGGACCAATCATCTATCTTGATCGCCATATGAGCGAAGACCAAGAACGATCATGGATTTCCGATCCAAACGAGGATTCTCCTTTGCATATCTCTGGCGTTGGGTGTATCCTCAATGATTCTGCAGCCACGCGAGTACTTCTGGAAGCGAAGAGCTGCTTAGCTCGGCAGATACATTTATGGGGAACATATAACCATATTTTGACAGTTTTTGAGGTGATGGCTCTATCCGGGACCGCAATTAGCTTGGATTAATGTTGGAGTGAAACTAATTGTTACATATGTACTTATTGTCACATGCGCGCGATGTGAGTTGTACTTCAGCACATTTATTTGTAAAAAGGTTACAAAGTCTTAAGGGGTACGTATCAATCATCCGACACTATCCTTTTGCCTGGTACCGAAATTCCCAGGGATTTCATAATAGCAACTTATACTACGCCTCAAGCTTGGTCTGTTACCTCTGGACTTAGCATTTGTTCAATGAACCAAATAGGGAGACAGATTACATACCATAGGTACTCTACTTTGCACCGCATCATCATAGGCTTTCTTTATGAGTTCATTCTTCCCATTCCTGGGGAACAACGCCACTGGTAGATCGCTATTCGGATTCCCGGGGGGCTGCCCACGGTATTTCGAGGGATCCAGTGGAAGCTTTGCTGTCGAAGAAGGCTTGATGTCAAATGCCCAAAGTATACGCATGATAGAAACCCCAAGGGAGCGTTCGGCAACGTGGTAGCCGGGACCTTTTCATACAGATATCTCGTGAGCATATATGGAAACACTGAAATCCAAACGCTTTTTTAGATTTGAACTTACACACGCGCCTTCCCGAGCCAAAAGCAAAGTGATCTCGCTGGGTAACATCTGGAGAGTTGATACTCTCCATTGTCTTAAAAAATAGAGCGGTTAGCAAAGACATTGGGCTCTTTGTGTTAAACTTACAGTTGTTTTATCATGGGAATATCGCTCTGGCCAGAATCTTTCCGGGTCTTTGTGGCGGTTAGCGTCGTGTCCGATGGCCCTTCGAAGAGTTCATGTTATGAGTTCGTGGATCATTCGAATATGACAGACATCAGCAGGTCGTTCGAGGAATTATCCTACCAGGCATTGATATGAATCCTTGAGCCCTTCGGGATACGGTAGCCTCCGTATTCAAGCTCCTTAGTGGTTACATGTGGATGTCCCAAAGCGACCGGTGGGCGCCAGCGCCAGACTTCTTTCATAATGCAGCGCACGTATGGAATCGAGTCAAGATCCTCAAAAACAGGGATTCGGTCACCAGCAACGTCATCTATGATAGCTGTAAGTTAATCTTTATCGTCAAATGTGGGATTGCCTACCAATCTCTTTTTGAGCCTTCTTTTGAACATCTGGAAATTGAAGCATGGCTTCAAGAAAAGACCAAGTAGACATTTGGCTCTGTTTTGATTATTCAGCCTATGCTGCAGTCCTTCAAAAGTAGGGAGGCTTCAAACCGTATCTGCTGCAGCCATGACCACCATTAGAGAAAGATATGCTGCTTCCTCAAGCTCAACCCCGAACTTATTCGAGTTCTGAATAAGAGTACGAAGGAAGCTCTCTTGTGAGATTCCTCGGTCAGTCGATGTGGGGTCTTCAACTCGCTAGATCGATTGTCAGTAAATAGAAAACAGAAAGATGACGAAATATTGGAGTTCGTACATTCAAATGCTTCATGGACCATTCCAAGTCCCTTCTGAACCGTGCCCGTGAGCTTTGCTCCCATGGCTTGAGAAAGATGGGGAGCATATCGAGAAATGGTAGCACATCAACGATATGTGATCCGGGAAGTGTGCCTGGGAAATGTTCATTAGAGTTGGAAAAATGCGGGCCATCGGGTTTCTCATACCAAGAATCTGCGCGAGACCAGTTTCTGTGTTATAATTAGTCAATCTTCGACCGCGAGTAGAGTTTGCCCATTGCTTCTTTACCGTGAATATAGCCAATGACCGGGTTATTGGTATCCGGGATCTATTCCTTGCTCAGCGAGTATCCGCATTGAACATAACTGCTCTGACCAACCTCCATTCCAAATACCTGAGAAGCAAAAGTACTGTAGGTATATCTGGAGAGGCTGTCCCACAACTTTGAGCTTGACTTTTCCTTTTGCCCAGCACTGGCAATCTCGTTAAGGAACTTTGCAGATTCGAAATGCAAAAATCTACGAATCTTCCACTTTAGCGCCAGCACGACAGTAACCTTATTATAAAAGTTCGCATGCACTTACTCGAGCCCAGCATCGGCTTTTGGTACACTAGTCATACATGAGTGTATAATACGGCGTTGGTTCTATTGAGATCTTAGCTCGGGCTATAAGTGAAAGGGAAAATTCATCATGCACATACCTTCCATCTAGGCTCACTGGCGTTCAGAAGAAGTACGTTCATTTTGTTGCAGATTTGCTCATTGCTGACAATCCACCGGGGCCGTTCGGCGGTAGCGGCAGATGCACGATCAAATATTTCCTTTTGTCGTCAGCTCGAAACTGGATATGAGCGTGGATGCCAAGCTCGTAGCCTGCATGAGGACTTTTCGTGTTGCTTTTACCTTCACTGCACGATCCGAGCTAAGATAATATTCGGTCATGGGCCCAATCCTGACTCCGATTATATCCCCATATTCTTCTGCCCATCTTTGAAGTAGCAGATGCTGCGATGCTTGCTTGGCGTGTTTAACAAACTCAATCAAGTTTCCCAAGATGGGGATGCCGGGGGGTCTTGGGGGCAATGGAAGTCTTCCCCTTTGGAGAACATGATTTTGCCACAATTTCCATGCCAGGAACACTACGATGCCGAGCATGCAAGTCTGCGGCATGTGGGAAAGGATTCTTTCGTTGATCAACATATTTGTAGATGATACTTGTTATTAACGAAGCGAAAGTGCAGGTCGGTATGAAGTCAGGCCGAGGAAATGAATTCTGAAAGAGCCCCAAGCTTCCAATTTTATGAGTTATTTTCCAAAGGTTTGCGGGGAACAAGAGGTGTGGTATATATAGTGGTTGAGTGTCGGTGGGGCCGATGGTGTAGTAGAATCGGCACAGCGGAGCACTCGGGATTGTACCGAGTGGAGACGGATCTTGCACAAGGAAGACCAGAGAGAGATTAAATTGATTTTAAATAATGGGTTTTGGGTAAACTTAAGACCTGAGAACCGATAAAAGATATAGGTAACGGTAAGATATTGCATGTCATTTTCAGGGTCTTTCGCAGCTACATAGTGAATGATAGCCGCCTGCTCTCCTTCTCCTTCCACCTCCATACTTTTCACATTGCTATCGAATAAATCGAAGTTAAGGCCATTTCCCCAATGATTGATTTATGCATATTTCTTGCCAATATATCACCCAGAAAACAAATCAGGCCTCACATTACGACGCTTGATCTATTTCAGACGTGATTAGTACGATATACTCGGAGCACGACCTCGATTAGAAGTCATCGAACGACGATTCTCACAATTTAATGATTGGCCAAATCCACGATGCCTAGTCTAAACTCCACGATTGTACGATTTATTGTACCAGTTCATGCATCATGTCTGATGGCAACTTTAGCTGGTAGTTCAGGCCATGGCTCCTTGACAGGTGTCATATTAAGTTAGTAGATCTCTAAGGTCCCTTTAGATAGGGTGACCCACATTAGCTTCTCTAGGTGCTTCCCTGGTGTTTCCACATCATAAGTGGCTGCGTAAGAGCGTTACAAGATTTTGGGCTATTCAATAATCATATATTTTTGATATTTGAAGAGATCTTCCGTAGCTGATTCTTATTTACTCATTTTTTACTCCTCACTTTCTACTACTAGCATGATATTCAGGCAGCAAACTTATGTCCGGCAATTTTCTCCAGCCAGCTTGAGGCCTGGGCCAAGATACTTCGACTCATAAGCCGAAGTGTCCAGTCGAAATGATCTTCAAAATCCCCTGTCAGTTAAATCCGCGGCTTCAAGAATGAGACGATGTAACCTTCATGGTCGAGACTCACATTGTTCCGGAAATGCATGCACATGCGCGGCATGATGGTCTACCTCAGAACCCTGGAATTCACCGTGGAGATTACCAGAACAGTCTAGCACAAACAATGCAAAACGCAAGGGAGAACATTAAGTTCATTAAAACTGACAATGATTGTTTCTTATTATCTCAGCCACTAATGAACCCCCGTAAAGTGGGGTACACGGCAAGAGCGGCTAGTTTACAAAATACGCAGAACTCAAAAATTGTTATCTGATCCGATCATCGGCCTCGATGCAAAGCAAGCGAGGGAGCTTCTGCCTAAAGATCAGCAAGCTATGCTGATCGTGCGTATCACAGCCGAAAACATGAGAAATTTCCAGAAAGGAGCTCATCACATTCTCAGGGCTATTGACCTGTTATATCACTGTTCTCGTTGAGAAGCACACCCCTCTCCACTGTCGGGCAGCCAGCACGGATGATCCGTTCAGCCGGTGCGGGTCAAGCTGCCCTCGAACTCTACTCGACACTTTTGGTTACCCAATAAGGCGGTTTAAGTGTTAGTTCCCGGCTATGGCCCGGATCAGATAATAATAAAGTTTTTGGGGAAAGTTGGATCCGTTCGTTGGCTGCGCCACAGCGCTCACAGTGCATGCCCAAGTGTGAACAATAACATATCCTATAACAACTAGCGCCCCAACCGAACCCAAAAGGGAGTCTATTTTGGAAAAAAGAAATTATTTTAGTTTTACATTCGTCATCAATCATCTAAGACCATACAGGCAACAACCATGGACGTCGTCATGCCTCCGGTGGGGGTATAAAAATCTCTAGGTCGTGTTTCTCCGCGTCCTCTCGGCTCTAATTCGCAGCTCCGGTCCCACATCTCGTCCAGCCCGGTTGCGGACTGTAATTTGGATGCGAGGTATTCTTGTAACTCGGGTATGGCGTGTAGGCAGTATTGTGCTTCTTTGAAGCGCTGTATCTCGTGGACTGATGCGGCTAGCATTGTGTATTTGTGGAAGTTGATTAGGCCTTCTGGTGTTAAGGGCTGGTTTCCATCTTCGATAAAAGTCAGGTCCTTAAGGTAGAGCCCTGTTTTCTGTCAGTTTTGATGTGAGGGTTGCTTTGGTTTGAAGATTTTGACTTACCGAGAAAGGGGATGCAGGGTGGTACTGCAATGCGTAGTGCCCCACGGTAGTTGCTGTAGTTTTGTGTACTTGATGTTAAGGCTTGTAATGGCCTTAAGATGTTGCAGCTCTTTTCGGTGACCATGGCCCATGTGCGGGTAAGTCGGTAGATAGGTGCGCTTTGGAATCCTGAGAGAATGGAGACCACTGCTGAGTAATTTTGAAGCTCATAGCATATCTGTGAAAAGGGCTTGGTTTAGTACATGTATGTTTCACATATTTGGGGAAGACCAGAGAGCATACGTTAGCTATATTCACCAGATGTCCTATTACTTGTGCCCGCTTTTTGATTTCGGATTCTGCAAGGATCAAGGCGCCAACCCAGTTGGAGAGTTGATTAGAATATCGAATCAAAGCCCGAATGTTTCGGGCCGGCGCAGGGGCTGAAAAGCTCTCCTTCTTTTGCCAGGCTTTATTCATGAGTTCATTCCGTTGTATTTTGTTGAACATATGTGCTTCCATGATAGTCAACTGCCGAGCAAGCTCTTTGGCGTCAATTTTGAGAAACAAAAGCTTGTCTAGTTTTCGTGGGAGAATCGGTTTAGGCGGATTCGAGATGGGTGGTCGAGATATTTTCATGTGGGACATACCAGCCATTCGGCGTTGGATGATTCCGAGTAGTTGAGCCACTGCACTTGTCTCCGTGGCGGCTGCAGCGCGAGATGTAAATTCTCGTAATTTTAAGAGATTATTGTCGGTCTCAGGACCTTTAGGCTCAGTCCAGAAGTGTTCGAGCCACTGCTTAAAGATGTTGATCACACGTAGTCGAACAAGGGGCCTTGTTGTATCGGCTTCGCTGGATGGTAAACAGTCAAACCGAGCGATTAGGAGGTCGATCAGCCCAGACGTTGATATAAAATATTTGTAGGTTGTAAGAAATGTGCGATTGAAAAAGGCATCCAGCTTATCATGGCGCGTCAAGTTCTCCACTAATGCCCAGAGTGTGCCCGCTTTCACAATTTCAATGCTCCCATTATGATCATAGACAATTTCCTCGTGAGATTCGATGTGATCTGATTCGGAGTCCATCTCCTTTTTGTGTTGTTCAACCATAGTAAAGACAGAGCCCCGCAAGACTTGGACTAGCGGATGTGAACCATCTAGGTTGTCTTCCATCTGCTCCGGTGATCGATCTCTGCCTTGATTCAATGAACAGCACTATGTTGGAGATGCGACAGCTGTTCAAGATCGGGAAGATCTTTCGGGGGCATCCCAGGCTTTTTGAATGGGAAAGAAAGGAAGGGGAACAGCGATACTGATTCGGGTAGTGGGGTTTCCTGCTCACGCTGTGCACATGGCAAGGCTCCACTCCAGCTGGGACCGTGAATCTGGCCCTACGCGCCCACAGCGGTGTTTGGACTATTTGATCTTTCTCCGAGCTCACACCTGCGCCACCTTGGCATGCATGGGATCACATTGAGTCTAGACGGGATATTTTTCTTTTCATGCATAGGCTTTTGTCAAGTGCTGTTGCGTCTAACTTACGACTTCCCTGTTGGCGCGGACGGCATGCTTTCGGCCCGATGCTATTCTGTCGGACCACAAAATTCCCTTCAAATATCAAAAGCGAAATCCCCACGAGAGAAAACCAAGGCGATTTGACGTAACCGATAAGCGAGCTATGGCCCCACCTGCCATTGTGACGCGTGTGCACGCACGAGACAACGTACCCTGGCGGTAGTCTTAAATAGGCTTTAGTTACCGAGTTTATTACGCTAACAAAGGGAAATGCCAAGAAACTAGCTAATTGATCTCAGTTGATGATTGGTATAATGCAAGTATGAGTAAAGGAGAATCCCGCCCAATCAAGACAAAAAAAGAAAGGGCCTTTTTCCCATGGCCGGGGTATAATGAGATAGTTTAAGGTTCGTAAAAGTTTTCTCGAAAAGAATCCATCAGATATCGTGGTTTACCTTAGAACACCGTACCTTTGGTCTGCTGTCTTTTCCTGAGATCAACATCCTTGATCATGATGGTCCAGGGAATTGCTAAGACAATAATACCACATCCAACCGCCAACAGCCTGACTTCGGAGTAGGCATATGCCTTTTGAATAGCCTCTCTGGTCGCAGAGCCCACGGGGTACCCCCGTTGTACAGGAAGACTCTCGTAGATACTCTCCAAGTTGGGCAATGCGGACTCGGGGAGGTATCGATAAAGGGCTTTCAGGTATGTGTTCTGCCAGATGACAGTACTGATGGTAAGACCTGCGGAGTCACCAACTGTGCCCACCACGTTCAATATAGCTAGTGCGGTGGCAACGTGCTGGTGATCCACAGTAGCTAAGATGGAAATCTGCTCGGTGAGGATGAAGATCGAGCCACCAATTGCTAGGAATATCTGGCACATGATTTGGTAGCCGACATGCATGTTGGGACGTCGGAAGTAAATCATCAGCCCCTGAGTGAAGATGTAAAGTGGAACAGCGATATAGAGAGTCCACTTGTAACGGCCAACCCTGCGAATAAGCCAGCCAAGGAAAAGCAAAAGCACTCCCGATACCATATCGAAGATATTATCGACATAATTGGCGGTTGTGATGGTCAGATCATTGTTCACTTGGAGCCACGATGTGAAGTAGTAGCTCCAGCAGTAGTTCGACACCTGGTATGTGGTATCCAAGAGAACTGCACCGATGACAGTGCGATTTGCAAGCACGCGCCACTCCTTGCCTACCAGAGGCACTGGAGCTACCCACATTTCCCACATTCCAAATAAGAACAGCATGCAGAATCCAACAACAAGCATGGCGATGATATAGCCCGTGGCCCAGCCATTGGGAGCATAATCTGCGATGTCGAATGGCAGTTCAAATAACACGAGACCCGCAGTAAACAGGAAAACACCACATACTAGTCTAGGTTAGGATGTTAATCTTCCACACGGCGTCAAGAAACCGATACTCACGATCAAATTCAATTGTCCAATGCCAGATACTTTCAAGCACTGTTCGTCCACTCGGTCTTTTGATGCGGTGGCCCTCTTTCTCGGCCTTGTGTAGATTGTACTTCAGCATAACGTACAGAGGGGCGACGATAATAGGGGAAACAATGGCCCAAATACCAAAGCCCCATCTCCAGTTGACATTGCTGTAAAGTTGATCTGCAATTTTCGGCCCCGCAAAGGCTGTGATGATGTATGGAGAGGACGTGAAGGCATAGGCAAAGGCACGATTCTGCAAAGTGGAGATATCGGCCGTCACAACATCGATTGCGTATTCTAGACCATAGAGTCCGGTGTAATAGAAGGCCTAACAACTTTGGCGTCAGGATTAAGACATAGAGAGTGGACAGTCATAGTTTTAGACTTACATTCGCGGCACAGTAAGCTTCAAAGGTATTGCAGGATGCCATCAGAACCAGTCCAATGACGAGGCAGAGCTCCATCACGAGCACGCCCTCTGCGCGACCCCAGACATCCATCATTTTGGCCATGGGAAGATAAGTGGCAGCTGCCATGACATCACCAATAGCTGTGGGAACGGCCGACAGCGAATGTGCTTGGAATGAACTTGTCACATATGGATTAAGACTGTTCTGGATCGTCAAAATGAAGGCGTTGATAAAATACACAAACCAAATACTATCAATGTGAACATCAGTGAGCAACACATGAACAATAACCACACGCGACCAAATCAACATAATTGTCAACATACTTGATGAATACCCCAATCAGCATCCATTTTGACCAAGTGATAGTAACAGCTTCAACGTCCTGCACACCACGCTGCGCATACTGATCAGGCAACTGGTGGCATGGCTCAGAGGTACAGTAACTAGGCGGGGCAGTCAAGTCCGCTCCATTCTTGTCCTCCTGGACCGAGCTCATTTGCACCGAATTTCCATCTGCCTCATCATTCCTCGACAGATGCTGCCAGACCGTACGGCCTCTTCGGAGCAAAGGTCGAACGACCATATTGGCAATGGCAAGCAACGGTGGAATAGGAAAAAAAATCCAAATTCCTCGAAAGATGATCTCGTCACAAATACTTAATAAAGCCAGGGCCAAAAAGGACCAGGGTGATCTTTGCCATCCTAGCCCACAAGCACCGAAGTCGGATGGCTGATCGGAAACTGTCCTAGCACGAGCAGAAGGCGACCGGGGGCCGTCTTGGCCCTGCACGGTGAAATTAGTGGGCGGACATTCATCTGTCTGACTGGCGGCATTGAGCCCCACTGGGGGCTAGAATTCAGAGAAAGAAAAAGCAATGAGAAAACCACTCAGTTCAGTCAGACCACCCGTCCGGAGGCACGCGATCGACGCTAATTCCTTCGTGGTGTGGTGGGTCCGAATTCAGCTTCATGTCCGTTACTCGTCAATTTTACCCGTGCGTGATGAGGAGGGGCAGGCCGGTCAGGTCCGTATTACGTGGGAGCTACATAGCAATGTGGTGTAAAAAGTAGTAGCATCTCCGTCTAGATCTCCGTCAAGATCTGTCAAGAGCGAAGTCATAAAAGCGCGGGTCTGGGTCCGAGCTAACGGGATGAACCCAAGCAACGTAAACAAGGAAACAGTTGAGAAGTGGAGCAAAGATTACGTCCGTTCAGTAACTTTTCGCTAGTCGGTTAGTGCCGGTTATCAATCAGATAATCTCTCAAGCGAAACTAGTGAATGGTAATGCCTCACCCGTCAGGCATGTCATCCATTCCGCGCTCTGCGCGCTGCGCCATCGGGATCAGGGGTCCATCTTTTTCATATCCATTTCAATCAGATTATGTTTCAGATTCATATTTTTCAATATATACAGAGCTACTGGCGCTTGCTTTCTGTTAAATTATTCTGTTTGCAACACAATTGGAAATACCGGACGACCTGATTCACGCGTTCAGACAGGCACCACGTTTAATGCGTGGAAACATCTACGACTCCCAGCGTCAGCTCTATTTTTTGACGTTACACAAACGTCTCTAAGCTTCAGTTGTACCGCGCTTAGGCCGGGTCTCGCGCGTTGATCTTGCGGTTATTGCACATCCGGAGCATCCAACCTGTCCATGAGCGTTGACCTCTAAACGGCAACCGAGCGAACCTCGGATATATGGGCGGGAGGAATGAGCCTCTTTGTGTTGAACAGATGTCATCCGCCAAGGTAATAGTACCGGTGGACATAACTAACAAGACTGCCCACACCAAACCGTTGGTCGCTGGGGTGGCTCCCGTATTACCGTATTCGGTATGAAATTCGACTGTTTCAAGCTGTACCAGTATGCCCAGTGAAACACACGGAGCCCGGTCGGACACCGAGATCTACGCATGCTGGAACTTCGTTTGTAGTTGATTTTGAAGGGTGGAATGATCCACCACCCGTTCATTCCGTTCTCAGCTAAAGGCTCTGAGCCGCACTAGGCGGCGCGATGTGATTTTGTGCATTGCGATCACTGGCACCCACTGGGAATTAAAACACATGGATGACTGGAGTTTATTTTCCCAATGAATTTCGAGGGGGAGGGAGAGACTAGTAGAATTAAGGAAATTTTCGCGAGATTAGATCGCGGATGATAAGCCTATTATTTCGATTACATTGAAATAATGCCGAAAGCATTTTGACAGATCTCTGACTCTACTTTATAGGATCCTGAAGAGCTTTATATATTACCTTCTCAATTGTATCCAGATATCAGATGGTAGAGTACCATTTCATTCACAGATGGACTACTCCGTAGAAACATTCCAATCAGAAAAGTATATCCAAAGAAGGCAGCGAGGATTGGATGGTAGCTCAGTCCTAGAGGAGAGTTGCCAAGCCACTTGTCTTGGACAAAATACTATCCTACTCTGGATTAGTACGCTTACTTCTTTCCAGACTGCGAATGTACTGACCAACACCCAAGAAGGCGCAAGGAGCGATGCTAGGCGAGTGGCCGAAGCAGAAGCCCCTCTCCATACCTTTCCACCAGTACCTAGAAGTACATCTCCGACCACTTTCCTCGCAAATTCCTCCCTCTTCATTCGCTTGACACCGTCATCTCCAGCAGACAGCTTTGTGATCTGCTCCAGGGCCTTGAAATATGGAAGCGACTCATGTAGGACGGGGGCTGGGCTGTTCTTCATTATATTTGTTTCGATCGCTCCGGTGATGACTGTGACAACGTTGATGTTCAAAGGAAGCAACTCCAGGAGCAGAGTCTCGCCAAACATTGTGAGAGCGGCTTTTGATGCGTTGTAGACACCTGTTTGAATGGGAACAACTTAGCGCTATCCTCATTCCAGTGGAAATGAACATACTCATGAAAGAAGTGTAAAGATAGCTACAAATTGACGATACATTGACAATTGTTCCTTTGGCCTCCATCAAACACGGCGTGAAGGCTTGAATCATGTCATATACACCCCAGAAGTTGACGTCAAACAGCTTGCGTCCGTCGTTCGTATCCATTTCAAGCATTGGAACGACGACTTGCTGGCCAGAGTTGTTGACTAGAACATCAAGTTTTCCACCGGTTGTTTTTGTTACTGTCTCGAGGGTAAATTGTATGTCAGTCGACGATGTTACATCGAGCTGCAGCAAGTGAATATCAGGGGTCCCCTGGAGCTCTGTCATCTTCGAAACTGTTCTTGCTGTAGCGAAGACCATAAAGCCGTTCTTCTGGAACTCGAGGGCCAGGGCAGAGCCGATACCGCCATCGCTGCATCCGGTAATCAACACGGTTTTCATTTTGAATCGGAAGAACTGATGAAATCTGGCCGGTCTCACTCTGTGAATTCTACGCCTTTTATACCTTTTCCTGGTTCTTCTCAATAGAATCTCAAAGACCTAGTATATGAGTGACACTAATCCATTTACTCTCTAGCGGGTAATCAAGATTCTGGGGCTAGTCCGGATTGGAGATAGCGTCGGGATAAAAGGCCTCCGACCATGAACTTTTCGCCTCGTTCATGCCAGTAAGTCTATCAATAACTGGTCTCCTGGCAAAGTGCACATCAAGTTTGATGCTAGTATGGCACTAATGAATATCAAGGACGCTCAGCGATTGGCTGATGTAAGTTTCGTCATCATTAATAGGGGTGTCCGAGCTAATCCCATAGCCAGGACATCGGTGGTGGCTGGAAAACAAACACCGATCCCACTGAGAGACGTCGAATTCAAAACCGGTTGAATCAAAGAGCCTATAGTAGGTGCATACCCGCTAGTAAATCTACCCATAGAAAGTTAACATGCATTAGAACTGCGGAAAAGACAGATTAGACAGCGCGAGCTCATAGAATCCAGTCCTCGGGTGCAATTATGCGACACTGGATTTGGAATGTTAGTTCCGTCCAGTGCAGCTGATGCACGGCCGGTCCAACATTCATTTGATTTGCCCCTCACTGTCGATCACCTGCTATCATTGATCCACTTCAACGTCTGGCGTGCACTTCTTACCAACAGTGGCAGCATGAGACTCTCCCATGTTTTCTCAACATGCCCATCGGCAAAAGGCTACTTCACACCATCGCTGTTTCCTTCAGAAATCCCACCATCTCTGCGTCCAACAAGCTTACAGCTTAGCGTTCCACACGAGCCGTCTATTGATTTTTTTCCTCTTCCTCGATTACGGGATAATCTTATCCTAATGGGGAGTAACTTATTCACAATGGGTAGCTTTTGTCGAGATATGCTTGGGACCTTGTTCCAGAACCACGGTATTGATAACAGTGACCGCAAGGGCTTGATTGTATGGGGTGATCCGTGGGATGTCAATTCTTGGGAATGTACGCCAGGCTTTTTGATGGAATGGGGCTGGTTGCTGGAAGGGTGTGATGAGTTACTATACTCAACTAACCGATGGAGAATCTCTCGTGGAGAAGAGCCAATACTTGCCCAAGTCGGGGCTTCGCTCTCAGCTAGCTATAGAGAGAAACAAACCATCGTAGTTGGTCCAGTCAGTTAATCAACCAATCGATTGGCAGAGTTATCCAAGGCCTATGCCACTCGCCTGGAATTTCAGGCAGACATGCCGTCTGCAAGAAGAATTGGGGAAGAACGAAGCGAGGCTAAGGACTTACAACAACTACCAACAGGCTGCAAAATGTGATACACGTGCACCCCCAGGTGCTACAAGATGTCTGCTATCTCCCTCACCGCCTCACCCGCCTTCCCCGCCCCTCGCTCAAGTGTGATAACTTCCTCATAAGCTTTTGTTGATCCATTGATCCACCACCTCAAACTTACTTCGTTCTCCATATTCTTCACCAATCCAACAACGCAAACTGGCTTATCGTGCTCCAAAGCTCCCAGCACCATCACAGCTATCTTACAAACGTCCAAAATGCCTGCCTCTGATGCGCTTCGTACGTTTCTCTGCAATCTCCGGCCCCAGAAATGTCTTCATTCTAACTATGAGCAGAGCCACCTCTCAGCCCCGCTGAGCGGGCCATCGTCAAGGCATATGGAGGATGGACCCAGTTCATGGCGTCTTTCGGGCTCAAGCCTTGGGAACAAGATGATGCAGAGGAGGGCAAACGTATCGTTGAGGCCTTTGCCCGAGATGATGATGAGGAGGAGGAGGAGCAGAAGTGAATTTTTGACGGGAATGGAGAAAAATCCCAGCTCAACGTGGGAGACGTGTCATGGGAAAGAGGGGATTCGGATGGTCTTCAGGAGTAATATGGCAATGGGACTCGGCTGGGATTAACAGGTTAAGGGTCATGTTCTGGGTTTCTATTCTTCAAAGGGGGGACTCAATTCTATTAGTTAAATGTTCTTGAGTCTAGAGAAGTTCTTATCTTTCATTCTTCTGTGCGACGGGAATTTGAACACAAATTACTCTCCCTCTTTATTACAAAACATCTGTCTTCTTTCGCTTTGCAATCATATCTCTCTGAGGCCTTGATGCCAAGGGACTAACCTATCCCTGAGAGTTATGAGCTTAGGCAATGTCGGATTTGGTGTCTTTGACAATCGTTTCTCGACTGGGGGGGCGCTTGATCGTAGATGAGATTGATATCACAACGTGAACTTTCGGTGTAATTTCTAAAGATACAAGCACCTTTGGAATGCACGAGACTGATTCAAAGATATGTGGTAGCGAATAATGGTTTTTTAATCGTGAGTCGGGGTCTATATAGAAGGACACTCTTCTCCAATTCTCCTTCTTCCTTCCATAACCCGTGCCCTTTTGATGGCCAATTCCCACTCTTTCTTTGCTCTCCTTTCTACGTCATGGGGAATTGAAGGGGGAGGGAATCTAGAGAAGAAGGAGAAGCTGGTGTCTATGCGAATAGGTGACTGCAACCTGGAATTTACAATTCCGGACTTCGAGAGTCACGGCTCTGGACATTGTTCATCTTCCTCATGAAGCTTTCTTCCATCTCTTAGGCTCATTGCGCACAGGCTACAGAATGCCTCTTGACGAGAAAGGTACATTTCTTTAATTGAGCTGAACAACACCCCTGCCCCAAAGAAATATTTTCACTTCGAGCTGCTTCTCCTATCACGCCAGCTGAGCAACAGTTGATCGACTTTTAAATGGCGGGGAAAACATCGGGCTTAAGCCTTGAATCCAGGGATACATAGACAAAGCGAAGTTGTATTTTTGCTGGAGACTATTGTCGCGGGCGACACTAGTGGATCGATGATCGATTTCTTTTTACTGCACTGGGAATGGTTAGAGCGGAAGTGGATACAAGTAGCTCTATAGAAAGCCATAATTCCAGCAACCTCCTGCTAACAAAAAAAGCAGATATGATAAGTGTCTTTTACAATAGAACGTTGGTAGGGAGGGGACAGAAATCTAGCCTTTAGGTTGAAGGGTTATTTGCAGGAAGAAAGACGGAGACCTATTAGACATCACGGCCTTTTATTATTTCATGTTTCCCAATGTAGACAGTTTCAATTATATGCGCAAATTGGCTGTAGATTAGTCCTTTTTCATAACACCCGAGGTATGAATGGTAGGCCAAGTCTTTCCCCCGCCCAGTAGACAAAGTTACCAAATAAGTGGAGCATTGCGTGCTCCTAAACATAATCATTGATAGGACAACCTTCATATGTGGCTTGAGTTTATAAGTTAGAAATCCGGTATGGCATACAGAAAATTCTGTGTTGAGTTGTTTTACCTCTAGAACTCTGCCAAGGGCGCATACTTTTTCATGCATGTTGGATCGCAAGTATGAACTAAAATCTGTTGGGTCTGTGCAAGCAATTGCGGAAAATAGACCGAGATATCGCGATGATGATAAGCTCTGACGTGCTAATCTGTTTCAAAAAAGGAAAAGCTGTAAATAAGAACGCAACACCAAGGCTTTTCTCTATGGCATATTTCATTCACTCTCTAAAAGCATCCGCGGCCAACTTGAGCCGAGCGTTTCATTTTCACCATGGCTTTTGGCCACTTCCTCGAATTTTATCGATCATGCCTCTTCCAAATTATCATCGTCGGACTAGTCGCTTTTTGTGAACCCGGCATTTGGACAGCCCTCAACAATCTTGGAGCAGGAGGTAACGCTAGTGTGGGTCACCTAAATTATTATAATTCTGCATATTTCCGGTTGACAGATCGTGTAGCCTTAACTTAACAATGCCGCTAATGCCCTGACATACGGCCTTATGTCAGTAGGCTGCTTCCTTGCTGGTGGTGTCACCAACAAGATCACTGCGAAATGGACCTTGTTCATCGGAGCGGCATTTTATACGCCTTATGCAGCGGGTCTATACTGCAATAATCGCTATGGGAATGAGTGGTTCCTCTTACTCGGGGCCGCTTTCTGTGGATTGGGGCGTCTCTTTTGTGGGCTAGTGAGGCCGCTATTGCTGTTGGATACCCAGAGGAGAAGGGAGGACGGTAAGTTGAACCCTTTTTAATCCTTCGGTTTTTTACTCAACCTTATGCCAGGTACGTTGGAATTTGGATGGGTATACGGCAAATGGGTCCACTCGTCGGTGGTGCGATATCCCTCGCTCTCAATATTAACACTGCGCATGTTGGCAAAGTGACCTACACAACATATCTGGGGCTTGTTGCTATTTCCTCCCTTGGAGCTCCATTTGCGTTGCTGTTGTCACAACCACAGAACGTCATCCGCAAAAACGGCACCAAGATACCTTGTATGAAGAAGACGAGCTTTGCTATCGAGGCACGCGCTATCTGGAAGCAACTAAGGAATAAATACATGTTGCTGCTTATCCCTGTCTTTCTCGCCGGACAGTTTGGTACAACTTACCAAGGGAACTATTTGACAAGTATGGTTCCAGCCCCGTTATATCAATAAATGAAGTCGCTAATAAGTGGATTAGCTCACTTCACCGTCCGCTCCAGGGCCCTCGCATCTTTCCTAACAGCTGTGGTCGGCGCCATAGCCAACGTAACGACAGGCATACTTCTAGATCTGAAGTATTTTTCCAGGGACACCAAGTCTAAAGCTGTATATATATTCGTCCTCGTCTTCGTCACCGCAGCTTGGACATGGAATGCTATCACTCAGACAAAACTTTCCCGCATGGTCAACTTACCCGCCTTTGACCTGGGTGACGGTACCTTCTTCAATTCAGCTTTTACTGTCTACCTGTTCTTCAAATTTTTCTACGAGGTCTTGCAGACATACATCTATTGGTTGATGGCCGGGATCAAGGGAGCCCAGCAGGATGGCGATATCGCGAGAACAACTGGAATCTTACGATCATGGGAGTCCATTGGCAGTACAATTGCCTACGCAGTCGACGCCACTTCCTGGTCTAACTTGAACCAGATGATACTTGGATTTTCATTATGGGGGTTCACAATCCCTTTTACAATTCTCGCCGTGTTCGGCAACTGGAATAATGCTACGCTTCAGAACGAGAGTGAGAGGATTGAAACAGACAATGCCAGCGTCGAGGCACAACAGGTAGTTATCGATCTTGACGGGAAGAATTGAGATGCGTTCCGTTGTGATAAAATAGCCATGCAAGATACTGCTCTGCGTAGTTGAAAGACCTCGTGGAGGGCGGCTTATCCACGTTAGCTTTTGAGCGGCATATAGATTAGATAAGACATTTGATTGGAACGAATCGGAAATTGCTGATTTAAAAAGAAAGACTTCTGACTCTCACAATGGATAGGGCACTCAATTCAATAACCTTAAGTACATTAAAATGCCGAAATATCCACAACAATCCACCATACCGAGCGCAAAAGAAAATCCCATCAACTTAAATCCTGGTAAAAGTGACTTCTTAGACGGGAAACCCCCGGAATCGGGTAATACCACGGGGATAGCTACATAAACATGACGTCATTGACAAGGTGGATCAAAGCTCCTGTCGAAGAGATCAGGACAATTGAAATCAGATTAAAAATCAAGATCTGTTCCTCATTTTCTTCTTAGCGATTGCTAATTAATAATTGCTGAGAACTCCTCAGTCTAGATCCATCACGTCATGGGCTCTGCGATCTGAAGTCCAAATCGCCCTGGTCACTCAATACCAAGGAAAGGATGCTTGACAGTAAGGTTGGGGAACTTGCAGATCAGCGTTTGCTTAATACATACTTGACCATTTGAGCTCCTTGGAAGTCAGTCCACCAATCAACATCTTGCCATTCGCAATAATTCCTGTATTGTCGACAACAGGTTTTAGGGGCAGAGGATATAGTCCCCGCATTCTGGTCTGGTATTGGTGGCGATGACTGCAAACTGGGTCATACTTGGATCATTACTTTACCGTCAATAAAGTATCTGGTAGGTGTTTGTGGTCGGCTTTGCTTAGTGAATCCGGGCCCACCTGCCGTATTATTCTGGTTTCGAGCCAGGTGAGTCGAAATTATTAATCCTGGTGGAACACTTGATTTTATTTCCAGTTACTATGATTGGTATGTTCCCGGGGATCGAGTTACATCATTGACGTATTACATGTACATATCCTGGTTAGCGGCCTTATGAATCCAGTATATTTGACAGCGTCGACAACCTAAAGAACAATATCTTTTCCATTTACTATTCACTCTGAAATTCGAACTAATTGTGGTACAATCACCTCCAGAACATTCATTCCAATTATCGGAATAACACAATATGTCTACCAAGGCAAACCCCAAGACCGCGGACGGCAAGTTCGCGGATATGGAAAAGGACACAGTCGATGCTCACACGCAGCAACATATGACAACCGATCATGGCGTCAAGATCTCAGACCCTGACCATTGGCTGAAGGTAGCCAGTGATTCCAACACAGGTCCATCGCTTTTGGAGGACCAGATTGCTCGTGAAAAGGTATGTCGGATATATCGATATGGTCGACGTCATCGCTAACGTAATGTCTCGTAGATTATGCGATTTGACCATGAGCGCATCCCCGAGCGAGTCGTGCATGCCCGCGGGACGGGTGCATTCGGTACTTTCAAGCTATTCGAGAGTGCTGAAGATGTCACATCTGCCGGCGTCTTGACAGACACTAGCCGCACTACACCTCTCTTCTTGCGTTTCTCGACTGTGCAGGGTAGCAGAGGCAGCGCAGACACTGTCCGCGATGTTCGAGGATTTGCTATTAAGTTTTATACTTCTGAGGGAAACTGGGATATTGTCGGCAACAATATCCCTGTCTTCTTCATTCAGGATTCGATCAAATTCCCTGATTTCGTGCACTCGGTTAAGCCTGAGCCGCATAACGAGGTGCCTCAGGGCCAGAGTGCTCATAATAACCATTGGGACTTCATTTACATGCACTCAGAGTCAACGCACATGAATTATTGGGTACGTTTTTCATATGTAATGGGCCTTTCGAAACGATTTGCTAACTGTATTGCAGCAAATGTCCGACCGAGCTATTCCCCGCTCATACCGAATGATGCAAGGTTTTGGTGTGAACACCTACTCCCTCGTCAACAAGGAGGGCAAGCGTCATTTCGTCAAATTCATTTTCACCCCCGAGCTTGGAGTTCACTCCCTCGTCTGGGACGAGGCTCTGAAGATTTGTGGCCAGGATCCAGACTTCCACCGCAAAGACCTTATCTCCGCCATTGAGGCAGGCCAATTCCCCAAGTGGAAGTTCGGCATGCAGCTTATTCCAGAGGAGAAGCTAGATGACTTCGAATTCGATCCACTCGATGCGACCAAGGTTTGGCCTGAGGAGCTGGTTCCAATTCGGTACATTGGCGAGCTGGAGCTCAACCGTAATGTCGACGAATTCTTCCCACAGACTGAGCAAGCAGCCTTCTGTACCAGCCATATCGTGCCCGGTATTGATTTCTCCAACGACCCCTTGCTGCAGGGCCGGAACTTCTCGTACTTCGATACACAAATTTCCCGCCTTGGTCCGAACTGGGAGGAGCTACCCGTTAACCGCCCTGTGTGTCCATACATGAACCTCGTCAACCGCGACGGTGCTAAGCGACACCGCATCACCAAGGGAACAGTGAATTACTGGCCAAACCGCTTCGAAGCAAACCCACCTGCGGAGCCCGCCGAAGGTGGATTTACCAGCTACCCTGAGAAACAAGTTGGCATCAAGCAACGCGCCCTCTCCGAGAAATTCAAGGAGCACTTCAATCAGGCGCAGACCTTCTACAACTCGCTCTCAGATATCGAGAAGATGCATCTCGCCAAAGCCTTCTCGTTCGAGCTAGACCACTGCGACGATCCAGTCGTATACAAGCGTATGACTGAGCGTATCGCAGTTGTCAGCCTTGAGCTCGCTCAACAAGTCGCTGCAAACGTCGGCGGAAATTCGCCCAAGGAGCAATTGAAGCCCAACAAGGGTCAGAAGGCCAAGGGTCTCAGTCAGCTGGAGTACATGCCCGAAAAGCCTACCATCGCCACACGCCGAATCGCTATCTTGATCGCGGATGGGTTCGACCACTCAGCTTACATCACCATGAAAGAGGCCCTGGAGGCGCAAAATGCCTTCGTCTTCACGATCGGTGCTCAACGCCAGGGTGTCGTCGCTGAGTCCGGAGAGAAGGTGGTCCCAGACCACTTTTTCAACGGCATGCGATCGACTCTCTTCGACGCGACTTTCGTGCCTGGCGGAAAGCACATCAATGCATTGGCAAAGAACGGTGTTGCTAAGTTCTGGATCACCGAGTCATTTGCCCATCTTAAGGCTATTGCCGGTGTCAACGAGGCGGTCTCTTTCATCGCGAAACAAATTGGACTCGAGGAGGTCAAGGTTGCCAAGCCTGATTCTTCCGTTGCTGAGTCTTACGGTGTTGTGACTGGCCATGGCGATGCAGCTGCACTGCTCAACGTTAAACAAGTTGGTCCTGATTCAAAGGGTCTTGCGGAGCAATTCATCTGGCATGTCTCGCGTCACCGAAATTGGCAGCGCGAGCTTGATGGACTTGCTGATCAAGTTGCGGCTTAAAATAATAACTGGTTTCTGACCCATTCTTACTGTCTACGGATTATGTGTTATGACCTGTCAGGCTCTAGGGCGTTTTTGGGAACGTTTATTAAGTGTAAAAATATCAAATTGCAACCATATTTTTCAGCAATTGAAATCCTTCTGATCCCGGAATCTTGCATTCATAGGTTGTTGAACCTTGGTAGCCTTAGTTCCTGAGTATGGGCCTGCATTCTTCGCGGGTTGATCCTGTAGACCAGTCATTCCGTCTAACCCTATTCAATACATTTACGTAGGGCTGGGACGGATAATTTTCCCTCTATACATCTGAAACAGGGCTGACTTCGAGTTACTTTTCTTGAGATTGTTGTCCATCATAACTATGCTTGCGTGCTCAGGCCTTTCGCTAGTTGCGATAAAATCAGTGTGAAGATTGGACGCATGAGAATCAACCTGATATCCCAATACTATAGCGCAGCAAGATTAATCCCTAAACCCAGTACAGAGAAGTTAATAAATAATAAACATTAACTTTATTAAACAGGTTTTAGCAGGAATCAGAAATGTTTAACATTTGCGGGAGTACAGTAGGAGGGAGTACCCAGGTAGAAAAGGGCTGTCGCTAGCATACCACATCCCCGTTACATGCCTTCCCGTGGCAGGCTCGAACCCAGTTACACGATAAGCGTTGCGACACATCCCAGCCTTTGATTTACTTCGTGACCAGCATGAGGCAACAATTCAAAATTTGGAGCAAAAGGTCCCTTTCCCCAGATGTCCGGGACTTTCTTCCTCTTGGTTCTTCTTGTTGCGTTTTCATATATTTGAAATCCCCTTGGGTGTACCTTTTTGCGTACTTTTTCTGTGTATTTTGGGCTTCTTGCTTATACATATTCTCCTTCTTAGTTCACAACTTGCCTAGGAACAGATCGAGTGTCGTTGGTCAACTGTGTGAGTCTTGAGGAGAGAGTTGGAGTTGCGCTTGGTTTTGCAGAGTTTCAGATCATGCCATTCCGGTTTTCGCGCTCGACGCGACTATATGTTGTTATTGCTATATCGACATGTTTTTTTCTGGGAGAGATCTCAGGTAAGGAAAGGTCTTCTTCCATCGAGTGTGCAGGTGCTGATTTTGATTAGTGGGATTCTATACACATTCCCTGGCTCTCATCGCCGATGCTTTTCACTATGTATGGTTTTTCACTGATATTGAAATGAAATTTGCTGATAATCTATAGCTAAATGATTTGGTGGGCTTTATCATTGCATTAGTGGCACTGAAGGTATGTCCTGGACAGCCAAACTGACATCAGACATGATTCTCATATATTTCTAGGTCTCAGAAAATGGTGGCTCGCCCACTGGCTTTTCCTTCGGGTGGCAGCGGGCTCAACTACTGGGTGCATTCTTCAATGGTGTCCTCTTGTTTGCGCTTGGGATCAGTATTTTCTTACAGTCTATAGAGCGATTTATTGCTTTACAGCGTGAGTCTCCCGGGTTCTGTGTTTTAATCAATTACTGACCTGATTGCAGGCATCGAGGACCCCAAATTGGTCCTAATCATTGGGTGTATCGGGTTAGGTCTCAACATAATAAGCGTGCTTTTCCTTCATGGTTGGTATCCAGACCGATGCGATAAGCATTTGAAGCTGACAATTTTCAGAACATGGACATGACCATGGCCACGATCATGGTCCTACGGCAATTGAAGTTGAAGACGGACTTTCTCCAATCAGTGACGATGATCAAGACTCCATTTCCAAGCATCATGAGCATAAGCATGTGCATCCCGAGAAGCCCAATACCGTCTCCGCAAATTTCCACGATCACGGGCACAGCCATGATCACGGCCATGGGCATGACCACGGCGATCTCGGCATGATGGGGGTCCTCATACATGTGCTCTGCGATGCAGCCAATAACCTCGGTGTTATCGCCGCCGCTCTAGTCATCTGGCTAGCAAAGTACGACGGTCGCTACTATGCTGATCCCGGTGTCAGCATGGGAATAGCCTTCATGATCATTTTTTCATCCATGCCTCTCAGTAAGGGCCTGTTACTCAAAGCATGAAACCGTGCATGTGTAGAATTAAGCTAATTTTGACAGTACGACGATCTGGACTAATCCTTCTGGAAAGTGCTCCTGTTGGGCTCGATCTGAGTGATGTGCAACATGATCTTGAGAAGGTACCCACCCTAGCCAGCCCTGTTGCACCTTCACAAGACTGACAGAATGATTGCAGGTTCCCGGCGTACACTCCGTTCACGAGCTGCATATCTGGCGTTTAAATCAACAGAAAACCCTGGCATCGGTGCACGTTGTCGTTTCGGATCCGTCAGTGAGCAACTTTCTCAAGACGGCGAAAACCATTAACGAATGCTTTCATGCCTATGGTATCCATTCTGCCACATTGCAGCCAGAAGCGCTCTCGGAGTTCGAGAAAAATGTCGTGCACCCGCACGGGGAGAAGTCGCCTCGGTGTCAAGTGGTGTGTGGCACCTTGTGTGAGGGGCTGACCTGCTGCGGATGAAAAAGCTTGTGGACGTGGAGATCTTTGGCTTCTGATCTTGAATCGTAAAGGGAAAACTCTAACATCAACCAGCACCAAGTGGTCGAGCGGAAACTCGACTATCTCATCTTCCTTGGTCTAGTGGTCATGATTTCCGCTTGTCATTAACACCGATAAGCGCGGGAGACCGGGGTTCGATTCCCCGAGGGAGAGATTTCTTTTTGCTTTTTGCCAATCCTCCGCTATCCGTTTCTCTGGTGTACATCTAAAGCCTTTTTTATTTTATCAGCAGTCTGGCTCCATGTGAGAGGGGAGCCTATCGAAGAATTCAAGTCTTGTTGATCCGCGTCAGATATAACTCATCAACTACCCATGATAGATCATCGGAAAACGCATTTTGTTGGCCCTCCGACTACGCCTGAGGTCCATTGATATATACAGTATCGTAAAAATTTGGAAATCTCAGTCAATGAATGATGGGATCACCTTTGCATTCCGCAGGTAAAGTTTCCAAAAGGAGGGGTTCATTGATATAACATGCACGGTAGAACGTAGATCTAACATACGGAATATCTCCGCTGCGGAACCTCTTTGCTAGCTTCTGACAGGACCCAGCTTAACTCCCAAGCCAGAGATAAGCGTCGCGCTAGTCCTCTCTCCACCTTTATCTCAAGCTGCGGGGGTGAGTCCGCCTCGGTACGACCCAGGAATGCTTTCCGATTCCGACAGGCATTGCAGCAAAGTAAAAAGGCTGGAGGTCCACAGATCTCTTAAGCTCCTCTATCCACGTCGTTGATCTCACTAGCATCATTACCTTATAATTCATCTCACGATCCTCGATAACATCAAATTAACATGTCTCTCCAGCGATGGGAGCGTAAAGCCCAACGAGGCAGAGATATTCTGAACAACTCCATTCCGAAGCAATGGCTTGCACCAGCTGACAGTCTCCCTCCTGCTACGCAAAAAAATGTGATTGATTTCCCAAGGAAAAGTGGGCTCTTGAGCGAGCGTGAGCTCTCGATCACGGCCCTCTCCGCTACGCAACTGGTCGCGAAAATGGGAGCAGCGAAACTCAAGGCTGAGGAGGTAGTGGTGGCATTTCTGAAAAGGGCGGTTTTGGGTCACCAATTGGTGAGAATAATCTCTATTCCGCAGTTGAAGGCGAAGTACTGAGGCAACTTGCAGCTGAATTTCGCAACGGAATTTTTGGCCGATGAGGCAATTTCTCGAGCAAAAGAGCTGGATGCACATTTTCAACGCACTGGAAAGCTGGTCGGACCTCTGGTAAATGGCCATACTCTTGAGATGATTCAACTCACATACTGATTATTTGGTCACTAGCATGGTGTTCCCATTAGCGTTAAGGAGCACGTCGCGATGAAGAATAAGACTTGCAACACGGGTTATGTGGCCTGGTATGTTAAGTAAGCTTTTGAGCAGTAGAGCAGCCCTAACTTAGAATAACAGGGTTGATGAAGTCGCCACCGAGGATGCTCATTTACTTCAATTGCTAGCCAAAGCTGGTGCAGTATTCCATGTCCGAACAAACCAGCCTCAAGCCCTCATGGTGAGTACATCCCCAAACCAAATTTCAATTCAGTTGCTAACACCATCTAGCACCTTTGCTGCGAGAACAATATTACAGGGGCCACACTGAACCCATACAATCGCACCTTAACTCCAGGAGGATCGTCAGGGGGTGAAGGAGCTTCAACTGGGTTCAAGTGCGCACCACTTGGTATTGGTACCGATATCGGTGGATCTATTCGTTGCCCAGCTGCCTTTTGTGGCTCATACGGATTCAGGCCTACAGCGATGCGCAACCCACTGGCTGGAGCCAAAGTCGCAGCTATTGGACAAGAGACGATTCACGGGGTCATTGGGCCTTTGTCGAGCAGTTCTTTAGAGGATATTGAACTTTTCCAGAAGACGGTTTTGGATCAAGAGCCATGGGATGTTGAAACATCTCTAGTGCCGGTCCCGTGGAAAACAGTAGCTCCAACCCGGAACATGGCGGTGGCTATCATGTGGGATGATGGGTATGGTTCATGCGTATCTTATCGGGGATGTCATCGCTAAAAGGATTATAGCTGTGTTCGCCCCCATCCCCCGATTATCAGGGCTCTCAAACTCGCTAAAGAAAAGTTACTCGCGGCTGGAATCAAGGTTGTCGATTGGGAGCCATACAAGCATGATCACGGATGGAAAATTATCGTAAGTTGTGATTTCACTTCAGGTTTAACAGCAAGAGGACTTATATCACTACAGTCTAGCCTCTACTACCCAGACGCTGCCGCCTTACAACGCAAGATGATCCGTGAATCAGGCGAGCCAGTCCTCCCTCTGAGTGAATGGGTGTTCAATTACTCCCGAGCTAATCCACTCACTCACCCCGAAGCATGGGAGCTACAATACGCGCGCGATGTTTACCGCGACGAGTATAACGCTGTGATGAAGACCCGTGGCGTCGACTTTATCATTTCCCCTACTTATCCCGGCGTCGCAGCCGTATATGGCGAGTCACATTACTGGAACTACACTGCGATTTGGAATGTGCTTGATCTTCCGTCCGTTGTGTTCCCATCGGGTCTTACGGTAGACCCGAAGCTGGACGCGTTGACTGATCAAGATAAGAAATATAAACCGCGCAATGAGGTTGACGAAAGAGAGTGGGAGAAATATCAGAGCCCGGCAAGGTATGAAGGTGCACCTGTGGCGTTACAGGTTGCTGGTAGGCACTTTCAGGATGAGGAAACTCTGGCTGCTGCCAAGTTGATTGAAGAAATTATCAAGGATGGAGAGAAGACATCTAAGCTTTGATACGGCCACTGTAAATAGATGACACCATAGTTAGTGGTCCCGCTAGAACTGCATCTTGTACTGCATCGATTCAAATCCTTGGTGCTAATTGACTTTTCGATGGTCTTGCATTAGTATTCATAAAGAGGAATGGATATTTTTGAGAGGACTCAAATACTTCGATATTATCAAAACATCATTATAACATTGAAATGAAATTCAAAGCGCATAATTACATCCCTCAATAGACATAGACACATAAGGTTCGGCTTCAAACCCAATATCGTATCAACTATTTCCATCATGAACCAAGGAAAATATTCAACGCCGAAAAGATAAGAAAATCATAAATCAACTCCAGAGATGATTAGGAAAATGCGATATCGCGAAAGCAAAACATAATGCGAGATCTACTTGCGCCAGAACATCGCTTTGCCGACTGTCCGACCAGCGGCCCATCTAGCCTCATTCATGCGATCCTTTAAACTTGGTTTGCCGCTGTACCGGACAGGCTTCTGAGCGCTGCGCTCACTTGAGCCGGCACTGCTTCCACTGAAAACGCTGGGAGCAAAGTTCGTGAGATTTCCAGCGTCGAACTTGGTTTTTGTTTCGACGATCTTGTGGATGAGGTGCAAGAGGGCGTAGGTTGTTGAGCCGACGACACGGATCAGGGCAAGACCGGCTACGGACCATAGAATGATCGAAAGGTAGATGTTTGTACCGCCCGAGTCTACACCGTAGATCTGGGTCACAATCATGGAAAGGACAAGATTGGCTATCATCCAGACTGAAACCATGTATGTACGCACAGCACGGTAGTAATCTTCTTGCATCTGGGCATCGCTGAGAGGGGTCTCGGGAACCTCGAGGCGATCACGCAGATTGCGGAGGGCCGCATCGTAGCCACTGTCGATATCCAGTTGCTCTGATGGCATATCCAGCAGGACGGTTTTGCCATTGATGGTCTTTGCAGTACCAAGATCGGTGTTGATGACGTTATCACCCTTGGTACCCCAAGTAACATCGTGGGTGTTGCAGAAAGCGTAAACCTGCAGTGTGCAGATGTAACTTGGCATCAACAAGAAGTATTGGAGTGAAGAGGTGATCATGTGCCATGGGTCGAGGTAAAGGATAGAGATGTAGAAGTACAGGCCGACAGTTGACAACATGGAGATGACAATTTCCATCAGCAAAGTACTGCTGACTTCAAGGGAACTATTGCCTACTCCTGCACGCGCCTCCAGCTCCAATACCAGGAGATACAGGGTGCAGAAAATGGTATAGGCCATGATGACAGCATAAACGATGATACTGCTGAGGTAGAGGTTCTTGGCACCTTGCGGACGATTACCCAGAGATATGATGAACTGCAGGCACATAGTCACAATGCAGGCATAACGTAGTACATAGAATATCCATTTGCCCATGTTGTGGCCAAACGGATCAAGTTTTTCGTCAGTCAAAGAGCCTGCGATGAAGTAGAAAGCCAAGTAGAAATTTGCCTAAGGACTGAAGTTAGTAGAGCTCTTCTAAGATAGAAATTGGGGGAAGCTTACCAAACCAAAGTAAGTGAAAAGGAGGTTGAAGAATTGATACACAAATTCAATATGGAGCAAGATCTTACGGCCAAGACTGTGATCAGTCTTCCAGATCTGGCTAGCGTTGACGTTGGAGTACACAGCCGCGAAGAAGGCACCGTTCAGCCAACGTCGACGTTGTGAGATGAACTCAGGAATAGAATCCGGCACATCAGTTTCACCAACGGCACTCTTGACGAACTTCAAAACCCACTTCTCTTCTCGTTTGGCCACCAACTCCCAGCAAAGAATTCTGTCCTCGGCCAGATACATGTTGGCAGTAAAGACATCAGCATCTTGGCCGTGGAGGGTTTCACCCTTGAAGTACTGGTTCAGGGGACCGTTGCCATCGGCATCGTTCTGTAGAGCGAAGAATCGATAGGCACTCAGCGCACCAGGCAACACAGTAATGTAACCAAAGACAGACTCCAGGGGCTTGTCCAAAATGTTGGACATCTTGTACTCGAAGTTCTGACTGGCCACGAGAGGGTTGAGCAGACCACGCATGCCCTTGCCCTTGCCGGCCTTGATCTCTCCGGCAGCACCAGCTACATTGGAGTCCTGGTCAAAGGCCTTCCACAAGTGATAACAAGCAGTAGGATCTGGCTTGGTACCAACATCAAGAAGAACACAGATGTTGGGCTGGAGGGCGCGACCAAAAGCGTTGAAGAACCAACGGTGGGAGTTCAGCTTCTTCTGATTGTGCTCCTTCAGACAGAAAATGACTTGACAGGGCACAATACCCTTCTCAGCTCCCTTAAACTTCAGGTCGGAGTCGAGGGATACTTGAGTAGTGTACTCGTAGACGTGGGCCTGGACCTCCTTCTGATTGACGACGTTCTTGGCAATACCCTCTTGGTAAACACCGAGGGCCGCCAGAGCGTTGAGAGTGCGAGGGTGAACCTTCTTGCGACCATCAGAAATAATGCAGACGACAATCTTTTTCCATCCGTCTTTACCCCAAGTACGGGACTTCGTACGGGAGCACAGGTGGCTAATGTTACGCATGACACCGTGCATAGTTCGAGTGAAGCCGATCTCGTCTTCATTATACATGGTAATACAGATGAACAGTTCAGTCTCACGAGCAGTACTGCCAATCTGTTGTCGAAGCTTGTAGCCACGGCTCGTAAAGTCATCTGGGTCGGAGGTGACAGCGGTGTATCGCATGTGAGTGAATTCACGTTCATCGCGGCGAGGAAGGAAACTGTGCAGAATGGTGGGGATCTTGCACTCCAGGATAAGTTCACCGTTAACCAGCTGAACCTCCTTCTTGGACATCTGGGCATCACGGACACCTCGGCGAACCTGCTTATCGGGTGCGGGACCATAATGCATGTTCGGATCAAGGCTAGCTTCATCATATTCCTCGTCATCCAAATCAACCTTGGACATAGCATCCTTTTCATCACCCATCACGGTTGACTCGCTCAGGAATGATCGTACACTGCCGCGCGAAGTGTGATGGATGGTCTGGCCACCTCCACCAAAGGGGTCACCGAAGGGATCTTCGCCCATGCCATCGCCAATATCGATGCTGCTGTCTGCTCCTGCAGATGCGGTAGGTCCAGAAAACAACGGAGCTGGGGGCAGTGGTCGTCGGGGGCTGCCTGCGTAGCGTGAGCTCGGGGTACCCGGGCGAGGACTGCCATTGATATCGGCGCGTTCATATCCGACACTTGAAACGGATGGTGGTCGAACATGTCCGGGGCTCCAGGGTCGAATGGGAGATCCTGTGCGTGGCGGAATTGATGGGTACACTGAAGGGTCGGCTAGACTGGCGGCTGGTGGAGGGAAATTCGGGCCGCCGGATAAGCTTGATGTGGGACGTGAAGGTGAGCTAGCGCTTGGAACTTGGTAAAATCGACTATCATAGTCTTGTGTTTGTCCGGTTCTATTCCGCGATCGCACGTTAGTTCGAGTTCGTGGTCGTGACGGACGCTCCATCATGTGTGGATTTGACAATGTTGTCAAAATTTGGGGTCAATGGGGCGACGTGATAAACAAGCGCCATGTATGCACTGTTTATTGCCTACCCATCTTGGCCAATCTTCCAGTATTGAATGTCCTCGGTCCAAAAGCGGCTCATTCCTGGGCAACCCAAACAAGGACGTGACATTATCATTGGTCTTTGCGTGTCATCTTGTCGGAGGGGCAACGATTGGAATGTGGCATAGGAGGAATAAGGTAGTAATTGAAAAAGTTAAACTTACGGCGTTGTGTCGTAGTCTTGATCATAGACTTGATTATAGCCTTGTTGATAAAATGGCGAGCCAGCAGTTGGGCTTCCGCTCAAGTCACCATAGTCTTCACCACTAGTAGGAAGCAGGCGCATTGTCGGGCCAGTTTGGCGCGATGGAGATTCTGCTTCGGATAAGAATGAAGAAGTCTCCTGGTCATACGACGGGGGTTCGTCCCCGAAGCTGGAGGGTGGGTGACGATTCATAATTGGAATGTGTCTGTTTTTCGTGTGTCTCAAGTACTCATAGTAGAATGATATGTGTGGGTATCGTTTAAACAAGTTGCAAAGTGGCACGCACTGCACGTTTCTCAGCTACCAGCACTGAGACAGCGGGATGTCGTAGTTCTGACAGGTTGACAGTCGCGTCAGTTGATGCTTTGGGCGAAGAGGAATGTGGGCCAAGGGAAGGAATGCTCACAAAGAGATGAGAAGAGGAAGATAAATCAGACCAAGCGAGGGAATGATATGTGGTGGAATAGTTAACGGCAAACAAGACTGGCCCGGTTCATCCGTGCTCGATCAACAAAGTGGAGGTGGATCCCGTTGCCATGGCAACGTCCTCGCAAGGGAGTTCTTCTGCACGGGGGACTCAATCAATTCTCATGAAAGACATTGTCAATCAATATTCATTCTCAAAATTACATCAGTCTAATATTAATTGTCCTTGTCACAATCCAAGACAGTATTTCACAGATTGGTTCGTCCGCGTTGCTTGAGGATGTAAACACGCTACTTCTCTCGAACTTAGATTCAGTCTCCACAAAGTGGGTCCAAGGCGCTGAAGTTGCGCAATCTCCACGTTCAAAAAGCATTAGATTCATTGATATAATCCCACCGAAAATAAACAAGCTAACCCAACCCAGGTTGTATGACGACTGCAAGTGATAGGGGATTATTATTCAGTAAATATTAACGAATCATCGGACCATCCTTGTCCACCAAACCAACAACATCCATATCCGACTAGCTTCATTTTCCCGTCCAGCTCTCCAGCTCCAGACTCGACGACCTCTGGTGCTTATTCTCACATGCACAGTTTCAATGGCCTTCACGTATCTTTCTTAATCAGGGTTTAAACCCCTTCGTTGAGCAAAGGCTGTCTCTCACGATCGCTGCTTTCGGGGTGGGCGACACGACGGAATAGCGAGTCGCGTCCAGTATACTTAGTAGTCGAGATATATAGCGAGACCACAGTGAATACGGCGAAGACCACAAAGGCAAAGATCCATTGCAAGGCAATGATCTTGATCGAGAACTGTTGGATCGCCAGCGCTATAAATATATATATGTTAGCCCTGCCTGATGCCAATAACTTGGAATATGAAATCTTGGTAACTTACACAAACTGAGGAAGCTGAGACAGTAACCCAGAATATGATCCTGGCGCAGTGTGATGTGGAATAGTCCCACAAACAGAATAGCCCAGATGAAGATATTGGCTACAATACGGCCAGGAAGGTTATGGCTGTGCACGGCAACAGCCCCGTTCCAGAAGAGTGCGAATATGGTCCAGGCATAGGGACCTGCGACAGCGGGTAGGTGCACAAAGTCTGGAAGATTCTTGTGGCGCCAGTAAGCAACGCTCTGGTTGATGAAATGGGCCATCAGAATAATCTCGGCACCCCAGAAATGGTTACGAGTCCAGAGCGAGATCCAGGAGAGGACGAATAGGTTGTTCAGGATAAAGTGGGTGGCAACATTAGCAGCGGATGCTACGATGGCGGCCTCATTGTGGAAGAGGTGCCACACATAGCTGAGCTGCGAGAGGAGTAAGAGGACCCTGGAGGCAAGAGGTATTAGCTCGACTCACACAAAAGGCCTGGTGAACCTGAGTGTAGACAAAACTCACCAGTAGATCTCAGTCACAGTCTTGTTCTGTGTAAACGGTGTATCGTGCTTCTTGACCTGCTTCCAGATCTTCTTGCTACCCTTAGTATCATCTGGCGAGTGGATAGAGTAGTAAATTCCGACGATGACGACCAGCGCCCATGTGAGGGGTACAAGGACCCGATAGGTATTCAGTGCATGGATATTGTGAGTCTCACGACGAGCAAAAGGGTTGTAGTTCGCCATGATGTAGATTAATAATGACGAGAGGAGAAAAAATTGTATTCGAGGGGGTGGGGATGGCGTTATATACAGGCAAATGCTTGCATCCACAATATGGTCTGATGACCTGCCTCCCACCACTCATAGTGCAGCTAGGAGTTGCAGTGGCGCCAGATTCGGGTACATCATGGAAAGTATAATGATGTCAAAATGCTCTATCTTATCCGGTGTCCCGCACGTACCAACATTAAAGTTGGCAGCTTGAGACCCACTAGAACCAAGTTTTTGTTCTTGCTTGTCAGGCAGAGTGGGTAGCGAAAATTGAACCCTTAGGGCTAGGCGCCTTCGTGTTTCGGTTTTTGAATGGGCGCAAGGAATTCGTACCGCGTGTAGCAGATTCGACAAAGCTACGGCTTGAATGGCGCAACTTGCTGCTCGTGGTGTTGATCAGCGTGCACGGTCCTGCGCTTTGGAGATCAATTTGGGGTTAAGGGTATGTAGTATGTACGAGCTTTGAGCTGAATTGCCTGTATGGTCTAGACAAATTTAGAAAGAAAAAGAGCAGGGATCAAGCCACTTCGAAAAGTAATCGGTCAAAATACTTATTGATCCTCTTTTGACCTTAAGTCGGATACATTATGCTGAAACTCTACATGGAGCTACACCAAGCTGAGGACCTGGGGGAAACGCGGGGCAAGGGGCCAAAGCTACAAAGTAGAAATTACTTTATTCGAATGTTTGACTGACTCAACATAAACTATAAATGGGTGATCTGATCCAAACCGGGTATCAAATATGCCTTGCGCGCTGGCTGACCGCTGGAAAAAGAAAACTCGGTGCCTATAACGCTTGGCGTTTCATCATATTTATCGTTGCAAAGTGAAATCGCTCTGTATGGTGTATTTTTCTCGAGGTACCGGGGTATTTCCTAAGATTATCTGGCTTACTGATTGGCTGCCAGTACAGCCCGAACAGCCTCCAGGATCCGGCTATGAATGGATGCAGGCGCCACAACCATGCCGTGGCAATCAGCCAAAGTCCGACCCAAGCCGCAATCGACTGGCTGGCCCTCCAAATCTGTCACCACACAGCCAAGCTCCTGTGCAATCAACATTCCGCCAGAGTGGTCCCAGATCTTCGATCGGTACGACGACTTGAGGGGCACTTTGATGAAGGAGTTACAACCGCCACGCACAGCGATGGCAATATACCGCATCTGAGCGGACCACAGATCGACCTCATTAGGCCAGGTGCACTTCAAATGCGCTGCGATTTTCTCATGCAGATCTAGTCGCTGGGAAGTAGATTCCTGTGTATCGACGAATCGCACCTCGCTGCCCTCTGTAATCTGGGGCACTCGCTCGAGCTGCTCTCCAGGTAAAAGAGCACCCGTCCCCATGGGCTGAATGAATGCTCCCTGGCCTGCGATCGCAGTCAAAAGCTGTCCGTATCCGTCGCGGTCCACCAGATCCTCCGCCACATGCCCAGACCCGAGATCCAAGTTCGGACAGCCAATAATGCCGAGCTTCTGTTCTCCGTCCTCCACGAGGGATAGACAAACAGCATACTGCTGTCCGCGAATGAACGTCGCGGTACCGTCTACCGGGTCCAGTGTCCATGCCCGCGTGCCGCGCCTGCACTGGCCGCGAGCGCCCAGGTCGATCAAATCCAGCAGCTCTTCACGGGTTTGTGGAGTATATAGAAGGGCCTCGCTGGCTTCGTCATCCAGGTGGATGGATGTGGCGAGTTCCCATGTGCGCTCGAGGAGAGTGGGGTTCTCGCGGAGGGCTGTGGCGTCTTCCTCGCCAACAATGTCGTCGTTCGGGAAGGTGTGGTGGATCGCAGCGATGATGGAGGCTTGGGCGGCGAAATCGGCAATCGTCACAGGAGAATCATCGCTTTTGCTCAAAGAGCCCTTGTCGACTGCGGAGAGCAATTGTTTTGTCAGGAGCGCGGCTCGCTGGACGGCGAGGCCAGCCAGATGAAGCTCCTGCGTGTAGGCGTGTGAGCTCATTTCCGCGATATTGCACGGCCAATTCCAAAGATGCGTAATATGCGATGGTTGGGATACTAGGTGGGTATAAAGCAAAGCACGTGCCCGGGTATAGGTGAATCGGTCAAGATGTGATTATTTTGTGTGAAGCTTCTCAATGACCGCGTGCGTCGAAATATTTTGGATTATCCTGCTGTCTCATATATAGTCACGTGTGAGGGATCGCCAAATGCGTCATCGAACCATTTTTCCACCAAGGTTTTTCTACAACCTCAAACAATGTAAATAGAGCATTTTAAATTCGAAAAATATCGTCAATTATTCAAGACATTTAACCGAGAAAGTAGTAAGATAATTGATCTTGTTTGGTGAACCTCAACCCAGACACGAATCGGATGCCAAACCAGTGACGAATCTGCGACCGCCTTGATTTGCAAATAAACGAAAGCCCCAAAGGTATATCTCAATAACGCCAGTGCAAGGAAACAAAAGGACATGACAGACATGAAGGCCGCTACCAAACTAAACTCAGAAAGGCGCAAATGCCAGCTCATATGCAAAGGCCAAGCTCATCTTGGCATGCTGCAACATGTGATCAAAGCTAAGGTACTTGATCAAATCATCGGTCGAGTGGATTTTCTTGTCCGAATTCTCGAACTGCGACTCAATCACAAAGGCCGAGGGGTAGCCGAATCGGCTGGCTGAAGCATGGTCGGAACAGGCATAGCCGCACTTGGTCTCGGCGTAAGGGATATCGCAATACTAAGCGGGGTCTAAGTTAGAAAAGTGGATGCTTGCATTTCAATTAATGACATGTCACTTACAGTGGTGATAACTTCCTTGATGAATGCAGTGAGACCTTGGTCGACATAGTCGACAATGACACCCACTGACTCGGGCAAGCCAGCGTCCAGGGTACCCTGAACATAGCCGGTCATGTCCTGCTGAAGCATGGCCTTGATTTCGCGGTGGTCCTTCTTGTACCTGGAGAAGATAGCCTGAGAGCCTAAAAGGCCTCCCTCCTCGGCGGAGTACCAATGGAATTCGATCGTGTTCTCAGCCTGACCTTGGGCAATCGCCTCCGACCGCAGCAGGGTTCGGAACGATTCAAGGATCGTGACAGTTCCACTGCCATCATCATCGGCACCTGGAGCAGCCAGGATCGAAGGAAGGAACAGGTTGATGCTGTCCTGGTGGGCGCCCAGCACTACCGTGTTGTTGGACTGACCCGGAATGCGGGCAATGATGCTAAACTGACCCCACGGGTGGTCGAAGCGCTCCACAGATGCGCCGTACTTGCTGGCACCTGACTCGTGCACCACGGTGCTGACTTGATCAAGCAGCCATTCAGCAGACTGAATGCCGGTCTGGGATTTGTAGTAGCGGGTGTGGTAGGAAGTGAAGTGCTCCAAGTTCGCCTTCATGTTGCTCTTGGAGAGCTCTTCAGTCAGTGGCATGACGGCTTCAGTGTGCTGCATCTGGCCCGGGTATCGGACGACACGCGTTGTGTGAAGAGCGCCATAAGATCCGGATTGGAACTCATCAGTGACATCGATGAAGTTCACTCCATCCTGCGTAGCGAAAAAAAGCGGTTAGTGGCGGTAAGATTGATGTTTGGATTGAGCGATCTACCAATTTCAATGCCCACTTCTCCTCCTCAGTCACCCAGCGAGTGGTATATGGGGCCAACTCGATCAGCCACTTGGGCTGCTGTGTATTCTGGACGATTGACGGCCCCAGCGGTTCCTGGGGGATGACCGCAGCCAGGGCGGTCGAGACTGTCACGCTCAACGCAAGTGCCAGGAGCTTCATTTCGAGGCTGCAGGGTCAAAAAGATAAAAATTAAGGATGACGAATCGGAAAGAATGAGCGGGTGACAGAAGTTATAAAGAAGTCAAGAAGTGCCGCAGGGTTGGGGGCCGAGCTTTCATGCGCCTAGGTATCGTAGAATGGAGCTCGCCAAGCCCCTTCCTGCCTATTCGGACCCCGCGCTAAACAGGGTTATTAATAGCGGGCGCGCAGCCTTGCTCGAACTAGAGAAGAAAGTGATAGCTATTGCCCCTTGATGTATGATGATATGAAGTATCCAAATCCACTAATTATTTCCCTGTTCTATGTATGATCGTGTACCCCTTCATGAGTGCTCCCCACTTGCAGTCATACCAAGTCACACGGAATGATTTTCGCGCGGGGATTGGGTGGAGAGGAATTATCTCCACTTTGCCCGATTAGTCAATTTTTCTCGTGAGTCACCGTGCGGAGTTGGAATGATTCCCAGCGCCTTGTTCTGCGCAGGTGTTCCACACTTCGATCGATGGGTCCAGATCGTGGCCGAAGGATTTGGCCCAGGAATTAATACGATGGAAACCCGAGGTTCACAGTCACGGGATTCCTCGTGACCCCGATCCGTTCTTTCCTTAATGGGATCCCAGGGCTAGGGTTTATCAGTGTTCCACTTTCCGCCAATCAACGCGCTATCTGTATTCCCGTGCAGGCGTCACTCTATCTCGTTATCTCGCGTCTTGGGGTGGCTTTGATCCTTACATCTATATCTCCTCATTATTCGCACCTTGTGTCCTTAACCTATACAGTATGGCTATTCATCCGAGATTACGACCACAGGCGTCACAGGGAAACCTGTCGCCGCAGCAAACTATGGCTATCTCCTCGTGGACCGAACAGGCCTCCGCGTCGCTCGAGAATCTGTCCCTCTCCGAGTCTCGCCCCGCCCACGGAGCGGTGGAAACGACACCAACACGGTCAGGGATGCGGGGAACCACCGTATCCCTTTCGATCCCCCTCGACGATGAACCTCCAGCTTCCCCTTCCCCGCAGGCCAAGGTGGCCAATCCCACTGCAGAGATACGCTCGACCCCGACGGTCAGTTTCCGGCGTCGAGAGTCGGTGCGCAAGGATAGCATGAAACGGCGCGAGGCTTTGCTTAAGGGCAAAGATGGAAGTCGTCGACGACAGCGTTGGGAGAATGGTGGGTGTTTTGTTTTCTGCACCCCATGAGGATCAAGATCCGGTGGGCCGAGGAAGCTGACCATATTCAAGACCGGTTGTTGAACAACCCGTGGGCAGAGCCCCCAGCTCCACATGACTGGGTCATTGAGCCAACATATACACGTCACGATCCGATGCCATACTATCTGGCGCCGCTTTGGGAGGTCCACTACGCCAGAATGGCAGATCATCAGTCGGCCCGCAAGCATGCGGCCAAAACCGCCAGTCTGAAGCACCGTGTTCCCAAAGAGCTCCGGTCAAAATTGAAGCATGCCCGGGCTGCTCGTGGTATGCTTCAAGATCTGGAAGATGATATTCGACTCTTTATTCAGAAGTGGAACGAGAAGCAGCAGTACCTCCAGAGCGAGGGTCTTCAGGATGCACCTGAGGATGACTCAGAAGATGAGATCGTCTTTGTTGGCCGCAATGGGCAGATGCATGACTCTCCGGAACGGAAGCAAAAATTGGAGCAGATGCGCCAAGAGCTAAGTTTGCATCATGAACGCGATGGCGAGAAGATGGTGTTTGAGAGTTTGGTGGATGATCGTGGAGCAGCGTTTGGGTAGGACTACCCTTTGAGAAACTTCATTTCAACAATTCAGGCACTGACCTCTCTTCTTAGGCGCTGGCTCGTACACTCCATCGCATCCTACTATGGGTTGTATACCTGGTCTGTGACTGTTGGCTCCCCTGCTCGTCGGGAAGCATATGTGGGTGTCCGACCACCAGGCCCTAGCAGTCGAGCTGGGCTCATCACTCATCCTGCTTGCCAGTCAGAGTTGATCCAGCCGGGCGAGGAGCTTCCCCAGGCTCTCTACGCGCAAGTCTAGACTCATATGATTCCAGCATCTGCCTGATTACATAGACTCGTTTCTTTTCAACGTTCGTTGGGTATATATTTCGGTTCACTTTAATGGTGCCATGTTGGCAGGGTCCAGCGTTGGCTTGGGTGATTTTGTTGTTTGTATATCAGGTTTTATTGGATATATTACTCCCATGGCGCGCTCGAGGACCTGTAGAAGATTCCAGTGATGACGGCGTCGCGCCTGGACACACGACAAGACTAGCGGTGAGGCGTAGACTTGAACTGCAATTGAAGCAGATAGGAATCGAATGTTGTCATCGACCGTATTCCAAGGCCCTCGGACCTGACGCATTGAAATTCTCCGCAAACCTTCTATACCGTCTGTGCGCATTGATCTCGCACTCGATGTCGTCACCTTAGATCATCATGAATGCTGTGGAGTCCCCGTTTATCTGATTCACGATGGCACGATGGAATGAGGAGAAAACCACTCTCCCGGTTCTCCCCTGGTCTTATGCCGGGCTCCGTCATCGTGTCCCGAGCCGTTCTCAGGTACTTAGGTACCAACGAACCTAATAAGGTCCCGAACCCACGGAAACACAAGGTACCGAGTGCCTCCCAGTCTATATCCAGACTGTAATATATTCCTTCCACCTAGTGATAGATAATTAGGCGTACGCCGACATGAGCAGCATCGCCGCGGGATTCTAAAACTAAAGATCGGTACCGGATCGGACCGCGAACTCCCACCCTCCCCCACTGTCCCTGTCTCCGCCATGACGTCTCGGGGATTCGATACGAGCCTGACTCATGCAACCTCAAACGGATTGGAAACAAAATCCCGAACAGGCTCTAAAAAGAATGGATGATCAGACCCTGCAGTCTGTGACTTAATGATCGGGGAGGAGAGTGGACCGAAACCCCGTTTCCAGAAGGTCTGCGCCCGTACCGCGTGTCCAGACCTGTTCGATGCATGGATCGCTTTGCGCTCACTGGTTGGTAATGGTGGGGAAAGGCACACTACCCATGATACCAGACGGTGGAGGGGGTTCGGCAACGAATAGAGATCCGCCACACCAGAAACGCTGAGCTTCTTACTTCCAGGCTTCTAACCTAAACCGCCTTGATCGGGGGATGCATCACACAGCTGGTCATTTTGGGTAATGTCCGGGAACAGCTTGGTTCTCATAGGTAGCTGCCTTTCCGATGGTGAGGCGAATGGGCTTTTGTGTTGTGGTTCCCATTTTGGCCGCCCCTTGTCGTTGGCTTGATTCGTCGCTCATAGGGTTCATGTGTTGCAGCTTGCCGGTGTTGCCTGTACGACGAGAACTTTTCTTTTTCTTTTCTTGGTTTTTTGTTATTTGCTGCGTGATCTCTAACATTCGAAATGGGAGGCACTCTCTAAGAGAAAACATATGGAAGGTGGAAAAAGAGGCCCGATCGACAAACATTGGGTAAAACCGGATGACGGAGAGGTTCCTTCATTCTTAGTATCCTTTGTTCCGTCGACTGCGTAAATACTCTTAAGCAAAGTCCAAATACCTCTGCCACATTCTCCTTTGATGGTTTGGGTATACACTGCCCCTCTTTAACTCTCCACTTTTTTTTTTATCCCGTTGGGCTTATGTTCTTACTACCTGATCCTTTCCTCTCGTTCTCTGTCCTTCTCTAATTCTTCTTCGGACCAAAACTTATAATCCCTGCAACCTTTCGAGTGTCATATGATTCTGGACCAGGCCTATTCTTTCCGATATACCCCTGATCATTTCTCGCGTGCAATCTCCCGAATTCTCTCCCTTCTCATGCCAGACCTCTGAAGTGGCTCTAGTGCGTCATGGGAATCTGACGACCCCACTGTCGTATTTATTGCATCTCGGAAGATCAACTTGGTATCCTAGTCGTGTTTCGGATTTTTGAGGAGCTTTATCCTGACCCTATCGCTCTAAAAGCGTGATCAGCGTGATCCTAGCTTTCTTTTCACCTACGAACTTTTGTCCGATTCTTATCACCAACTAAGGTTTACTTACAAGGTTGTACAACGAAATTGCAGTCATGGGTTCCTATAAATCATGTCAAGACAGGACAGGAAGTGGAGGCAGTTCAAGCTCGACAGATACGGATGGCTCTATCCAAACAAAAAGCACAACACCAACGCTATTCAGTGCTGGCACTGTTTCAGCGAAGCCCCGTCATTGGCACGAAGAGTTTGAAGATGATGGACCTCGGGATTCGGTCTCAACTTATGCTTCGACTACCCGATCTGCGGCCGACATCCCCCCAGAAGAGCCAATGTATGAAGTCAACGACCGCCAAGAAAGCTTCTTCCCAACTGATGCACTCTCCTCAACACCATCATCTTTTGCAACATTATTCCCCTCAACACGGAGATTACTCATCCGACATGACGATGCGACGATTGATGGGAACATGAACTTACGTGTAGACACGGTCGTTCCCCGCCGTGGCGGATACCAACAAGACGTGATCCTCTTCCATCTCCGCATGTACGATCTCTTCTCACGAAAGTTCTCCTTCCGTCGGTACTGCCGTGACTCGGGCCGAGAAGTGTGTCATTCAACGCGGAAGGAAACGACCTCTGTGCTCGACAGCTGTTCGGGACAACGACGGCGCTCATTGAGTAGCTTACTAGCCAGTTTTCGACCGGGGTCCAGTGGAAACCCAGCGCCATTCGTGGGTGATCTCAAGCGCCATAATTCAGGATTCGAGAAGCAACATCACCGCACAACGAGCGATGAAGGAGGATCGATGAGTGAGAAGGGACCAGCGCTCGGGGATACCATTCTGATGGAATTCTCCAACTATGCTCATGTAGAACTTCGACGGAAGGGCCCTGGTGCGACGAAACGGTACGAATATGAATACTGGTCCACAAAGTACCAGTGGCGGCGCGAGTTCCGGAAAGAGGGCGATCTGCGTGAAGTGTCGTACTACCTCGTTGATACGCGCACATCCAAGACAATCGCCCACATGGTGCCGGAGATCCTCACACCCCTGGAAGCCGTCGAGGAAGAAAGTAAAGGTGGCTGGGTACCACCCTGTTCGTTGTGGATCAGCGACACATCCGTTTATGAAAAGATGCCTGACATTGCCGAGTAAGTCGCGTCCGCATCCCTTGTTTTCATTTCCCTATCCTATCACATCTGCCCTAGTCCAGCCTCATCTTAGTCCCACTCTTCAACCCAACAACACACCATGCACCCCTGTTCCTCTTTACCCCTCCCACCTCTTAGCTCCACTTCTATTCGTTACAGATTGCAGCTGCATTGCAGGGCGATAGCGAGGCTGATGAACCGGTTCCAATTTTAGCGTCATTGTCGCAACAGGACTAGTGGCTCTCGTGGACGATTGTATTCGCCGACGTTGGCATCACGAGCGCCGCGTTCCATGGATCCTCCCCGCACGATCCTCGCTCACTAAAAGCCTGGAACGCATGGGCCCACGTCGACTGATCGGCGAGGTTCTCCAACGAAGGGGATCGGCCTAGGTTAGGCCGGGGCGATCCGTTTCGGCAACAACAGGTACAGTACACATGAGTTGCATGAATCATGAGACACCCATGAGAGATGTGAGATATGAGCTGGCTTTGGCTTGGTACATTTCTTTTCCACTTTCCGCTTTTGGAAATCTCTTTCTCTTCACCTGATCTGCATCTGGTCTAGATGCGTTTACGATGTATATGACTGGGTCATGATGAGCTTCTATTTGGGAAGCTGCTGAATTTGCTTTTCTTCCCCTCTTATTGCGGGTCCCTTTCTTTTCTTTTTTTTATTCTTCCTTGTCGTCGTATACTTTGGGATCATGTCGGGCGAACGTGCGTCGCAGACCCATTTGACCCGATCCGATTTTTATCCATTGGATAGCATGTACGGAAGCTCGGAGGGCGTTGGGCGGTTCATCTCTTGGAATTGGGAACATTGGAAACGAAACAGCGGGTTATGTGGCATCTTCATTTTTTTTTATTCTTATTTTTTTTTCCCCCTTCACCATGCATTTGACATCTAGGATCATGATTTTTTTTGACTTGTTTTCTTTTTTTCGCCTTCTTCCATGATGCAAGATAATTATTGTCTTCTCATCAATAATTCCCTTTTCAGGACTTGCATCTACATGACCTCGATCTGCGCTGCTCTGCTGGCGATGCATACCGTTGTAGTCCAAAAGTCTGACCGCTTCCCACCAGACCAGGATCAGCTAGCTGAACATGAATGTATTTGCTTCTGTTGCATTGTTGTCAATTTTGCTAGCCTCACCGACAGACACTGACAAGGATAAACCAAGCTAGCGAGAAGGAAGGCGTCATCAATCTAGATTTAGCCGTGGACAAAGCTATCGCCGGATGAAGGAGGGGGAATCCCCCGCTAGCGCGGATGCGAACCATGGAACCAGTGAAGAAAACCTCCACTCCAAATTAACACTAAACCCCAACCCATCAAAGCCATCCTATTTATATTCTAGCTCGGACAATCGATTGGCTCCGAATGAATCTTTTCATAATCGCGCCCAAGTGAGACAGGACCCCTGGGCCTTGCTGCCTGAGCTTTCCTTTTAATTAAGCTTGTGCGGGGCTACCGAGGGCGCTTACTAGGAACTCGTGCAACGTTGGCCCAGAATCAAACGTTAGTCTCGGTTGTTTTGCTGTCATGTTCCCACACTTCGAGCTAGTTTCGTCTACCGGGCGGCTTTATAGCCGCATGATGAACCATGGATCATGGAGGCTTGGAACCATGGAACCACACCGCACGGCCACGACGTTAGCAGTAGTAGAATCATCATACTGCAATGTATGAATGCCCAACTTGATCGCTTTGCCAAAATGCGGCGAATCGGACCCTAGTCCGACTGGAATGTAGTCTTGAGACAACAGTGAATCTTGCTATGTGTTCCACTTTGGTAGGTTTCTACTCGTTGGTTATTAGGTTCTTCTTTATGTAGTCCTTGTTCTTTGTTGGCCCCCACTACCTCACGGCCGAGCGGTTGCAATGCAGGGCCAGCGGTTAGTAGGTAAGTGATGAGCTTAGACTCTTGCAATATGGCCTACATGCGACATTGGTACCGATGGCCCTAGCTGTCTGATGTACGTCGTGGAGATGTGGAGACGTAGATTGTGGATTTATAGGTAGCGAACTGGCGTTCCCTTGGGCCTCCCGGAATGGCATTTTATTTGCTGTCCATGTTATATTAGGGGACAATTCGGAGATTCGTTTCCATGGTTATTGATCCTAGTCACTATCTGCAAAGCGGCCCGGTGGTTGACGGGTCCTAGTCAACTCCACCTTGCAATTTTTTTCAGATGCCTCGGAAAGGGAGAGGAGAATGTGAGAATGTGCACTTCCTTGTCACGGCAAGGGTCTTTCACCATCTGTGATGAGCTGGCAATGTTTCTATGAGTTGTTGTCATTTAATTAATTGTTTTTGTTTTATGCGGCCCGACTAATCTATATGCTCTAGGTTTTGGGTTTGGCGGACTGGTGAATATACTTAGGGTCTTGGAGTTGATTAATTTTTTTCAATTTTGCATTTTTCTTTTTCGCTTTCTCGGTACTTTTGGGCATCAGAGCCATTCGTCATAAGCTACGGGGACAAAGCCCTGCTCCGGCTCCGCTTGGGCAGAGATCACCCACAGACATATCTTCCGCCACCATGCAATTCATACACAGGGTTTCTGTTCCAGAAACTAAACTATTCCCACCGATTTGGTACATGTCCATGCACCAACTCAACCTAACCTCACTTTGGCTTTTAATGCCTGGACGATGAGGCAGTGACGGGGCGGCACAGTATTATCAACGTGGGGTTCTCTGAGTTGTTCATCTCTCCATCCAATCCTGAACGCCCCCGTCATTTTAGGTATTGAATATTTTTCGCTTTTCCTTTTTGCTCTCTCTATTGCCCCTGTGCAATTTGATAGCCATGTTTTTGCATATGGGTCTAGGTCTGGATCTGGATCTTGTTCTTGAATTTTCGGTGTTCTTCCCCGAGACTAGCCAAGTTTTTTTTTTTTCCCCTTTTTTTCTCTCTAATTCTCTAGTTTTTCCCCGGCCTTCTCCCTTGCCTTAATAGACGGATAGCTGTCACATATTCATATTGTGGGCTAATCTCTGCAGCGGGACATCCTTACAATCTTTCTTTAACCCTTACGGCGTCCTAGCGTTTCTTCAAGGGTTGGTCTGGTCGTGCGCCGGCCCGTTCCAGCTTGCAGCCTCAAAATGATCCGCATGTCCCGCACCAGTGAATAGGGAGGGGGTACTCAGGCTGACGCTGTACCATGTACCCATTGCTATGCATAAGCCCGTTTGGTTAGTTGGGTTTTCCCGTTAGGCTCCATGTTTGTCACAAAAAAAAATAAGAGGGGGGATTGGATGAAACCCGAATGGGGATTTTTTCCATTTGGGTCGATTTATTATTTTGATTTTATGTTGATGATAATGGCCCACCGTTTATATGACTCCCCGCATGTCCATCACCGAGGGGCATTTAAAAGGTCGCGCAAGATTCCCGGTCCATTGAGCTTTTATATTTACTCCTGGTCTTCATCCGCTTCCGTTATCGCTTGTACTCTCTCCTCTACACCCCTCTTCCATTGACCCTCAATTGATCTCAATTGAGAGCCTTGATCTTAGCTTTCATTTATTTACATTGAATCATGTCACTGCCAGCCAATTCTTCCAGTGCCCCAACACCGTGGCAGGATCGACTCTCAGGTAAGCCCTCTACAAGCTTACGAAAGACACTGGGAAGGTAATCCTGGATCCTGAAAGCTCCTTAAGCTGACCAAGTTGAAGACCATTGCAGACGCAATAAAATAGCAGCCCCTATCTTCAATATCGTCTCCGATCGGCGAGGTACCTACCCCGTTTCCTATTCTTGCTTCCTTCCCTCCCACCGTCTTTTTCATCCCAAGAACCCCCACTTTCCTTACTCCTTTTGTCTTTCTGTTTGATGGTCTTGGCTTCATACCCTGCCTTGCCTTTGATCACTGCGTCGGCATTACAGTTGTGGAGCTACCGAGAAGACCCCGTACACCGACTTTTAGTTCCGAGAGCTTGACAGCGGATGCTAATCGCCCTTGCGTCGGAAATGCAGGAGGTCGAACCGCCTGGTCTAGTACTGTGGTCGTTTCAGGCCAAAGTATCGCCGCTCGCTACTGGTACGATGGCCAGTACATCAACAATGCCAAAGAGGATGCCGCCGAAGTCGCCCTCTCATTTCTACAAAACCATAATCGTGTGCACACCGTTTACCCAGGCCAGGTCTGGCCACAGGGCGCTGGTAAAAGCGGCGGGGCTTGATTTTCTCTATCTATGACCTGAATATTTCTTTTGTCCGGGAGGCATTTTGTTTGTGTTTTTGTTTGAATGTGCGCTGATGTGCGTGTTGACTTGCGAAGTTCTCTTTGTTTCTCGGGGATATTGTGCCTTGAAATTCCGTTTTGTTCGGCTTTTTGATTTTTTTTTTCTCGTGTTCATGCTGCTGCTGCACATTGTGCCGGCCCACAGCAACACACAGGACTTTGCTTTGGCTCTCATTTGTTCGATGTTTATGCGCAATGCAGGTTGAAAAAATCACCACTCACCACTCCTCACCCTCACCCCCCTCGTGCGTCGGACGCCCGTTTTGTGTCTTCCTCGAATCCCGGATATGCGCGACCCATTCCCGGTGAAAGACAGTTGGCTTGCTGCAATGAGCTCTGCTGGGAAGTTTCTTCACCGTTGTTCGGATACCGCGGTTTGGATGATGTGGAATCGAGCAGAAGAGCAGAAATATCAAGCGAAAAAAAAAGGGCGAAAAGATACGCTGGAATGGGGACATGGCCATTAGACCTCTTTTGCCCCATTGGTCGACTCCTTCCTCAAACCTACGCTCTCAATTCCCTGCAACCTGGTCTTCGTCTTGTGCAACTTCCCGTCGTGTTGTGATACCCAACTCAATCCCAACTCCCCCAGGAATGGCGTCTTCTTCTATTTTCCTGGCTTGTGGTGCGGTAGATTTTGAAGAACCTTGCAGATGATATCAGTACCGTTTTGTTGCGAATGTCTGCGAATTTCCTGAACAAGGCAGATTACAAGCAGATCCCATGACTCCATGAGAATCAGGGTGGATTGGACTTAATTGGATCGCATGCATTGGGCTGGAATGGGTTGACATGGCTAAAAATGCCCTTCTAGTCTGCTGTCTGTGCGTGCCGTGATTCTTGCCACTGGCGGAAATGAGATCGGTGAAGATATCTAGGCTGTGGGGCCTTCCCGCCAGCCACCCGCATGACCCTGGCCCGCAAGAGACACAGTGTCTCTCTGCAACCGGAGTCATGGCATTTTTTCAATCTCGGGCATGTCTCGATAGATACGTACTGGTATTTTGTGATACTTCTCTGCGGTGTACGTTATACTCTCTGGTCCTTGTTGAATCACGACGACTGGACCTGGCTCACCGTTGTGATTGATCTTTGTCCTGGAACATTATGTGTCTGTCACACCTGAAACGGAAACTCGGTCGTCCAGATTTCAAACTAGGCACAGTACCACGATCGAAGCGGTGAATGTATGAGTTCCAGGGATGGGAACCTCGGAAAAGAGAGGCTAAGATTTATTTTATCTCTTTTCCAAGCATAAAAGCATCTTCGCTTGCTTGTTTGATTTATTTTACTTCTATTTGGAACAGCTTTAGGGGCGGTTTGATACGGGAGTTTTCATTTGGAATACTGTATGGCCTGGGGTTTGATTTGGTTACTGGATTGGATCGTTTACACTGATTTACTTTGTCTTTTTCTTTCTTTCTTTCCTCCTCCCTGTCTTGAATCTGGTATCAGGTACCAGACTTCATGGCAGACTTCACCAAATTGGTTGACATCGCTTCGGCTATAACGAATATCGACAGGACATTTCCTAATCAGATCACAATTCTCTTCTTTACTGGAATTTCGAGCCCGCTGCCCGTTGCAAGGTTCGGGGGTTACTCTTAGGTACTTTTGTCCCTGTAGCCCTGGACATAAGGGTTTTAAGTTGCCATGCGCATGGCAAACAAATAATTCTCCGAGATGTTTGTTTCAGCTTTCAATACAAGCAGAAACCACATCAAACACTACATAAGACTTCGAAAGGGATTTCAAAGCCTTTAAATAGCTGTTTAAGGCCATGGAAAACCTGGTAAAAAAATCTGAGAGTCCCATGACAACCACCCGACATCAAGTACCGGCTTTGAACACCTTGGGCTAGGTCCAACACAGTAGCAAAACAGATAAATGTGAGTTAAATCCCTCCGGACCGATCGATTTCTCCTTTTATTCGACGTGTATTTCTGTACGGAGTATAATGAGGCTATACTTGATTGCCTGGATACCTCTGCCCTGAACACTAATTATTGGTGATCAACCAATCATATTCCTTCTCTGCCAACCGCCCTGGCGAAGTCCCGGGGCCACGCCCCAAGATGTTGCCCGAGTCATGCTCAGCCTTGTCCGGGCGGGGTGGGGGCTGGGCTGTGTCATCGTCACAGAAGCCTTATAAAAAGAATTCTCCTGATATACGGAGTAAAGCAATGTAAATAATTCACTGCGAAGTCACTACCCCACGCAAATTAGCTGCATCGCCAAAATCCCCTGAATTCTCAAATTTGATTTTCGACCTGGTTTTCGAACTTGAAATCCCAAGCTCAATCATCAGAAAAGGACCTCTCAAATTGAGCCTCGAAGATGTGTTTCATACAGTTTGGCCCGTTGAAACCCCAACCCCCTCGCCGGGAGGCATACGGCAATAACTACGATAGATACCTTCAGGATCAGGAAAGGTACCAGAGGGCACTTGAGGCATATTACAAAGATAAAAAGAAGCGCCGGGCCAGAAATAATGCGCACAGTACTGCTTGGATGGGTGGTGCAGCTGCGTCTGCGGCTGCTGGTAGTGGTGCAGGTGGTGGTGGCGGCGGCGGGTGCTAGACACATTTGGACCACCCGATACGAACCTTCGAAGTTTTCTCCATCTGCATATTGAGTGTCCATAATATTGTTCACTGTTCATTGGCTTGTATTTTTTGATCTGAATTTGTATATGGGCCCCGCCAAAGTTGGGGGCAGATCTTGAAGCCTTGCATCTCAAACCCCCCACATTTGTACATTACAGAGCGTCAACTTGTGATACCTCCGTCTGTAGGTATACCCTTGAGATTATGTTGATATCTATCCAATTCTTTTTGCAGCGACAAGTCTATGTATTTGGAAAATGCTGAAGACATGAAACCTGCATCCCGCCACACGTCATAAAATCCCCTGCCGATGTGTTTCCAGGTCAATCTCCGGCTCCGATGTCATTTGTCATATCCCAGACCCACACAGATGAGCTATCTAATATGCAAATTTCTTCCCGCTTTCATCGGCATTTCCTCGTTTATTTCTCCACCCGTAGTACAGTCTCAAGAGGATACATCCAGCCGCCACAAAAAGAAGCAAGGCGGCATTGGTCCAGTGTCCTGTCGGATATCCCTTCTTTTCTTCATCAGATTTATAGATCCACACCCCGACAATTTGGCCCGGTGCACCGAATGAGATATTCAGTGCAATGGCTAGGCCTGCTCCGGCCGTCGATCGGAGATTCGATGATAGCCAGCCGAGGAGCGGGGGGATGCAGGCGAATGCTCCGGCTGCTGCGACGATAAGGCAGCCGTAACGATGCTGTGATGATTAATTATGGACTATTTAGATCAATGTAAATTGTTGTTTCCGAGGAGACTTACGAGGTATGCATCTGCTGGAAGAACAGCCGATGCCAGGAAACCCATTGCGCCAATAAACGCGAACAGGGCGGAGTGAAGACCGCGACTGAAATTGTCAGTTTCACCACTACTAATTGGGCTTCATGACAGACAAGACAGACCTATTAAAGTGGTCTGCTGACCATGCAACCGCTACAGTCACGACATATGCTACAGCGTACGGTGGCACCGTCATGAGTTGTGCTCGTAAGTTAGAATATCCCAACCCAGCAGTAATGGCAGGAGTAAAAAGAGAAAGACTTGAGAAGGGAGTGGAGATGCCAAAGTAAACCTAACAAGATGGGTCAGCTGAGTGTATCTCAAAATCCTTTCCACACAACCAGCCTACCGCATAATGAGCATACAACCGCCAGTCAACAAGCACAGCTTTCGCATCCGCCCAAGACATAGCACTTGCAGAACCGTGCGAGCCTTCGGCTTGTAAGCGATACGCTGCGAGCTCTTTTTCCTCGGTAGAAAGCCAATGCGCAGTTTCGGGGTAATCTGGCAAAAAGAACCAAACCAAAACAGAGGATGCACAAGAGGGCGCTCCTTCAATAATGAATAGCCATCGCCAAGCGCTGAGTCCATGCGCACCGTTCATATGGCCTACACCATACGCGATTGCGCCGCCAAAGGCACCGGCTAGCGTTGCAGAGGCGAGGATCAAGGCCACTCGCATTGATCGTTCGGAATTGCGGTACCAAAAAGTTAGATAGTAGACAAATCCTGGGAACAGTCCGGCTTCCATAACACCCAGTAGAAACCGGATACCGGTCACTTGGGCATAGGTATGGGTACCACCGAGGCCCATTGTGATTGCACCCCATGATAGCATGAGGAAGGCGATCCATCGCTGGAGATAATCAGTATGAGATCTTTATATTTCAATTTGAAAGACTGAGCGTACACTAGGTCTGAGCTTTTTCAAAAAGTAATTCGATGGTACTTCAAACAATGCATAGGCAATGAGGAAGACCATTAAGGCAATTCTGATTATGTCAGTTTCTTCTCAGCAATCCATATCCAGAGTGACTCACGTATACTGGTAAGAGGTCATGCCCGTCTCCGTGAGAAGGTCATTGCCAGTATCTTTGTTCAAAATTTTAGCGTTTCCTGCTATGAATTAGTCTTTATTGTTTTAGAACTCAATTTCGAGTACTGAACACACCAATGTTAGACCGATCCAAATAACATAGCAAGTAAATTGCCGCGCACAACGGAACAATCCTTAAATCCTGTTTCCATACCAAAGCCTTCTCGCGCGCGTCGAGAACCGGGTCAATGGAGCCCTGGTCCGACGTCTGGGCCAAATTAGCCACAAAAACTCTCATACAAGCTCAAGGTCACTGTGGAGCTTACTGTTACCGCGTGCTCAATATCTTCTGGAGATTTTTCGGCCATGGTGTGGTGCATGTTGCAGGGGAAATGTCGATCAGACCGCACAGAAATCCCTGGAATGCTTGGGGGAGCTGTTTATCCCCCTCTTTGTTTGCTGCATTTGTTTTTCTCGGCACTTATTCCCTGAACCCCGGACGTGCTCCCCGCATTTCGTCCCGCACTGGGGATCGGCGATTCTCCGAACCTCTGGTTCCCCCGGCTTCGGCTATGGAAGTCCATGATCAACTCGGAGATAGCAAACAAGGAGTTGCATGTGCTATCACTGGTCGTTATGTTCATTAGGATGGTGGACATGATGAATGCCGATCAGCGTTTGAAAACCAATAGAAAACCTTGAGATAAAGTGGTCTTTCATCGGAGAAAGAATCTTCTAAACTGTGATTAGGGGATATTTCAGCAGCTATTTATAATGAACAATTGCGGTATTATTGAAACATAATTCTAGAAATGTAACAGTCTATTCTTACCCCTGGAAGTAAACTTTGCCATACTTGAACCAAATTTTGGCCGAGATGCAAACCAGACAAACGTCTTATCGCGATACCGTTCCTGATCGCATCGCAAACACTGCGTCTGCGACAATTATCTCCATGCAACGCCAGTCGCTGGCCAGATCACTCTCTAGGAATATTCGTGGGATACAGTCCGCCCAATTCTCCAGAATGACCACCACTGATGGACCAAACGGGCAGTCCAAGCCCTCCGCATTGACATTTGAGCGACACGCAAAGTGCTCGGTATGATTTCTGCCCCTCTAAGCCCCCACAGGACTTTTGCTGACATTCGTTTTGATTTTTGGATAGACCACAAAAGCTCGCGCAAGCACACTCCACCTCCCTCATGGCTCTGTTCCTCTCCCGATCTTCATGCCTGTTGCGACACAGGCATCTCTTAAAGGCCTTACTTACGACCAATTGCGGGATACAGGATGCATGCTGTGTCTCAATAATACATATCACCTTGGATTAAAACCGGGGCAGGAGGTTCTGGACTCAGTTGGAGGTGCGCACAAATTGCAAGGATGGGATCGGAATCTTTTGACCGATAGTGGAGGGTGAGCCATGCTATTCCCGCAGAGAATACAAGTGACATGACTAACGAGGTCTTTGTGGCTTGAAGTTTCCAGATGGTGTCTCTGCTTAAGTTGGCTACTGTGACCGAAGAAGGTGTGAGGTTCCTTAGCCCTCACGATGGCGAACCTATGTATGATGCCATATCCTCCCTCGTGGCCGCGAGTTATACGCAGAGACTAAATGTCAAGCAGGCTTCTTACCCCCGAACACTCAATTGGACTTCAGAACTCTATTGGCTCAGACATCATTATGCAATTGGACGATGTCATTGCTACTACCTCCCCAGATCATGCTCGGATTAAAGAGGCTATGGAGCGCTCTGTACGATGGCTAGATCGTTGCATCGATGCGCACAAATACCCCGAAAGACAAAATCTCTTCTGTATCATCCAGGGAGGCCTAGATTTGGAACTTCGGAAACAGTGCTGCGAGGAAATGGTGGCCCGAGATACCCCTGGAATTGCCATTGGTGGCTTGTCGGGAGGTGAGGATAAACAGGAGTTCTGTAAAGTGTAAGTGCTTCCTTCTTTTGAGATTTTGCTGGGGCTAACTCTTTCAGGGTGGATACTTGCACTGGACTTCTTCCCGAACACAAACCTAGATACGTGATGGGAGTGGTAAGTTTTCCAATCTTAATTCTCTGCTTCTCTTGTTTGCAAACTCACATTGTCTAGGGATACCCCGAAGATATCGTCGTGGCAGTGGCTCTTGGAGCGGATATGTTTGATTGTGTATGGCCGACACGAACCGCGGTACGTTTGAAAGGCTATCTTCTTTTTTGGTTCTCATGCTCATCAATATCAGCGTTTCGGTCAAGCAATCCTCACGTCCGGCACTGTGAACCTGCGCCATAAGTCCTTCGAGGCAGACTTTTCTCCAATTGAGGAGGATTGTACTTGCAAATGCTGTCTTCCTGTCGACAAAGGAGGTCTCGGGCTTACCAAAGCCTACATGCACCATATCACCGCGAAGGAGACTGTCGGTGCTCATCTGTAAGATCCGAGCATGACTTATATTGTGGTCCTTCGCTAACACACCCAGTCTCACAATCCATAACGTCCACTTTATGTTGACCTTGATGGGGAGAGTGCGGCAAGCTATTATTGAAGACCGGTACCCAGCTTTCATTCGCGAGTTCTTCTCCAAGATTTACAAAGGCGATAAGTCAAAGTACCCCGACTGGGCAGTTGGTGCACTAAAGGGAGTTGGAATGGACTTGCTGGCAGACCAGTCTTGATCACTGCAGTGATTCGGATGAATTGCTTTCCCTCAATAGGAAGAGCCATTGTTACACAACAGGACATGTGCATATGAGCGGTTTTTGATTAGAGATTGCATCCATTTTTCAACCAGAATACGGCATCATGATATACGACCTAACCTGACAATATGAATGAGCATGGGAAATATTCTCCAATCAATGCGAGCGGTTCATTTCGGTTCAATCTCTCGAGCTCTTAATCCATCGTACTCTTAGTGAACCTTCCGGTAACCGCCGAATATTTTTGCCCCAGAAGTAAACCGGCAGCCTCAACAGCTGCAAAACAGCCGTCAAAGCCCTATCATGCCCACTCCTCGTTCCGCACGAAATAAGCCCCCGAAAAGCACAAATACTAACCGGAGGCGGCCCCGACTCCCCGAGGTAACTAAATATTCAACGAGTACGTTTGCTAATCATTAGGTATGAATATCGGATCATTGCCATGCAGCTCATGTCGGAGGCATATATGAAGAGAAACTCACTTTGAGCACGTCGACTGCTTTGCACCACTCGTATTCACCGATCCAGAGTAGCATTTCTGATCTCCAGGTACGCGCCTCATAATGCACGAAGTTAAGAGTCACACGGCAAACTTTTGAAGTGGAATTGAGCTTTATATTAGCCTTGAGATCCTATCTATCTAAATTGTCCGATGCAGTATCTTCCTGATTTAGACAGTTCTGATATCTCTGTTGGTTTTAGAAATACAGCTTTGTAACAGAGACAAAGATAAATAACATGAAACGCTGTATGTACATGTACATGTGCTTCGCCCCTCTCGTAGCGCTAAATATTAGGCACTTATCTAGGCAATTAAGCACCGCCCCCACGGGTGAAATTGAAGCGGGGCACTTCTCACACCGTTCATCTACTCCCACCATCTCTCGATACCAAAGAAACTTTTTAGATAAAAGGCTACAAGTTTCTGTCTTTTCGCACTTGAATGTGGGCTGCTGCTGGTCATTGCCATGCCTGATCCGCTCTCGATCACAGCCGGGATCGCCGGATTTCTGTCTCTTGGGATTTCTGTCACGCAATCATTGATTGATTTTTATTCTGCCTACAAAACCCAGGACGCCGAACTTGCAAAGTTAACGCAAAAGATCAAAATATTGCAAAATACTTTCCAATCCTTAGAACCCGCTATTCAGCCGCATCGATCTCGTGTCAGCGGGGAAGGGCTTCTCGAAGATGTCGAAAACGCCAGTCAAACATGCCAAGGGATTATCAAGGAGCTTCAGCAAGAGTGCCAAAAGTTCCACGCAGAGCCAGCCACTGGCTTCAGGGGTAGTGTCCGACTTGCGAGGCGGCGTGTCGCCTATCCATTTCGGGAAAGCACTATACGGAAAATTGAAGAGGATATTGACGAGATACGCGATAGTTTGTCGCTTACATTAGACGTTTTGCAACTCAGAAGCCAAATTCAAATTGAAGACGACATGTCAGAAGCCAAGTCTCTTCTTGTGGGAGTAAAAATGAATCAAATCTCTCTCTCGATTCGTGCTTGGCTTATGCCCCCCGACGCTTCTGTGAACCATAATACCAACTACGCAAAACGCCATCCGAATACTGGCCTGTGGCTCATCAACGACCATCGATTTACCAATTGGCTCACGGAGGGTGATTCCTTCCTCTGGCTCAATGGGTTCGCAGGGTGTGGCAAATCAGTCCTCTGTTCAGTTGCAATTGAATATGTTTTCCGAGATCAGTGCAAGGATGGGGTTGGGATTGCCTATTTCTACTTCTCCTTCACTGATGAGACAAAGCAGGATGATAAGGGCTTATTGCGGGCACTTCTATTACAACTCTCGGTTCAATTCCAGGATGGTGAAGCAGAATTGGATCATTTCCGCAAATTATCAAAGATATCGACACCTTCTACAGAGGCACTCCTCCAAACTCTTCGAAGGTTTCTTAAGCAATTTCGGGATATCTATATTCTAGTCGACGCTTTGGATGAATGTCCCCGAGGTCATGGCAGGAAAGATGTTTTGAGAGTGATACAAGAGATTCGGGATTGGAATTTGCCTGGTGTCCATTTCTTAGTAACAAGTCGTGATCTTCTTGACATTCGAGAAGCTTTAGATCCGACTTACCAAGAACACATTTCCATCAAAAACTCGGGAATTCTTGAAGATATCTCCGATTTTGTCTCCTATCAGCTCGAAAATGACAAGAAGCTGAAGAAATGGGGGGCACGTCACGCCGAGATCCGAGATAAGCTTATACAGGGTTCGCAGGGGGTGTAAGTACTCCACCAAACTTCTATCCTTTCATTCTAATCACCACTACATCCAGATTCAAATATGTGGAATGCCAGCTTGCGTCTTTCCGTCGGGTAAGAAACCTCAATCAATTAGACGAATGCCTACGCTCCTTACCGCGCGATCTTGATGAAACGTATGAGCGAATTCTTTGCGAGGTCGACGAAGCCGATGCTGAGGATTTACGTCGTATCTTGACTATACTCTGTTCATCTATTCGTCCCCTCACCGTCCGTGAGTTGATCGAGGCCCATGCCGTTGAACTTGGAGAATCTCCACATCTTGATCGCGAAGGTCGATCTTTTGAGCCGGGCGATATTCTGGACATTTGCCTCGGGCTAGTAGAGTTCGTGGCGACTGGGAATGAAGATGGAGAGCTTGACTTGACTGTCCGTATAGCGCATTTCTCCGTCCAAGAGTACCTCCAGTCAGATCGCATTCGAAAACGAAAAGCGCAAAAATACGCAATCTTAGATGAATCTGCATGCACTGAAATGACCCAAATATGTCTTGCATATCTCTTAGATCCGACGCTTTCGACTGGAACCCTAGATGAGATGAAACTTCAAGAATTTCCACTGGCTCACTTTGCTGCTAGGTATTGGTTCCATTACTACCAAAGATCTCAAGCTGAGGAGGGGCATTGGAAAGCTGACAAATTGTTATTGGAAATCTTTGAAGAGAATCTGAACTCGTTCGCCACATGGGTCAAATTGCATGATATTGATCGTCCATGGGATACCAGAGTGCATCTCGAATACCAGATAGATGATGTGGCGCCCCCTTTATATTATGCAGCGCAATTGGGACTTATGACAGTGTTGAAGAAACTACTACTGACTCCTCCAAGCAATGGAAATCTATCGATTGTGATCAATGCTATAGGTGGAGAATTTGGCAATGCCCTCCAAGCCGCAGCACTCGGTGGCCATCAGGAGGTAGTTCAGATACTACTCGATCGAGGTGCCGACGTTAACGCCCAGGGTGGAAGATTTGGCAATGCACTCGCAGCCGCAGCACTCGGCGGCCATCAGGAGGTAGTTCAGATACTACTCGATCGAGGTGCCGACGTTAACGCCCAGGGTGGAAGATTTAGCAATCCACTCGCAGCTGCAGCACTCGGCGGCCATCAGGAGGTAGTTCAGATACTACTCGATCGAGGTGCCGACGTTAATGCCCAGGGTGGAGAATATGGCAACGCACTCCTAGCCGCAGCATTCGGCGGCCATCAGGAGGTAGTGAGGATACTACACGATCGAGGTGCCGACGTTAACGCCCAGGGTGGAAGATTTGGCAATGCACTCGCAGCCGCAGCACTCGGCGGCCATCAGGAGGTAGTGAGGATACTACTCGATCGAGGTGCCGACGTTAACGCCCAGGGTGGAAGATTTGGCAATGCACTCGCAGCTGCAGCACTCGGCGGCCATCAGGAGGTAGTCCAGATACTACTCGATCGAGGTGCCGACGTTAATGCCCAGGGTGGAGAATATGGCAATGCACTCCTAGCCGCAGCATTCGGCGGCCATCAGGAGGTAGTGAGGATACTACTCGATCGAGGTGCCAATGTTAACGGACAGAGTGGAGATTATGGCAACGTACTACTAGCCGCAGTACTCAGCGGCCATCAGGAGGTAGTGCGGATATTACTCGATCGAGGTGCCGACGTTAACGCCCAGGGAGGAGATTATGGCAACGCACTCCAAGCCGCAGTATCTCTAGGTCACCAAGAGGTGGCGCAGATGCTACGTGATATTATCATCAACACCGAGTTTATGTACTTGAAGGGCTGCAGATAAGCTGTATCTCCGATCAATATTCTTTTATAGATATATACAGATGAGTCACCACCAATTGAGTCTCAGATAAGATGCCTCTACTTCCGCTAATCTCTTGGTCAAATCGGGTATCTCAAAGGGTTCATTCCAATCCCTTCGAACACACAACACCGTCACGCATGGACTTTTCCTCCGTGGGGCGGATATTGCTAAAAAGAAGAACCATTAGCACCCGAATTACACACCTCCCCTGAATAACATGGCAATGCAGCCAGTGCATCGTTCCAGAAGAGTTGTCAAAGTACTTCTTTGACTCCAACACACCAGGAGTAGCGAGCTTCCGCGGCGTCATACAGATATGCTGCACATGCCGATGTAGATGTGGATTGGCCCCACCAACTCAACTGAGAGAGTTCCAGCTGTGCTTAGCTAGTCCCTTGACGGTAAAACAATATATTTTTCTTGGATATGCTCCCCATGACGACTCGATACTGCTGTGTGAAGAGGTTGGAGCTCAGTGGACTGGAGAAGTTCGAAGGGTTAGATCCGCAGGTACGGTGTCCGCGTGGATACGCTATTGTGAATGTTGACACGCGTGGTGCTGGCTAAATCGATGGCCATAACTGTATGGTTGAAACACAAGATGCGGAGGATGGATATTATGTGGTGGAAGCGGTCGCTCGGATGGACTGGTGCAATGGAGATGTCGGTATGGCTGGCAATTCGGCACTGGCCATCTTGCAATGGTTATTGCTTCTCAGCAGGCAGCTTCTGTGAATTCCATTGCTGCTTGGGAGGCATCAAGTGATAACTATCGTAAGAATTTCTGCCAGGGTGGTTGGTTTCCTATGAGCAACTTCGATCTCATTGCGAAAGCTATTGTGCGTGATCTTAAGAGTTCTGGTTTAGAGGATTTTGAGGAGATGGACCGGAGCTCTTTTGTCTTTTCTGTCTCCAAAACATTATGGGAGGAAGTGCGCGCCGATCTTCGCATTCAATGTTCAATTCTCAATCGGGGATCAAACATCAGCTCTATTCATACAGTGGGTTCCATTCGTGGTTTTTTGGAAGTGCCTCATAACGGAAAGTGATTCTAGTGGGGCAGTAAGCAGGAGTCGTATGAGCTTGAGAACGTACCAGAGTCGACAAGGGATTCGAGCCTGTTCTTCGATCGTTATCTAAAAGAGAAGGTCAATGGGTGGGAGAAAAAGCCAAAGGTCCGATGGTCTGCAACTCAGTTCGGAGACCGGGAAGCCATCGATAATATTGTTCTCGATGACTTCCCCGCGCCCACGACTGAAAACAAAGATCTTTTTGCTCAGAGACGACATGCTACTTTCATCTTATCTGTTGAATGCCCAACAAATCGGCTATGACTCCAAAGATCGTCATAGCTTTGCCGAGTTCAATTATACATTTGACAAGCCAGCGCGGTTAATCGGTCTACCCAAGGCAGTTTTATACATGTCTTACGATGCGCACGATAACTTCACTATTTTGCAATTCTAAACAAGAGCTATGAGAACGGTAAATTCCTGATGCGTCCGAATTTTTCATTTGGTGCAACCCCCGTGAAGTTCACTGATGATATTCTGGAAAGAGGACAGGCGAGCCTCGATCTGCATATGTGATCTGCTGGAATCCTATGCGTTTCACACAGGGAGATTGATGAGCCAAGAACTGCACATCCACAGTTCGCCCTCCTCGTAAACGCCAGGGCAAGGTTGGTCCGGGCACTATAGTGAATTTGGAGATCGGTTTGGGAAATGGGAGTGGACTTTTATGAAGACGAATCCATTAAGTTGAGGGTACTTAAGATTCGTCGGGAATTTTTCACCTGCTTATATTCTACTGCTTGTATATGGGGGACATTGCCCTAGTATTGCCAAGTATAAGTCATTTTCGAGACCTAGGCCGGCATATGAGCCGAACCGAGGCAAGCATGTTCTTCATTGCAGTGAAGAACAGCCAAGTCATTCATATTTCCAATATTTCATCTAGATTGCTAAGAGAAGACCAATTTGGAGTGATAACATATCCCGGTTTTGGTGCCCGAGTTCCAGATGTCTGGGCCTCGGCGGCAGGGCGTCGGCAATTAATCGTGAACAGCCGTATATCACAAATGACGAATTAATATGATTCATCATAAATTAGCACTTGCTACACACTTGAAGACATTGAATCACCTCCTTCAATCTTAATGTCCCGAGGTCCAAAGCAGTCGGGTAGTGGTGCAAGAAAGCCATAGTCCACAGGTCCACCGTGTATAGAGTACGAGACGACCGACTCTTCTTTTTGAAAATTCAACTGATAGCCAATTTCCAGTTTAGAAATTCGAGACTACCTACGATCGTATCAATGAACCATCCTATGCCACGTGTGTTGTTGTATCACGGATGCCTGTTAGAAGATGAACTGCCGAGGGTTAAAGGTTCATGACTCGGAGGTATGTACTTTTTCGATTTTACCACACACAACCTTGCTAGTAAGACCCTTAAAAATTGTTAACGTGATAAGAAAAGCTTGGTTCTTTTATCTAATTAATTTGAGGTATTACTTGTTTTTGGGCTATTCTGAAACACTGTATCCTCTTGGACCCTACGCCGAAGTCTCAATTTTGGTTTCCGGATGTCCCGTACCCTTGGAACGGGTGCCATGAGTAGGGCCACACCGACAACATCTAAGACAATATGAAGCGCGACCTATTTAAATGCTCCTTGATCGCGCTGAAAAGTTGTTGGAAGCAGTAAGAAATCCATTGCATATTTCTCGCACCGCTACGATGTTCATCCAGACCCTCCTTCCTTTGCTTCTTGCTCCGTTGATCGCGGCGTCGCCTACGGGTATCGACCGTCGTCAGTTTATCTCGGCCAATGACTTGACCGACGGAAACTGCAAGGATACCATGTTTATCTTTGCTCGTGGATCAACTGAAGTCGGCAACATGGTAAGAATGGACTTTTCTGCCGTTTGGAAATAGCCGCGCTGACCAATTAGGGTACCGTTGTTGGCCCGGAAGTCTGCGATGATCTGAAACTCAAGTTGGGAGGTCAGTTGGGCTGCCAGGGTGTCGGTGGTGCCTACACTGCTGGCCTGGGCACGAACTTCCTTCCCAAGAATACCTCGCCTGCGGATATCGAAGCTGCCGTGAACATGTTCAACGAGTGCAACACCAAATGCCCCAATGCGAAGATTGTCGCCGGTGGATACAGGTATGATACTCTCATCAATATGCGTCAATCTGCGCATCTCTAACAACCCTCTAGTCAAGGAACTGCTGTCATGGATGGTGCGATCCAGAAGCTGTCTACCGAAGTGAGAGACAAGGTGAAGGGTGTGGTCTTGTTCGGTTTCACACGTAACAAGCAGGACGGTGGCAGAATTCCTGGATACCCCACTGATCAGACCAAGGTCTACTGTGCTCTTGGTGACGAGGTCTGTGATGGAACTCTTATCATCACTGCGGCTCACTTGACCTACGGTGACGATGCTAGCTCTGCTGCAACCTTCCTGGCCTCGAAGGTTCAATGATCTAGTTAACTGAGCAGGCTCAAGGTACACCGTTTAACAACGCTGGCAGTGCTATCACAGCCTAGGGGTGGTTGGCTCTGGATCTTTCATTTCTTATCTCTCATTCTTACTATACCTTTTCACCACTATCTTGTACTAGAGTACTTATAGATATTTTTGTGCTACTTTTTCATTGATGCGCCACTACTTTAAACCTGAAACTCTGCCGTTGTGTAGTGTGACAAATAACCCTAGAAAGTGAAACGTGAATCCATAGCGGGGCGAATAGCCTCAACCGTTGGATTTTTACTACGCAGAAAACGCCACCGAGTCCAGAAGAGGAGATCGGTTTTCCTACCACAAATGTCACTTGGATGACCTAAAGTCATGGCTATATGGGGCATGTAAGTTGAAGCACTCAGCTGAATCATTCTATGTTGAATTTCTTAAGGCTTTCCCCTTGACTTTCAAAGGAACAGAGGTGTCACGCCTCGCCCACCCTCGGGCAATCCTCTTACCCACAAACCAAACGGGGTCCCCAGATCCCGAAATCAAATTTGCTGGTTCATATTATCACCGGAACCGAAGTTACCCCAAAGAGCTGCACAAAAAAATCAAATCCACGGTGATGCCTATATCCGCCCCAAAATTGTGGCGTTGTCTCAAAAACCAGACTGAACCCTGACCCGCTCCGGGTACCTGATCCACAACCAAGTAGACTAAGCCCATGATCGACCGAGACTGATGGAATTGTCTTTTCTCTTTTTTTAAAATATCTCACTGCTTTGATCATGTGGAGCCGGTCGAGTTCTCCAGGTTTCCCCAGCCTGAGCGCAAAAACGGCCCCGGTACTTCCTGTTTTCGCGGACGGGCCGAGGTGATTCTCATCCGTTCAGAGCTTATTACTGCATCAGGCGCAATAACGCAATAATCGTAGTATCACAAGGAATCATCCAATTTCAAGTCGGTCTACCTTTGCAAATCCTGCTCGGTGACTTCAAACTCTCGAGCTGGCTGCAGGTGAACCTCATTTTTCATCACGACCTATATTTCGGTCTCGAGCTCGATTCACAACACAATGGTGTCTTTGCCACTGGAAGAGTCCAGGTATTTAAATCCCAGATTACCGCAGTGATGAGTATCAATCAGACTCAATCATTCCACTATCCAACTCGATAAACAAACAACGCATCTTCACCTCCACTTCTACTTCTTCAACTCCAAAATTCACAATGGTTGCTGGACAATACTTCCTCTTTGGCCTGCTCGCCCTCGGCCAGAGCGCCCTTGGTCTCCCCTCAAGCTCCGGTTCCGGCGCAAGCGGAATCCTTTCCAGCATCGACACCATCAACTCCGGAGTGAGCACAATCAACTCAACCCTGGGTACCTTCTCCGAAAACTCCGACGTCACTTCAACCGCTTTGAAGATCCAGTCTGAGGCTACGGACCTTCTGAATGATATCAACAAGGGAGCTCAGGTTGCTGAGAAGGCTGATACTCTTGATTCGGATGACCAGCAGAAGCTTTACTCGGCTACTGTTTCTCTGTCTGACAATGTCTTTTCCCTGCTTGATGGACTTGTCGATAAGCAGGATGTCTTTAAGAAGGCCGTTCTTGGTGGCTCGGCTGATGGACTCGTCGACAAGGACCTTGAGAACTTGAAGAAGGCTACCGATAGCTTCGGTCAGGCTATTATTAAGACTCTCTCTGGTTCCGTCAAGGACAAGGGACCTGCTCTTCTGAAGAAAATCGATTCGCATTTCGATACTGCTATCAAGGCTTTCTCTTCTTAAAGTACCTGAGAAGATGAGATGATATCGGTGAGCATGTGGTGATCATGTTTTGAAACCACTTTGCCATTAAGCTGTTCCAATCGCTTTCTCTTTGGATATTGATCGAATGGGGAGTTATTCCATATGGAAGATTTGTCATGATTTAAGAAACTGTAGCAGAGACTATTTCAACAATACGCTCTTTTGAATGAACAGAATTGTATCAACTTTTAAATACTACCCTATTTACTTTCTGTCAAAAGTTGGAAGCAAAGTTTTGAAATCTCAACCTTGGAGGTTTCTCTTCGTGACTGTCATGTATTCCAGTTGTTGCTGAATTTCTGGATAGATACATATGCAAACAAGAGGCGAATTAAACCTTGGTCGTTCTACCTATGAACCTGAAAATAAGATTACACGTAAGTTGTCTAGTCCGAATCCTCATCTCAAAGGCTTCTTCCCATATACAAGAAACCTACACAAATGTCAGCAAGAAATTTACAAGGTATTCCATGAAGCTTACTCTTTGACATATGCATGCATATGCTTATCGCGAAGTTGTTGCTTGGCCTTCGCTTGGAAGATTCTAGACACATCCTCACCCCAGCCTAAAACATCCGTAAAAAGCCTCATCGAGTAAGACTCAACACCCTGCTGTGCCTGGATGAGCTGGTATTTCCCAATCTCCTTAAGATAGGGATCCTTCGGCCATGGGGAGTACGGTAGGAAATAGACAGATTGATGCACGTCTTCGAACCCGGCACCAACCATCCAGTCTTTCAAGAACGGGTAGATATTGCATGGCTTCCCCATTGCTTTCGAGGCGGTGTCGATCGCCCGAACACATTCAAAAAGCGCAGAGTCATATGGACAGCTACCATCATCACTCCAGATCCATACGGCGCTTTCTTGGATCTCGAAATATGATCCTGGTTTGAGACAGTCATAGCATCGCCGGAAGAATTGTGGCCAGTCCGCAATGCAGCTTTTGTTACATGAGCGTGGTCATCGATGATGTGAGTGGGTAGCTTACCCGGCAAGTAATCTTGCGTGAATGAAGTCGAAGCTTTCGGGTTCGTGGACCCATTCGTCTTCGAAATCTTCCACAACAAATTCAAGGTTCGGACACACCCAGCTAGGCTGGATGGGACTGATATCCGTCCCGATTACCTGGGCTTCGGGGAACTTCCTGTTCTTGCGGTGAGTTGCTACATGAGCAAAGCTCTGAGGTTGGCTCCTTACTCTGCGATATCAATTGCCCAAATTCCGGTTCCGGTACCGAGGTCTAAAATTCTCTGGGGATTCTTGACGGGGGCTTGAAACAGTTCTCCCTTCATCAAAAGGAGCCAGCTAGTGGGCAATTGTCAGCGGTGACAAATCTGGTGGATTTTCACGTCATGTACATATGATGTGCCTGGAACCGTCAGTGTATAGTTTCCAATTCTGACGTGGTGTGAGAGTCATACCAGGTCCATGCGGTCTTGTTCCTCTTCATCATTTGGCATCCTGTTCCATTATTAATCAAGGCATATTGATGCAGACTAGAACATCGAGTTTACATGTAATTGTTCTAGAAACGAACATGTTAGCATGTAAATAAGCAGCGGAAGGGCTTGAACAGACTTACAAGCCGACCGCTATGATACCGTCGCCCATTTTGATATTCATAGTTCAGGATACTCGAGGACAATGAGGTGAGATCGGAGTATTCGCTTTCAAAGTCGCTAGACTCATCCTTGGTACCGTCAGTATCCGAGAAATACGAGTAACTCCAGGTGCATCATACGCTGAAGTTGTCGGGAAGAATGGGTGGAGGCTCGGAAGTCCCTTCCGTGTCTTCTCTAGGGAGCTCACTCGCAGGTGATGTCATTGTCGCTGAATCAAAGGTTAGGCGTGGGAATAAGAGTGAAGAAGGGACAGATAAAGGTCTAGGCGGCAAAATATTTTCTCAGTTCCATTGTCATTCAGTCTAGAGTCCTGCGGGGCTCACGAATTACAAATGAATAATGTGCCCAGGTGGTGGATCTCGATTAAAGTTCGACCCGGATCTTCAGCAGACAAACCGGACTTGGATATATATGCCGATCTACCGGTATTGCAAGGTAGATCGAGATCAACAAATATCTACTGTACCTAGGTCATACGCAGCTAGCCCTGCAATTAACTAAGAAGGGACAAGATTGCCTAGTACAGTCTACTAGTGGCGTGCCATCTGACTTTACCTGGCTATGGTTTCCGGGATAAAGCGACCTCCAATTGGATATCACTGATATCGAACCAATCCATGTACCAGAAGAAAAGTTACAGTCAATATCCGCGATCGATCGATCGGAGCAAGGGTGTGGATTATAGGGTTGGCCCCGGAGTGCGGTCAACAGGGCCGAGCATCCACAGCCCCGCGGTTAGCCAGTACGGGAATAAGTTGTGACTGGTTCCTAGGTCTTGACCAGAACAGGACAAATCCGAGGTCAAAATGTTTCAACCCAGCTGGACCAAGTATACAGCTTCTAGGAAAAGCAGGGTTGAGCTTGCCACTAGTGCGTTAAGTGATATCTGATATGGCGTATGCAGGATCTATGCATGTCCCGATAAGATAACGCACGTGACAGCGTGTCGCGTTGACGCGCAGAGATCACCAACCCGGGATTGGCTCCTGACGCTTTTCCCTCAATCTTCAGTCTACGATCCAGACAGCTCCAAAATCGCCACTGGACAACGTGACGGATCACACAAGAAGGATCGGAACACAGCTTCATAGTTCACTCCACAATGACACAAGAACAAGTCGCTACGGCGCCCGCGGCGACACCACAACCACAGCACGACCCCTCCCATGAGGAGCACCAATACCTCAACCTGATCCGCGATATCCTAGCCCAAGGCGAGTTCCGTCCCGACAGAACAGGCACCGGCACGAAAAGCATTTTCGCCCCGCCAGCTCTCCGATTCTCTCTCTCAAAGCCCAACCCAGAAGGCGGCTCCCCCATCCCAGTCCTGCCACTCCTTACCACAAAACGAGTCTTCCTGCGCGCCGTTCTTGCTGAGCTCCTCTGGTTTATCGCAGGCACCACTTCTTCATTACCCCTCTCCGAAGCCGGGATCAAAATCTGGGATGGCAATGGCAGCCGCGAGTACCTCGATAAGGTTGGCCTCGAACACCGCGAAGAGGGCGATCTCGGCCCCGTGTACGGATTCCAGTGGCGGCACTTTGGGGCTGAGTACGTCGATGCCAAGACGGACTACACAGGTCAAGGTGTAGACCAGCTCAAGGATATTGTGGACAAGCTTATGAACTCGCCTTTTGATCGTCGGATTATCATGAGTGCTTGGAACCCGGCAGATTTGAAGAAGATGGCTCTTCCGCCTTGCCATATGTTTGCGCAGTTCTACGTGTCGTTCCCGCCTGGAATGAAGCTTGATGACAAGGGTCGCCCTGATGCGAAGGGAACCCTGTCTTGCCTTCTTTACCAGCGCTCTTGCGATATGGGTCTGGGTGTTCCGTTTAACATCGCTTCCTATGCCCTTCTCACTCACATCCTTGCTCATGCTGCGGATTTGAACCCTGGTACTCTGGTGCATACTATGGGTGATGCTCACATCTACTTGGATCACATTGATGCGCTGAACGAGCAGCTTACTCGTGAGCCTAACGAGTTCCCCGAGTTGCGTATCAAGCGTGATGACCGTGGTAGTGCTGTGATTGATGGTTGGAAAGAGGATGAGTTCGAGGTGATTGGCTACAAGCCCCACAAGATCATCAAGATGAAAATGAGTGTTTAATTATTAATGATACATTACGCTTGTGTTTATAAGTACGATGCACAAATCTGGAGTTTCGGATGTTGCCAAAAATGTTATAGCAGTCTGCTATCATAGATGCCATATGTGAATCCAACGCTATGCACATTGTATATCCAGTGTAAACACCCCAAACCAAAAATCGAATTAGATCAAGGCCTGATGCCTAGGATCATGACTTCTCCAAAATAGCCCCAGCACCCCGTAACAATACAATCGTGTCCCCCTGCTTCACCTTGACCCCAATAGAGTCAGAAAATTCCAAAAAATTCCCAGACTCAACATGAAACATTCTCAAACGCGCCTCTTCCCCTCCACTCCGATTATTCAAGTTCTCAACCCTCAGCCTCTTCGCAACGTCATCAAGAACCCGCCCAACCTTCCACCTTGAATCGAAGTAGAAATCCCCAGACGGTGGCTCTGCAGCCTGCGTATCCGCCGTCCCAACAGTATGCAAATATAACCTCTTATCGACCGGCACATTCGCCTCCCCTTTCGCAGTCCTCTTCATCGTATTCACATTAACAGCTCTCGCAGCAGGGCTATTAGCTTTAGGCTTGACCTTCGGAATCAGATTCGCGCTCGCAGCCTGCGTTTCCTTTCCCCATCCGCGCACACGCGCAAACATAGACTTGATAGTCTCATTCGCTGAGGCGCCGTTCCCCTGCCGTGCGCCCAGCGGGGTAAGCTTGGCGCAATCATGTTCCTCACGCAGTCGGTGCTTAAGACAGTATTGATGGTTGCAATTTGGACAACGAACGGCCGGATCTTTGAGTGTGTTTATAAGTGTTTTGCAAGAGACGTGGTAGCACTGATCTGAATTGTAAATGTTGGGCTTTTGCGGTGCGCTGCTGCGGTTTTCTTGGTTTGTGTTGTTTCCGTTTCTGCGACGGGCCCATTCGCCTGCGCGAGGACAGTTGTGGGCTGTTTCGGAGCGGTGCTCGAGGCAGTATGTGCTTTTGCATGATTCGCAGCGGAAGGGGAGGAAGTCTAGTTGACCGCAGTAGGAGAGTTGGCAGTGGCGGCCGATTGATTCGAGGTCTTCGTTGGCCATTTGAGTGAATGATTCGTCGGTTGAGGGGGTGTTCCCTCGGGATATTGATATGGGAGACATGTTGGTTTAGCGAGTGGATTAAGTGAATGTAAGATAAAAATGCGATGCGAGATTCTGGGTATATGGAGAAGAGTATCTAGATGGGAGTAGAAGATGCTGGCTTGATTTGACTAATGCGGAGAAGGCTTATCTAATCGGTCACTCCGATTCTACATAAATATCAACTATGCAGCCGTGAGCGTTCCATGGTTGATTTGCCACCAATACTGGATTTAATTTATACATGCGCAAGTAGACCAGTAAGTAGCTCCCGGATTTCAACAGTACAGAGTTGAGGGTCCCTGGTGGTTTCGAATCAGCTCCAAGCCAGGGCTGCTGAGGATGTGGCTGGCTATCAATTGTAGGATTGGACTCTGGAGATTCAATGCGGGACTTATCATATATTCGATACAAATCATTGAGGTCTAGAGGTCTTTGCTTACTTCTTGATAATAATGTACCTTGTCTCAGAGATCCAAAATAATTCACTACTGTTTAGTAAGTATCATTTGGTTTATGGATCTTGATGTAAGCTTAGCTCTGAGGACTTGAGGACTTGAGGATTTGAGGTGGACGCTGCGGCTAGACAGAGAGTCTGATTATTGATGTGTCCCAAGATTAGATGTACGATTAATAGACAGATTCGAAAGTAAAAATGATTGTTATTTTCAGATTATTCGTCGTATGATACGGGTAAAGATTCCGCTGGGATATTGGTCGTAAGGTATACTGCAAATTACCCAAGGTATATCTTTGATTAAACCAAATCACATATGAGACGCGAAGAAATTGAAAGTCAACCATCAACTCCACAGAGGAGTAAGAAAGCACGGGAAAAGAACGAGAATGGATGAACGGGGTATCTGACGCAAAAGAAGGCCCAAAATCACGCCACCTAGTTCAAGAGAAACCCCACCCACAACGCCGGGAATATTAGCACAAGAAAAGATAGAACGGTAAAGATCGCAGTAAGTGGAAACTACATGGGTGGGTAGTTGGATCCAGAATTGTTCTGAGGGTGAGAAGTATGCGGCTGATCCTGGGGACGTCTCTCAATGGGAGTCTCCGATGCAGCAAAAGGGATGGCGCTGCTTGATGTGAAGACAGGCAGGCCGGTTTTCGTGTGGCCTTCAGACGTATGAGGCGAGAACACGTTGTTCTGAGGAGATGCATCCATATGCAAGTCGTTGCCGGTGGTTTGGCGTGGAGAGTCGTTTGTGGCAAACGAAGCTGGTTGTTCGCTGTTTTGAGGGGATACTAATGAGGTTGCCCATTCTGAAGAATGGTTGGCGATAGGCGACATCAATTCCATGGAACCGGCTCCGGTTGGGTTGGAAGTTGGCATCACCGCCGGAGAGGCAACAGGTGTATCAGATGATACTCCGAAATTAAAGGGCTGGTTCTCTTTCTTCACCATAGCGTCACTTGCAGAGACCCCGATTGGAGGAGTTGGGAGAGCTGGGGGGGAGCTAGTTGGTAGATTCTCAGGACGAGAAGCCGTCTTGCCCCGTGCGGTCTTGGTACTAGTCGTCTTCCTTGCGGGGGATTTAGGAGTCTTGGCTCTCTTTTCATTCTGCTTTCGTGCTTCATTGGCTTTTTTCTCTCGGGCTGCCTGCTCCTCGGGAGATGGCATGACCAGCTTGATTTTCTGAAGCCCAGTGGATAAATTTTCTACGTCATTATCTTCAGGCCGCGCCACTTTCTCGGAAAGCTTTGAAGGCATGAACGTAGTTGGGACCTTGGGGACCGGGGGAGGTTTGCTCGTGGCAGACGATTTTCTAGGAGTGTCCGGGCTGGTTTTTCGTGAACTCGAACCATCCATTGAAAGGATTTTTGAGTTGCTCGAGGCACCTATGTCGTCGGTAGCACCCGGCGCTACTGCAGTCGTACTCTTTCGACGACGGGCATCTACAGACGGGGATGATTCACGGGAATCATCAGGCAACTCATTGCCCTCGAGAGTCTGTCTCCGGTTCTTGCGCATCGCTTGCTGCCGTGGCGTGGCGGGCCGGGGTGAGTAAGGTGTAGGCGATTTGGCCTTTCTTGCGCGAAGCCTTCTCGTGTTATCGACTGGAGCTGGTGGTGGCTGACGGACGGTGTCAGGGTTCAATGAACGGCCATCCCGCGCAGCCTGCCGTCGTTGACGAGAAGCGACAACTCCAAGATACTCGGGCGCATGGCTTGTGGTTTGCCGATTCCCAGGAGTAATATTCGCAAATAATTCATGCGAGGCCGTGGCCCAGCCAACCTCTGGTAGATTGGAAGAGAGATGATCGAGACCCGTGTAGGAGCCGACGATTTTTCGTTCACGTGGCGGAGTGACCACCTTGGCTGAGGATGACCGAGTAGATTGAAGAAACGTCGAAGACGGTTTCTCGCGGCTTTTGGTCGGCGGCGCGACAAGTGATTGCAGTTCATCAAGGTGGCGAGATGACCACCAATCACCCGTATACTCCGTCAGGTTTGGAGCCAGCTTCAAAGTCGGTTTCAGAGTCGAGGTCAGCTCAGTGGTATCCGTCAAGGAGGTACCAGAGGCACTAGTTTGGCTAGCTGAAGATACTCCCGTGGGATCTATGGCAGAAGGTCCAGGACTAGGCTGGAAAGGTGAAGAAGTGTCCTTAGAGACACTAGTCAATCCACACAGATGACTGAGCACGCCACTGGTCAAAGCTCGGTCACTGTAGCCGCCTTCAAGCACGCTGACAACACGACCATCCACACCAAGGCCTTCCTCCTGAGACATTTGCACAACATCGGCAGTAAATTGGGCATAAAAATCTGTTGGCACTTTGCGCTTGTGTCTTTGCATGCCTTCTGATTCATGCTCACTTGCATCGAAACCAGCGGAAATGAAGATTGCAGCCTTGGGCCGCGGACCATTGGGAGTCTCAGCGAGCTTATTGGCGTGGTTCCGAAGGAATTCGCGCGCTTTGCTAATAAGAGCAATGTATTTTGTCCGGTACAAATTCCAAAACTCCGTGTGAGTTTCCCAGCGTTCAAGATGGACGTTCCAGATGGACTGGCCATGTCCACCGTCGATACAGGCACTTGCATTGAGAATTTTTGCAGTCGCTTCTCTATCTTCGCAAGGGTAGGAGTTGATGTCATGAAGGCTGTAGTAACCTATTGGGGCCTTTTCATAAGGAGAAGACATGTATGAAGAATCCAAGACCTTTTCGTTGTGATTCCAAGCAATATCCTGAGAGCCATCGCCATGGTGTAGGTCAAAGTCCAGAATAGCAGCATGGGTCAGGCCATGTTGAGAAGCCGCGTATGAAATACCAACATGGACATTGTTGACCCAACAGAATCCGGATGGATAGCTAGCCGAGCAATGGTGACCAGGCGGGCGAATACAGACAAAGGCGCGGTCTGTTGGGCCAGGGCTAAACACAGTATCAATAGCATCACATACAGCACCCAGAGCGCCTTCAAAAGCACCTTGCGATTCTCCGCATAAGTAAAGATCGCCGATGGCAAGTGCTGGTCCGGTGCGAACTAGACCATCGTCACCTCGAACGCGAGTTCGGACCAGTTCCCTACCGGTCGAGACGAGACGCGACTCTGCATGTTCACACATCCCCTGGAGTTCTGCCATCCATGAGGTTCCGTGGACACTAGTCACCGCTTCATGACGCAACGGCAACGAGCGCGACGTCTTGCGAATTTGGAATGGTGGTGGAGGTAGACAGTGAATATCAAGGTTAGGATGAGGCGCAAAGCGTTCGCCTGCATATCGCTGACCAAGTCGGACATAAGCGGCAGCTACTCCCACAAGGCAGGCACGAATGCGCTCTGGGCGCTCGACAATACCCTCTAGTTCTTTTTCCGAAGTGTTTGGACGCGAAAAGCGGTGGCCATAACAGGCATCATGGATTATGACAACCGCTTTGGACTTGAGATCGACGGTTTGATGCAGATCGGTCTCTTTTTGAAAGTGTTCCGCCGCGATGGAAGCCGCAGTGAGTTCCTGGTCCGGAGAAGGACCCAGCTTGAGCCGCGACGACATAGTTGCGGGCGACGCGGTGGAGGTCCCCGAGGCCGCGGACCCCGCGAAATTGGCGGACGAGCGACGCGACGAGTCTGCGAGCGGGGAGGAGGGACCGTTATTAGCCGAAGACGATCTTAGCGACGCTGTTGATGAGCGTTTTTGGAGCGCAGGAATCGATTTGCGACGCTCGTTACGCAAAGAGCCGGAGCTCGGGGTGCGTCTCGGCGCAAGTTGGCTGGGATGGGAAGGATGCGATGGGGCATCAGGGGATAAAAGGGAGGGAGAATTTGGTAACGGAGTTGCCGTCGCATTCACGAGAGACAGGCGATCCAAAGAATCGGAAAGATCGCATCGTGGCGGGTCTATCGCGATGTTGTTTTGGTTGTTATCAATGGACCGGGGTGGGTCAAGCGCGGCTTTGGAGGGGTCCATGATGCAAGGTGATCATAGGCCCAGAAAACATGAGACAAACGATTAAGTCGGTGGGATAGATTTAAAGATAGACGAGGCGATCGCGGTTTTAACGGTACCGGGGGTGAAAAGATGTAAGTTGCGAAGTGAAAAAGGAGTGCGGGATATGTGTTTGGATTATTGGATTTCCTTCCAAGTTGTATGGGGCAAGGGGTCAGTCGATCCCCTACATTCTTCCATACAAACTCATTATCATCGTACTTTCTATGTTTCACTTGGATATGTTTAGAAATCACATTCTTTCTATTCATTCATATATTGATATGAACCATCTAGCATGTATCATTCATCTCAAATATCAGTATAACCTTTTCCCAAACCCTGATTCGCCCATGAAAAAAGAAAGAACCCCAACACCAAAGCTGAAAAGTCAACAAGAATGAAGAATATCAAATGGGGAAAAAGTGAATTGAAACATGACAGTTGAAATGGAAAAGAAATAGGAAAATTCATATCATCAACGCGACCACAAACCCCGCCATTGATACCATTGGTACCAGCGTCGGCCTAAAGAAGACTTCTCATCCAGGGACTCTTGGGATCGGCGGCGCACTTTGTCTTCTTCCTTGCGGGTCTTCTTCTCAGTCTTGAATCCTTTGGTAGCATGGGAATTGCAGAAACAATGCATGTGAACGGTCTCTATGCTGACACCCGGGCAGCTGTTGCGGCGCTGACCAGGGCAAACACTGTTTCCAGCATCCTCTTCGCAGTGGCACCACTCATAAAGAGTGAAATACTGACGGCACATGTTGGATGTAGGGTTGAGAAGCTTCAATTGGTAGATCTGATTTGGAATATGTTGTGGATGGAACCTGGCGAGTGGAACGTAGTATTGTAGTGGAAATCTGACCAATTCCGGAACGATCGATTTTGCTGCGGCTCTAATCTTTTAGACGAGCTGGAGAGAAGTGAAACGGTAAATTTATGAAGGTTGGCAGTTTTGCAGTCAATGCAAAATCAGAGGCTGGGTTGGACAAGAATGGTTCTTTGTCGAGAGTTGAAGTATAGCGGAAGGACCGGGAAGAGATCGTCCAACCAGGGCAGATCAAAGAGGTTTGAGGCGAACGTAGTTTCAGGCCAGCTGAGTAGGAGGCAAGTAGGTGTGAATAGGGAAGAAAGGGAACGAAAGTGTCGATCAGAAGTCTTTAAGCTCTAGATGTACAGTGAATAAGACTGGGGCCTATGGTAATAATGAGTGAATGGCAGCGCGTCCTGGAACCATGGGTCAACGCTAGAATCTGACGTCAAGGAAGACAACGAACTACTCGGGACCCTGCGGCTCATAAATACTGAGTGGATTGCCTTGTCCGGCGCTTCGGGTTACATCTTCACCATCGACCCAGGTGGTATTGGCTGGACCATGACCAGACGCCAGCTTGCCATTGGTTGGAGCAAGTGACACTTGACAAAAACCACGCTGCTTTTGCTGTTTTTGCTGTTTGGGATGCTCTGGTTTCCCGATGAAATGGTACATGTGAGGTAACAGAAATGATTATTGGTCTTGGCTTGCCAAAATGGTGCACCGGAAGGGAAAGGAAAACCGCCCAACCTCCTGCAGGTAAGAAGGATCAGGGTGCAATAGGCGGTTCTGCATTTATAAATAGGTCTTCAAAGTACACAGGGACTAACATAGGGATTAAATCTAGTTTGAAACTCAATAGCAATCTGATCGGCCGCTAGATCAACCTTCTCATCCCTGAAGAAGGATCTCCGGTGACCCGGGCGATCACCTTGATTGGGCCGAGCTAGCCGCCAGGGCTGCATTAGGGAGGTTGGCGGGGCCTGAAGGTACCCCTTGTGTCAGTTGGCGCCTGTCAGGTATAGGTGGCACAGACACCCGGCATTCCTAACGTCGCATGGAAAATTTTTATCAAGATCGAGATTAGGATGAGCCCATGTCGATCAGACGCAAACAGTCAAAGCCACAGCCGCACTCTACGATGCAAATGATGCAAATGCTGTGGCTTGGCAAGTACAAAGGCGGTGGATCGATCGAGCTCGGTGTCTGTATACGTAATCAGGCGGTGGAACCGCGACCAATAGGTGTCCCCTCGAGTATGTGTGTCTGTCTGTCCATTCTACTATCTACGGGCACGCGCCTTATGTGTGTGCTTACTAATATCATGTGATCTAGCTAGCTTACATCATCTAATATTTGCCAACACTCGGCCCAAATCATGTGACCTGTCACTTTTCCCGCGGAGCTGCCTCAGGCCACTATCAAGATTAATATTGCCTCGAAGCTAACGCCCTCTTTTCCATCGATTGACGTTGGAAGGTCAATTGGGGTACATACACACGCTAGCTCCAATATTTACAGCTGTGCGAACCAATTCAGAGCAAAAACCTCCATATATCACGTCAAGCATTCTCGACACTGCAATGACCACCCCAGCCGACTCAACCATCAACCAACCACCCAACATGGCCGCCACCCCCGCGCGAGCTTCCACCCTCTTCGCAAATTTGACCGCCGTCTCGGCGCGTGTCACGGCTGCAGCCACCCATTCCCCAACCCCGACCAAACCCGTCCGTCTAGTAGCGGTCTCCAAGCTGAAGCCCGCTTCAGACGTTCTAGCCCTGCACCAACCCCCCGCTTCGCAGCTCCATTTCGGCGAGAACTACATCCAAGAGCTCCTCGAAAAGTCTCGACTACTCCCAAACAGCATTAAATGGCATTTCATCGGTGGACTTCAATCGAACAAATGCGTTATGCTAGCCCGTGACGTCCGCGGCCTTTGGGCCGTCGAGAGCGTGGATACAGAGAAGAAAGCCACCCTCCTAGATAAAGGTTGGGGAGAACGAAAGCCCGAAAACACGAACGCGGATGCCGCAGATCCTCACGGCGATAAGCTCCGCATCTACGTTCAGGTCAATACATCTGGCGAGGAGAACAAGGCCGGTATTGAACCGACTGCTGCGCCTGCATTGGCTCGCTTTATCAAGGAGAAGTGTCCCCGTCTGAAGCTGCATGGTGTTATGACTATTGGAGCTATTGCGCGGTCGAAGGAGACGACGCCCGAGAATGAGAATGAGGACTTTGTTTGTTTGCGCGAGACGAGGGATCGCATTGTTACTGATCTGGGGCTGACTGGGTCCGAGGCTGAGTTGGAGCTTAGTATGGGAATGAGCTCTGATTTTGAGGGAGCTATTGCTCTTGGCTCGGATCAGGTTCGTGTTGGAACTACTATTTTTGGGGATCGGCCGCCCAAGTCGGAGGCTCGGGTTGTTTAGCGATGTCAGTCTTAGACTGTGGTCGTTGGTGTTTTTACGAGTTTATGAATTCTTGCATATGCAGCGTGTTGCCTTTAGTTTAGATGGTTGAGAGATGTGTCAATCAGTTTCATCACTGGCATATCCTAATAAAAGCTAGGGACGGAAAGCACTGGTAATCAGCAGAAAAATAAAGATACTGTATATCATATCACTATTACTGCAAGCAAAGATTATACAAGAAAACGAGAATCCAATCATAAAGGGATGCTCGCTGGTATTTGGCTCGAAAGCTGATGAAGATATACATGAATGCGCCTCGTCGTCCCTCTCTAGTCGTAAGACCCGGCTCCAACATCCTTAAATCCCTGGCTTAGCTTCTGCTCCATCTGCCTCGCCAGTGATTGCGGAACTCCTTCTTGTGTGGCACGGATTGTAACACGGTACATCTGCATAGAAGTATTAGTTTCATATAGCCAGATAGGACATTTTGGCGGCACATAGGCTGGTTGATCACTTACCGACTTCTCATAGTTAGGCTCCAGGCGCAATAGACAGCCTATCTTGCCCGTTTCAAACTGGATCACTGAGCAGCCCACAATATTATTGCTGTTCGGGTCCACGCCATCCAGAATCTTCCATGCGAAGCCTTCTACAGTCCGTCGAGTGTAGGCTTCGTTGATTATCTTGTTCTTTCCACTCAGACCAAAGGTCTTCTGCGACTCCAGGGGCCCGCCACCGATTTGTCTCCAGCGCTGGAAGAAGTCTTCTGCGGAGAGAGATGATGGCTCCATGTATCTATGCATTAGAACAGGCAGTTGGAGAGTATAAGCCTGGAGTGCACCAGCCAGGTATGAAATACGGATGGTGGGGGCATCTGAGAAGGGACCGTGGGCCGCACAGAAGAATGTCTGCTGGGTTTGACCGGTTGCCGCAACGGTAGATTCGGGGAGGTTTTTGCTGTCGATCTTGAGATTTGGAGAGGCCGGGTTGTCAATGGTGGTAGTCAACGACCCGATGGGATAGGAGGATTTGTTGGAAATATAGAGCTTAACAACACCCATATGGCCACGGTATTCCGATCGTAAGCCAACTTGGATCTGGGCGTCCTGGAATAGAACACCTTCGTGCGAGAAGTAGAGCTTATTGTAGCCAATGTCCCACTCCGGTGTCAGGTGAGCCGCGCTGGCAAGGTTTGGAGGAGGGGCCGGCGGCCCACTATTGAAGTCCAATCCTGCCAGGTCGCCAGACGCACTTGTCGCACTAGTTGGAGTACTTCCGTTGGATCCTCCACCTCCAGTTCGTGTGCCATGAACAATAGTGGTGAAAGAACGCTTGAGACCAGTGGTTTGTGCCATAAGGACTTCCTGCTTGTCTGCATTCGCCGCCTTGCCACCAACCACCCATGTCTTTCTCTCGCTGGTGCCAGCTGTCTTCTGGTGTAGGCGGGACAAAAGGATGGAGGTGCGCTCTGAGAAAGGTGGCATTTCATCGCACACAGTCCGCAGCAAGTCGTCAGTCGGGAGTGTTGCCAGAGAGAGATACTCGAATGCTCGTTGTTGTAATTCAGAATCAGGGGAATGGCTGTACAGACGGAAGATCTGAAGGAGCTGTGGCTTGATTTCGGGGAACAGGTTGACAAACTTCACAAAGGACGAAAGAATCATAGCTCTTGCGTTGTCAGAGCCTGTGAACATCTTTCCTTGCAGTGCCATGAATTGCTCAATGGGACTTGATCCGGGATTATCGGCGACGAGGTGACCAAACTCGCCGAGAACATAACAGCCAATTTTAACCAAGCTCTCGTGACAGTCAGTCTTCATATAGCCGAAGAGAGTATGGGCGGCATATGCCTGCAATTCTTCATTGTTGGTCACAATCTGAATGACTCGCTGCCAAACTTCGTCGTTGACGTGGTCACCGGCAAGTGACAATAGTTTCAAGGTCATATCAATATACCACTGGGCGTCTGTTGCATATTTCTCGGTGAGGATGGCAACCTTCAAGACCATCTCCTCCCGAATAGCGTAATCAGCCGTCTGAAGGTAACGGAGAAGCTCATTTACAATGGGACCAGCGTTAGTCGTATCGCACATGCTGTACAACAGATCCAAACCCTTGCGACGGACACTGATATCTCGGTCTCGTAGGGAACCCAGGATGATGTTCTGGTGCTTCTTGATTGGATCGAGGGTTTCTGCCCGCGCAGCAAAGTGTGTCAATGCATCCAAGCCAAGATAACGAACGTTGGTTTCACGCGATTGAATGTATTTGCCCAGACGCGAAGAAATTTGCATCATCAAAGTGTGTTCGGAATCGAGGTGAATTAGGAGATTAATGGCTTCGAATAGAATTGCGTTTTGGGCGTTGTTTTGCTGAACGTTCTTGGGGGTTTCCATCGCAGCCTGCATGATCTGTCGAAGAGAGTCCCGGATAATTTCACGGACGTGGCTATCATCTGAAAGGGAAATGAGCGATTGAACAAAACGAGAAGAAAAATCAAGCTTACCTGACGGAGGATAATATTGCAACAGACGCAGAAGCTTGACTTGGATCCACGGACATGGCACACGGTAGTAGAGATAGTCCGGCGCAATGTCGTTGTCAACCACGATCCGCTTCAAACGCTGCGCAGCTTTAACATAACTGCCCTTGTATTCTTCTGGCATATCTTGGGCCAACGCCATCACCAGCGAGGTGACAGACAAGGTGACACCCATGTCCGGGTCATCCATGATTGAGATAATTCTCTCGGCCCATTCGTTCCGAACGATACCAGGGTATTTCCGATAAAGACGAAGTAGTGTGAGCGCAGCCTTCTTCTTGACAAAAGCTTTCGAGGTTCTAAAACTGTTAGATTGAAAATCGTCAATTTAGACGGTGAACACTCACGGGGAAATCAAGAGCCGGTGGACCTCATTGCCCAAAGCCTCTCCCAGCTCTCGGCCACCAACATTGGCCACTGCATGTAACGCCAAACAGATATTTAGCTCACTATTATCCATCAAGTCCTTCCGAATACTATTGACAACCAGGTGGAGCAGCTCATGCTCCTCATGCAGGAATAGGGTGACGGCGAGATATCCGATCTGCTTCTCGGAGTATTTAGTCGAGGAGATGAGGTTGACGGCTTCAAGATGACCAAAGTCGACATCGTAGCCCTGGATGTAGACATAGAGAAGCTTGCACACATATTTCTTCTTCTGGTAGCCGTTGAGATTGCCTGACTTGAACTTCTGTCGAATGTTGGCCAGCTCTTTGTTCACGCGCTTCTCCTCCAATTCTCGCGCCCGCGCATTGCGCAAGTCCGCAATGAACTGCACCAGTCCTTTCATCGACGACATGATTATGGTATTTGTTTTTTTGGCTTTTTGCCTGTGTCTTCGTAGGCGAGGGCTCAGTGTGCCCCCTTGGATGGTGTAAACACTAAACTTCGGGGAATGAGGAGTGGGGTGGAGTCGGGATAGACGGCTTGCATGCCACGCGGGGAGATGACCTCAGGGGTTTGCGATCGGATGGACAACGTCACACAACCATGTCCCTATTGTATTGTCGCGGCCGTGGCGCATTGGCCGGAGTCGAGTTGACGGGAAATAATGGTTAAGGAGCTTGGAAGGCGAAGAAACAGGGGGTTACCGGTCGCGGCGGATCCCTAAATTCAGTGGATCGGTTAGAATGGGGCTACAAGACATTCAGGGAGAATTCGGATTGGTTGATAGCCACTCACTCACCCAGCGTCAATTGAAATAATTCACCAACGTCAAAAAAAGGAGCAAGTCGAAGTGAGATCCTCATCGCACTTCCGTCCCTTGGGCCACTTTCCGCCGTCGATCACTCGTTCTTCCGCTGTGGCGCAGGAACAACGTTGATGCGAGTGTGGCGGTGCGATTCAGGGACTAAACTACACTTGCACCCTGCAAGTCGATCTTTATCTATTTCAGATTGGTCTTGGTCAAAGGCTTAAACTCAACATCATGCAGATAATTTGATATGTTTTTCATTACTCGTAACTATGAAAATCTGTCCACACCACAAGTGGATCTGACTATTGTGAACCAAGCAACCCATTATGCTTCACCTGAACGCCTGCCTACTCAAACACCCATAGCAATGCAATTCATGCTGATGATCGAAAGAAAAATACCCAAAAGCCAAAAACATCTCAGTCTGTTTAAGCGCGGGTGGTGAAGTCAACCTCGAGAGCGGATTCAACACCCTCGGCCTTCTCACAGGTGCAAGACGCTATAGGATAATATTAGACCGGTTCACAGGGCAATTGCGAGGTATTTAATTGGCAAACTCACCAGAGGGACGGCTGCCACAGGGGCAGGTCTCGCCATCAACGGCCTTGTTCTCGGTCACGGAGCGCTCACAGGTGCACTGACCAACGGGACGGGCGCCTGGGGAAGTTAGCTATATGATACTCCACTCTAATTTAAAATGTAGAACATACGGCATGAGCAGCGAGGGCCAGAGATGGCGTTCTCAGAAGAAGCCTTGTTGCAAGAGCAGTGAAGGGCACTCTCCTTGCCACAGGAGCACTTGGCCTGGGCGGCGCACACACACTCTCCAGCGCCGGAAGTCTTGCAGCAGGTCGTAGCGGGGTGAACCATTTTGAAGGTGAGGATGTTCTTGAAGAGATGAAATGGGATTGTAGAGTTGTTGATGATTTGCAACTGTCAAATTTGATAGCGGGGGATGAAGGATTGATGATCAGAGAACTCTTTTGATCGGATTGATACTGAAGAAAAAGAAAATTACTCGCAGGTGCGACCATGAACATTTATACTTGCTTGCATGCGTCACAGTCCAGGAGTCATCCTGTTCTGATTATCATTACCGTGGCTCTGATTGGCCAACATGTCTGCTCACGTGACTATCTGACCAGCTGATAGGAGATCGCTGATTGGCCAAATGCCAAGACGCTGCAAATCCTCGCCTCTTGAATGGTCGGAGTTGCTACGATCATACCTGATTACTTTTACAAGGCTTTTGATTCGACTAGGCGAGCGGGCTCTCACCTATCCTGATCGCCCTGGCATGAAATGGGCTGATCTTAAGAATTTGGAGGTTAAAGAACGACTTGGGCGGCTGTGGCCTATTTTAGGCAAGCCGAGTAACTTGTCTTTACGTAGCAGACGGATTTTATTGAAGATTTGGAACCGCCATGGAATCAAGACGTTTATTTGAGCTCATATGGATGAAAGTATAATCCTACTTTAAGCTACGATTAGATTTTTGCAGTGGGTCCAGGTTCCCTACCTTAAAGTGTGCATGTTTGCGCAGGTGTCTGCCGAGATTTAGCCGTGACTTTTCTCCTCGGTGCCACTCTTTCCAAGGTTCCACAGTTGCGCATATCCTATGATTTGGTTTCATTTACATATGGATGGGTCTTCAAGGGAAAAATTAGGTAGTGGGAATGATGAGAATACTCATGGAATGTTCGATCGATAAGGTAGCATTGCCTCACGTTTATATATATATATATAGGTCCATGCCCAGGTGCATAAGACCTCTTTGGATGCTTATTGTCACACAGACATCTGGAATTCTTCACATGAACATTTGAATCAGCATGTGCTAGTTCAATTTTCAACACAGATCATCTCTCCTTGTTGGATACCTTGGTAAAACGCTTACACGATCGATCTCTGGAAAATTTCAACAGGTCTCGATTTGATCTCAGAAAAGCCGAGGCCAAATCATCACATGTATGCATCTAGAATGCGCCACCGAAACACCGATCTACCGGTGAACCTTGGATCTAAATAATAAACGAGTGACGCAAAAATTGGTTCAAAAACGATTAAATTTAGAACTTTCACTCCTGCCAGAGATGTAATCAACGCTGTGCACCAGAAAAGCTATGGACAGTGGGTCACCATGTGGAAACCACAGAAACCACGCCTTAAGCATGAAATAGGCCCGCCCCTGAAAAGAAACACAAATGTAGGCAAAGGAAATTGGTAACATGTACAGGTGAATTAGAAAAAAAAGTCGAACACAGAAATAGTAAGAGAAGAAACACATAATTCAAATGTCCCAACGGTGAAAAATGAAAAATGAAGAAAAAGTGGAGAAAAAGGAGGCTGTCCAAGGATTAAGATTAAAACACGCTGATATAGGTCAAATGCCCGTGGCTACTCAAGGAGCCAAAACAAAAGCGAAAGGGGGGTACCAGCCCAAAATCTGGCGTCGAACGCACAGAGCAGGAAAGAAACTCGTTTTTGGTGGTCCTGCCTCGCGTATGACTTTATTGCTGGATATAGTTTGCGTAGTTGAAAGACGGATTGCCGAATTTGCTTCGCATGGACTCAAGAGTCTGTGGATTATGCTGCTGCATTTGATCGTGGGCAGTAGCGCCTTGGTTGGATGGGGCAAATGTGGTTGGGAGGTTTAGAGTTGAGGTATTGTTGGCCTGTGAATAGGGGATTGTTCCAACGGATGGGTTGCCATATGGGTAAGATCGGTATTCTTGGGCGGCGGAGACTGGAAGGGACTGAAGAGTTGGCATGGGTCTACCGTGGGCTGGTATTTGTGAGCTTATTCCCATTGCACTGTAATCCTTTGATGTAGACATGGCTAGTTGGGATTGATAATTTTGCGACTGAGTGCCTGTTTGAAATTCGAGTTAGGACTTTGCTTTTGACTTTTCTTTCTCCTTCTTCTTTTTTCTAGGCTCTTGGTTAGATGGGGTTAAACCAACCTAGATTTCCCATGTCGTATGTGATTTGTGCGTTCTGGGAGTCTGTTGGGGATACCGATCCTTCGAAGGACTGGTGCTGCTCGTATCCTGTCACCATTCCGCTCGAGCGAGGAACGCCATAATCCATTGTTTGCCTTCCATAGGGCATGCTGGGTGGGTTTGAAGGGGCTGCAAATCGATTGTGGAGAGGATACCCTGCGTGGAAAGAAGGTTGTTGAGAGGGGGCATCTGATAAGCTATTGGATCTGGTTATGGAATAGTCGCTTCGGATCGTCCTGTGCAGATCATGCATGGATGTCGAGGCGGCAGGTCGACTGAACATGATGTTGGGTTGTGACAGGCCGTCGTTCCGTCCCTGTCCAGCAGAAGACATGTAAGTTCCGGCAGTCGACGCAGAACTCAGGGGTGAGACGAGGTAATCATCCTCATTGTGACGCGGAAAGCAGTCCGTTCGTAGCGTTCTCAATGCTGCGAAGTCTGGGTTTGGAACCCCATAGTCATGTGGTGATGCAATAGGAGTTGGCCCTGTTGATTTGCTCTCAAAAGGGGTCCGCAGAACCTTCGTGGTATCGAAGTCATCCGGAAGGGCTCTCGACTTGAGCACTCTCTCACGATCATTCGTCGTCAGACGCTTAAGTTTTGCTCGCCTACAAGTTGCGTTGCTGTTAGATCCGAGAAGCTGGAACGATGAAAGAGAACATTCATGATTTACCTGTTTTGAAACCACACTTGAACTTGACGAGGAGTCAAACCAGGGATCTCTCTCGACAGACGCTCCCGGTGAGCAGCGTCTGGATGAGCCTGACGAGTGAACTCACTCATCAAGAAGCGAGTCTGGTTATGAGTCAACCTGCAGAATCACTGTTAACCGTTGTCTTCGTTTCAGGTCTTCCTCTGTGAGCCCTACCGGAACCGCTTCATTTTCTTTTTCTCCAAGGACGATACCTTGCTATCCTCGTCGCTGCCCACCGCATCGCCCCTCTCGTCGGAAGGACTGATGGTGGACTCTCTGTCGGGATCTTCTTTGTCAAAGTCCATCTGGTTATCGCTCATCGGTTCGCCATGTTGGTCGGATACAACCTGCTGAGACATGGAAAGGTCTGTCCGGTCACCCGGAATCTCGAGCTTGACTCGAGGCAGTAAAGCTTCTCTGCTCGCTGCAGACCGTTGGCCATCCGTACCGCGCGACAGGATTTCTCCCTCGGGGTACGATCCTAACCCAGCCGAGCTTCCAGGCATAGGAGAAGTCGTCAAGGCATTTTCAGCCTTCACACCAGCAGATTGCATGACAGGAGCAGATAGTCCGCCCGAGGCACGCTGTTCTCGGTCCTTTTGCAGATTTCGCAACGGCGAGACAGTCTTTGGCGAAGAAAAACGATCACCGTGATAAGCCGATGAAAAATGAGAAGTGACAGCAGATAGAGAAGGAACAGGCGAGGATAAAGAAGACACCCAGAGACAAGGGCCGCCGATTGACATGGTAAAGAGTTTGTGACTTGAGGCCCTTTCTTCTGACCGGAATAGTCTCACGTCGTGCAAATCCACGATCCACAGAGTCGGATTAAGGAGCCTCAAACGCGCCGGACCAACACCCACAACGACACGAAACAAGAAAGAAGAGTGAAAATAGCCAGGGAA